AATTTTGTGACGGTGTGTGACGAGGAGGAGCAGAGCCGGCGTTAGGGGGTGGCAAACGGGGCGGTCGCCCTAGGCCCCGCGTTTGAGGGGGCCCCGCGCTTTAGCACTGTCATTGTTATCTGAATTAGTTTGTAAACTTTAAAAAAATGTTTCTGAATTCAATTGGGAAAAACTAAATAGTCAAATGCAGACGTTGTTGATTGTTACAACTGAGGCCACGGTTGATGTTGGTGAGTTATCACCCACCTATCGTGGAACAGGCTGTAATTCGATGCAAAAACAGTGTCAGACCTCCCCTTTGCGTAGGGTACGGTCGCCTGGCATTTGACCTGAGCTCATAAATAAGGTGTAGCTGGCTGTCATTTCCTAATTATAGACATGAACTTTCTCTTGTGAGATCGCGATCATGGCCGGTAATGTTATACGTGGACGCTCTATAAACACAAACCTTCTTTTGAATGACTCCAGTCAGAGATCCATTAACGGAGTACTTGAACTTGGTAACCCTTTTTTTAGGGTATGGCATCCCATAGCCATAGATTTAACTGCACAGTTATCCTTTTAACCCCCCACCCCCACCCCCACACCAACTGCCAACCACCCCAAAGCTCCACACTACTGAGCGTCCATGATAACATTTGAGAATCATTTCTTTTGGATATCCATAAACATAGAGTTTGCTTTCACGATTCGTAACCAGTGTTTATTCACGACTCGAGCAAAGTCGTAAGCTATCAATGTTTTTCTATTTCTTTTTAACTTTAATTACTTTAGTTTTGTTGATATTGTGATTTGTCTAAACTTCTGTGCACTCTCTGTTTTTTAGATACACCTAAAACAATTGACTTTTATATTAACAATTAGTCATTAACAAACAATTTAAACAGCTTTATTTTCCTAATTTTTTGGCACGTGATTGAATTTTCTTAAGTGATTTGATATGGATTACATAACTGTCAAAAGTGATTTAATATCTAAGCAAGGAAAAAAAACAACTAAGAACATTTGGGTAAAAACGTGGGAGAGGTAACCATCCGTTATTAAAGGGAGAAGTTTGGCATTGGCTTATAAACTCCAAAACATGTATGTGTTATTATCTGTGCACGCATATTATATAGGCATATATATATATATATATATATATATATATATATTTATATATGTATATATATATATATATATATATATATATATATATATATATATATATATATATATATATATATATATATATATATATATATATATATATGTATATATATATATATATATATATATATATATATATATATATATATATATATATATATATATATATATATATATATATATAATGGAAAAAAGAGCAGGCCCCGCGCGGATGGTTGGCCACAGGCCCCGCGTATTCCTAACGCCGGCTCTGAGGAGGAGGTTCAGATGGTGTGACGTCACTTTCTTGCATTATAAAAAAAGGAGAGTTTAAAAAAATCCATATATATATATATATATATATATATATATATATATATATATATATATGGCAAGTTAGTAAGTTAGTACACACAAAATTCCGCTGGAAAGTATTTTCATATAACTTTAACTTGCAAGTGTAAATGCAGTGTTATTATAATCCTAGTAAAGTCCTAATATATAAAATTAAAATCCCAACTGCGCTTCTCTCTCACTTTTTTGTCCAAGACTAGGACAGAGACGAAGCGACCCCTTCCGGTGAACTATCTATTTTGCGCCCTACTTTTATGAAAAGTTATTCACGCTCTGGAAAAAACAGACCCCCCTCTTCCATTTGGAAGGTCAGGGGCGCTTTTTACCAGTCACTGTTCCTTACAACTTTTTTTATTTCTGTGTCGCACACTTGACGTAGAAATCAGTTAAATAAGTACTTAAAGCAAACTAGCCTCCTACAGTGTTTCTTCCAGACTTTTTCTCCGCGGGGGGGGGGGGGGGGGGGGGGAGGGGGTGGAGCCTTGAAGAAACACTGGCCTCCGCTGCACTCGAAGTGTTGTATAAAAATGCAGGTTATATATTTTTTGGTCCGATAACACAGTCCACTAAAAACATGACTGCTATTGAAGATTTTCAACTTAATTATTGCGAACCTGGTCAAGAGTTGAAAAAAACTGTAGGCTATACCGCACCGAGTCACTAGTTTTCAAAAGCGTCTGTAAAATGTTAAGTTTAGTATGACAAGCAGAGTTTCTTTCAGGCATTTCTTCAAGTGCCCCCCCCCCCCTACCCTACCCTCTGGAGAAAAGAATGTCTTGAAAAAGCCACTTATAAGACACGTTTCTGATGGTTATTTCTGTACTTTATAAACTTTGACTAGACTAGACTAGAACAACAGAGAATGCATAAACTGGTACGGGTGAAATATGTCGAACTACATCAGCCACACAGATCTGGCGACGACAATAATCTCCTACCCTACAATAATCTCCTACCTTACAGCCAACAGCAGTCACAATTTCTACGACAATAATCTCCTACCTTACAGCCAACAGCAGTCACAATTTCTACGACAATAATCTCCTACCTTACAGCCAACAGCAGTCACAATTTCTACGACAATAATCTCCTACCTTACAGCCAACAGCAGTCACAATTTCTACGACAATAATCTCCTACCTTACAATCAACAGCAGTCACAATTTCTACGACAATAATCTCCTACCTTACAGCCAACAGCAGTCACAATTTCTACGACAAGAATCTCCTACCTTACAGCCAACAGCAGTCACAATTTCTACGACGATAATCTCCTACCTTACAGTCAACAGCAGTCACAATTTCTACGACGATAATCACCTACCTTACAGCCAACAGCAGTCACAATTTCTACGAATATAATCTCCTACCTAACAGCCAACAGCAGTCACAATTTCTACGACAATAATCTCCTACCTTACAGCCAACAGCAGTCACAATTTCTACGACAATAATCTCCTACCTTACAGCCAACAGCAGTCACAATTTCTACGACAATAATCTCCTACCTTACAGTCAACAGCAGTCACAATTTCTACGACAATAATCTCCTACCTTACAGCCAACAGCAGTCACAATTTCTACGACAATAATCTCCTACCCTACAGCCAACAGCAGTCACAATTTCTACGACAAAAATCTCCTACCTTACAGCCAACAGCAGTCACAATTATTTCTACGACAATAATCTCCTACCTTACAGCCAACAGCAGTCACAATTTCTACGACAATAATCTCCTACCTTACAGCCAACAGCAGTCACAATTTCTACGACAATAATCTCCTACCTTACAGCCAACAGCAGTCACAATTTCTACGACAATAATCTCCTACCTTACAGTCAACAGCAGTCACAATTTCTACGACAATAATCTCCTACCTTACAGCCAACAGCAGTCACAATTTCTACGACAATAATCTCCTACCTTACAGCCAACAGCAGTCACAATTTCTACGACGATTATCTCCTACCTTACAGTCAACAGCAGTCACAATTTCTACGACGATAATCACCTACCTTACAGCCAACAGCAGTCACAATTTCTACGACAATAATCTCCTACCCTACAGCCAACAGCAGTCACAATTTCTACGACAAAAATCTCCTACCTTACAGCCAACAGCAGTCACAATTATTTCTACGACAATAATCTCCTACCTTACAGGCAACAGCAGTCACAATTTCTACACTTCTAAACCAGTCACATGTAGGTTCTAAAGAAGTTTTGGCGTGTGGGTTTGTGTAGGGGGGGGGTGATCTTCAGACAGGATGAAGCTCCGCTAAAAGAGTTCCTTTATCAAGCTCTAAGATCTCGCCCCTGTGAAGTCCCTCACGGATATCTTCCTTGAGTGTGTGTGTATGTGCGTATGTGTGTATATATCTGGAGTGTGAGATACCTTCTGTTTTTTATAGTAATGTTGTAGCCCTAGTTTATGTATTAGTTTTTAAGCGAGAGGTGTTCACGGACATTTGATGTGTGTGTTGTGTGTGAGAATAGATGAGTGACAGAGCGTGTTTTAGTGTGTGTCAGTTGGTTGGCGTGTGTGGAATGAGAGACGTGCACGTGTGTTGGGTACTGTAAAATCAAATTTTTGTATTATTTATCGTTATATATTAAACGCCAATTCTGTTATTTAATATCATTATCAGTATTGTCGAATCTATTTTATTGTACTATATATCTTGTGTTATGCATTATCCTCTAGAAGAACCGGACAGCCCCCCCCCCCCCAGGGAGTCCCTCCTTTGAACCTCTGCAGCTTCCGACTAATACGACCTCGTATGATGGAAGTAGGGTGAGGGTTGTAGTTGTTTTTAAAGACATTTTTCCCCGTGGGGTGGGGCACTTTAAACATGGAGAGCGCTTCATACTTCAGGAGCGAGAGATGGCAATTATATGATTGTGTGAAGTAAATATTTCTTTTTGAAATTAAAAAAAAAAATACTTTGCCCCGGGAAAGGGGGGTAGGGGGGGGGGGGGCTACTCATGGGGACATTGCTTCTCTCTCGTAGACGTACCTGATAGAAATACAGGGGAATAAATAAGACGTAGTGAATGTAAACAATTTAATTAATAAATAAATTACACCTAATAGACCCAAGTAGGAATTTTCTGGAATGTCCCATTAAATAGTTCTAAAAACGTGTGCGATGTTCTAAAAATAAATACATGCTTTAACAATAGTATATGTAAAAATATAATCAGTACAAAGAGGCGAAACTATACATTTAAGAACGTTTATTAATTTAAAAAAGGCAATCTTCAAAAATATATATTAAGTAGCAATAATTTAGCTTTCACAAAGTAAACTATCATCAAAAATAGTTTAGTAAGTAAATATAACGCGATAACAAAATAGTTAAAATAACATGATTTTTACCTCAAAAGTATTTTCTATTTCAATTTTGGGTCATGGCTTCAATAGAATACACTTTTTTCCTAGTAGAAAGTGACATTAAATATGGACTAAAAAAACAAACAAATGTTTTAAAAAGTGCATTAATTTGAACACAAAATTATATATATATGATCATAGACAGTTGATGGAATTGTTCTAGTGGTTGAAAACAAATAATGATCTTTTTTCCTATTTTTAACTTTGCAAGAAAATTTCAGTTAGAACACAACTATTATTAGAATATTGTGATTACAAGACGAAATTTTCACAGATAAAAAAAAAAGATAATCAAATTTCTTTTAAAATATAGGTTTGTGATGATTTAAAATTGAGCGACTATTTATTCAGCATGTCTGATTCGTCATCCGTTAACTGCTCGCCCGCGTCAGGCTCTAGAATAAAGTAGGAAGGCTGGTCTACGGGTACCGCACCCACAACAGGGGTGTTCACCGTGCTGATGCAACCCTGTGAGTCTGCTGCATCCGGTTTCGAAATTGCGTTTCCGGTTTCCTGTTTCGAGTGTGTAAAAGATGGCGGAGGCTCGTAATTGTCCACCAGTTGATAAAACGACACTTGCATGCTTTGATCGACATCTTTCTGGGATGCGCACAATGGCATCGTGATGTACACGTTCGCCAGGACCTTGACTTTTGACTCGACCTCTGAACCTGTGACCTTTATACCCGCAGAATCTTCAAGTTTTGTTTCAGTATTTTCACAACTCTTTTCATTCACATAAGAAACCGATTGTTGCAATGGTGCATTGTTTAGGTTGAATGTTAGAAAGGAGATATTGTTGTCCAAAGCGGATGTTCTATCGCCAGAACCGGAAGAGCCTTCGGCGTGATCAGTTACGGAGTTGGTGGTTGTAGATTCTGCTCCGATAAACGACAAAAGTTCTTGGCGGATTTTTTTAAACGTGGGTCTTAGACGCGGGTCTTTGGCCCAGCAGAACATCATTAGCTTGTACCTGTAATCAGAGAGTGTTAATGTTTGAAGCGTTTGAGCAAAAAAGTAAATTGCTGCTGGAGTTAATGAAATCGGTGCTATAACTGTTACTGTGTTGTCTGTTTGCGACTTTGGAAAAAATCGATGTTTCAAAGTTAAAATTAGGGTTAGGGATAATGTTGATCAAATACCGATGTTTCGCTTTTCGGTATGAACCGATCTATTGTTGATATTTACTTATAGAATTACCATTTGTTGGTTTCTTTTTGTTATAAAATAAACTATTTGGTTATAGAATGACCTATTGTTGTTGTTTGGTTATACAATGACCTATAGTTAATTTTTGTTTCACGAAGTTCAAATAGATGTTGGTGTTTGTTATCGACCTATTCCTTATGTGTCGTAGAAACATTCTTGATGTTCATGTTTGGTGGGTATTGATTTAAAGTTGATGTTTTTGTATTGCTGGCTTAATTCTGTTATTTTTTTTGTAGCAGCAAATCTAGCGCTGATGTAGTGTGTAGACTGAAATAATGTTGATGTTTGTGTGATATTGACGGACTTATGTTGATGTTTGTGTGATATTGACGGACTTATGTTGATGTTTGTGTGATATTGACGGACTTATGTTGATGTTTGTGTGATATTGACGGACTTATGTTGATGTTTGTGTGATATTGACGGACTTATGTTGATGTTTGTGTGATATTAACGGACTTATGTTGATGTTTGTGTGATATTAACGGACTTATGTTGATGTTTGTGTGATATAGATGGACTTATGTTGATGGTGTGTGATAGTGATGAACTTACAGCTCGTCTGGGCAGAAGAACGGGGCCGGCAGACGTCGACGTCGTAAAAAGTTGATGATGTCCCAGCCGTCAACACCAGGGTAGGGGGTCATCCCTCGGGTCAACATCTCCCACAGAACCACACCAAGTGACCACTGGAATGGATGACACGTAAAACTACAACAAATGTGAACTAGCTTATTCTAATACTACTAACGATTTATCAATTTACAATGTTCTGTATGCAGTATATGGTAACTATGCTATTCCTATGGTCCTCTGCTTCCATTTAACAATAACAAATAACCATAAAGCGGCTCATTATATCAACATATTTGCTATTTTTTAAATTGAATAAATAAATAAAAAATCCGAGCTAATTTGGTGTGGCAGAACAACCAATCTCATTTTAAAAAAGTGTGTTGTATGTAACCTACCACATCAGACATTGTACTGTAAGCCCCCTTTTCTATACTCTCTATAGCCATCCACCTAATTGGCAGTTGCTTCTTGTTGTCGCTGGTGTAGTAGCCTTTCTCATAGATGTCCCGACACAGACCAAAGTCGGCCACCTTCACACGATTCGAGCTGTCCAGCCTTTGTACAGTACATTACATAACTTTGTTATCAGTATTCTTTTTTAATATACATTATGGAATAACAATTATCAACGAATGGTATTTTTTTAATCTACTATTAAATGTAACTAAAAATAGCATACATGATGTTAAAATAAACTCAAAGTAAATTAAATATTGCAAATTGGAAGACAAGCACAAGTTGAAGCAGATTAAAGTTTTTAAAGCACGAAAAAGTAGAAATGGCACGTACATACAGTTCCTAGCTGCTAGATCGCGATGTACAAACTTCAAAGAACTTAGGTAGTTCATGCCGTCTGCTATGTCGGCTCCAAATTTAATGACGTCATGCAGCGTCAAAACCTGATATTATCAACACCATCAATTAATTTTTTTTCTTTGATAATTAAACTGTAGAAGTAATTTGCTTTAAAATGTACTTGATCTCTGTACCTGCTAATAGTTTTTGCTTTAACATGCATCTTTATTGACGACCATCTAATTATGTATCGTATTTTTTAACAACCAACATAACTCTACATTTAAATAAATCAAAATTACAAATAATTAATTTTTAAAAGCTAGTTAAACTTTATTTGAGAAATCTTTAACTTTATGTTTTCATTTTCCAAATCAACACTTGTTTTTCTTTTCATATTTGCTCCTACTTTATTATCCACTTATTCTGTTACCGCTACTAGCTTACCACGTATTCATTACCAACTTACCACCAGGCTGTCACACTGTTGTCACTTACCACACTAATGTCACTTACCACACTATTGTCACTTACCATGCTATTGTCACGGATGTAGGTCAGCAGATCTCCCCGGTCCATAAAAGGCAACACGACGTACAGGTTCCCTGGCTCCTTCTCCGACAGGCCGATTAGACCCAGCACATTTGGGTGCTTGAATTTTCGCATGAACAACGCTTCTTGGACAAACGATTTCAAGTCTTGGCTGCTGGACATTGGGTCTGTGGAGATGTAGACCATTAGCAGTGGACATTGGGTGTGTGGAGATGTAGAGCATTAGTGCTGGACATTGGGTGTGTGGAGATGTAGACCATTAGCAGTGGACATTGGGTGTGTGGAGATGTAGAGCATTAGTGCTGGACATTGGGTCTGTGGAGATGTAGACCATTAGCAGTGGACATTGGGTGTGTGGAGATGTAGAGCATTAGTGCTGGACATTGGGTGTGTGGAGATGTAGAGCATTAGTGCTGGACATTGGGTGTGTGGAGATGTAGACCATTAGCAGTGGACATTGGGTGTTTGGACATGTAGAGCATTAGTGCTGGACATTGGGTGTGTGGAGATGTAGACCATTAGCAGTGGACATTGGGTGTTTGGACATGTAGAGCATTAGTGCTGGACATTGGGTGTGTGGAGATGTAGACCATTAGCAGTGGACATTGGGTGTGTGGAGATGTAGAGCATTAGTGCTGGACATTGGGTGTGTGGAGATGTAGACCATTAGCATTGGACATTGGGTGTTTGGACATGTAGAGCATTAGTGCTGGACATTGGGTGTGTGGAGATGTAGACCATTAGCAGTGGACATTGGGTGTTTGGACATGTAGAGCATTAGTGCTGGACATTGGGTGTGTGGAGATGTAGACCATTAGCAGTGGACATTGGGTGTTTGGACATGTAGAGCATTAGTGCTGGACATTGGGTGTTTGGACATGTAGAGCATTAGTGCTGGACATTGGGTGTGTGGAGATGTAGACCATTAGCAGTGGACATTGGGTGTTTGGACATGTAGAGCATTAGTGCTGGACATTGGGTGTGTGGAGATGTAGACCATTAGCAGTGGACATTGGGTGTTTGGACATGTAGAGCATTAGTGCTGGACATTGGGTGTGTGGAGATGTAGACCATTAGCAGTGGACATTGGGTGTTTGGACATGTAGAGCATTAGTGCTGGACATTGGGTGTGTGGAGATGTAGACCATTAGCAGTGGACATTGGGTGTGTGGAGATGTAGACCATTAGTGCTGGACATTGGGTGTGTGGAGATGTAGACCATTAGTGCTGGACATTGGGTGTGTGGAGATATAGACCATTAGCAGTGGACATTGGGTCTTTTGGATATTAGACGTTTTGGTAATAATACATCTGATGAAGATAAAGGAGTACCCAAATAAATAGCACCATTTTGATCACAAGATATTTAAACTTATACGACTTATATGACTGAATCTAAAGCAATTGAGAAGTGTGCTGGCCACAGGATCACCCTGCATGCTGAGGTCTCTGAAGCAGATGTACTCTACTTCATCTGCCCCATGTGTCGTGGGAATGAACGGGAATACATGATAATGATTCACTAAAGACGACATTTAAAAAAAAACATTGAGTATAAGTTTAAGTTTAAAATTACTTTAAAAATTATATATGAAATGTGTATTTCTTTTTGCTTCAAGAATAAACAAGGCCCCACCTTGGAGAGTCTTTAGAGCAACTTTAGAGCCACATGTCATATTCCCGTCATCAAATATCCCTTCGTACACACGGCCAAAGTTTCCTAAGTAAAAGATGAAGAAAGGGTTTAAGGCCACAGCGGTTGTAAGCCTTAGTTAATGTAAGGGGATTTGATATGCACAACATAAACATTAATGGACTAGTTTGTTATCATCACCATTAGCCACAGGATGTTAATTTTAACACTAGTGGTAGAGACCTAGACTGCTAAACCGAGAGTCTCGAGTTCGAATCCAGGTTCAAATCAGTGGAAGGTCCCTGAGTGCACCCAGCTCTGAAGGGTGCCTAACTTACGTTACGGAAACAAAGGCGGCTGACCACACTATCCCTTCATATTCCGAGCACAATGAATATATATATATATATATATATATATATATATATATATATATATATATATATATATGTATATATATATATATATATATATATATATATATATATATATATATATATATATGGGCTAAGTACGGCTACAAAATGCACTTGTACGAACCTTCTCCTATAGCCTGCCCCACGGTCAAGCGGTCAAGACTGATGATTAGCTTGTCCATGTCATCTTTCTTGTCCGGCTCTATGACAGTATCCAGTACCTGCTTCAGGGTAGGCAACACGTTCTCCCCGCTACCTACAGGCATCGATATGTAGAGAATACATTAACTAATTTTTTTAAAAGTATTATTGATAAAATATGTCACGAGTATGCACCCCCAAGCAGATGAGGCTGGATAGCTGGGGACAACAACACATCAAGGTGGGAAGACTACTAACTCAGAAAAACGTTTGCTTTTTAGTTTATTTTTGGATAACAAAGGCTATGGAAGAAAATCTAGAATTAGAAGCAGACTGAAATGTACGTAACGTATAGTTATGTTGGAGGAAATCTTATTCAACATTACAATTAAGAAAGAAGAAATAATCGATTTGCCTATAGCTATTACTAGACTGGATACTAAACTTCTTCAATTGGATAAAACATTTTGATGATAAAAGTTGCTTTTAAATTTAAATTAAAATGCATTATAAAATAGATTTTCTATTATTTATTTTCCAAAAAAATTGTTTTATCATGGATATAGAAATCATTAAAACAGATCACTTTTGCTTTTCGAATTCTATTAGACACATCTTTTTTTCTAATAAGGTGAAGTGTAATATTAAGTAACAAATTACAATTAGAAATATATCTAGATTTTAAGACAGCCATCTCTAACTAAATCTGTAGTCCACAAACAATACACGTCAAAGAAATTAACTAGATAGAATATATCATGTCGGATGGTGTTAAAGTTTTTAAAAAGCTAGCTAGATAAACAAATTTGGAGGTAATAGTTTTTAAAAAGGTAGCCAGATAAAAAGCACCTTGATGGTTAGTGTTCAAGTTTTGAAATAGATAGCAAGATAAAAAAAATACCTTGTTGAGTACTGTTGCGCCCATTCATCTCTTTCTTGGCTTTAGACTTCGATCGCAGAATGACCAGCAAGCAAACAGCTAACAAAACAGCCGAGGAACAGCCGCCGACAGCAGCAAATATAGACAGCATGGGGTCGCCGACATTCACCTGGTGCCAATGTAGAGTAACCGTGTGGTTATCCTTGAAGTTGCCCAGTGTGATGGAAACATTCACGTAAAGCGGTTCATTCGACGTCTCGTTGTTTAGAAATCTGGATAAATTAGCGCTGAGTTTTTTCAGTGCCTTGGTAAGTGCTTGTTTAGTACCATCAGCAACTGCATTTAGCTGGGAGTCAGTGACCAATTTCGGTGATTGTATCACATGATCAGTGTTAGGGTTATACTTTTGGTTGTGTAGGTTGACTTCCTGACTACTGCAAATTAAATCTGTTGCGCTTGCCTCAAAAACTTCGCAGTTTAAATCTTCAATTTCTATTTTTATATCTTCCATCTGCAACCATGATGGAATTCTATTGCCCTGGTTTTAGAATTATAAACATTACACAAAAGCTTATACATAATTTTTACGTGTAGAAGATTTGAATTAATATATTAGAGACAGTTTTATGTTTTAAAATATAAGTTTGTACAAGCATTAAAGACAACAACGTTTCAATATAACATCCAGTATTAACCTACTAGTTGATAATTTATCCAGTGAAAACGCAAAACTAGATAATTTGTGATAAGAAAAAAAAGCAATTCGACATTAGTTTTCAGAATATAAGACTTCACTTCCCGTAACAATTCGTAAAACGAAAGAGATGCTCTATGTAACAATAAACAAAATATAGGTATGCGCATAGATCTGTAAAAATACAATTACAAATAAATCCTTCAGTGATGATAAAATTAAATTAAATATGCACTCCACATAAAATATATTTTGGAGTAAAAATATTTCTTTTCGTTTGACATAAAAGCAATATGTCAGCAAAAATAGTTTGAATATCCTACCCTTAAAATAAACACAACAAACGTGTCATTGTACTGGAAAACTTTAATTCCGTGTACAAGAAGCTGGTGAAAACTGGGGTTTGGGTGGATCTCGAATGTGACGGTGTGCTTCTCTTGACCGTCGGGCTGAATGACTAGAGGGTAGGTCACAAAACCTTTGGGGGTGAAAAGGTTTTGTGTGATCGACCCAGCAAGGTTGGGAGATCGACATAGTATTTCTGTTGTATCAGCTGGTGAGTTACATTCAAATGTCGTCTGCAAGAGAGAAGGTATAAGTTCAAACACTACAGTAAACAAAATAGTTATAAAATAATCTCTTTATTCCTTGGTGAGCAGAGTGAATATACAATTAGTATAATGCATGTTTTATATCGCAATACATAGAGTATATGTCAATATGTAAACCAGGCATCAAAGAAACTTTAAAATATCATACTACGTGTTCAAAGTCGATTGTAGTTATTTAGATGTTAGAAAATGGATTTTTGTTGGATAAAAATAAAAGACCATACTACGAATGAAATATATGAAACAAAATGTTTCTCTTACGTTGGTTGTGGGTTCATAGCTGACATCCAGATATACAACAGTTCTGCTGGTGAGAGATTGACCTGTGATGTTGATCCACGTACCGCCACTGTTGGGAGAAGGGTAGAGAGAAAACAAAGTGTTCTTTAATACCGAGGTTGTGATAATAATTTTAAAGTTATCTAAATAGATCATGGTTACTGAAGTATACAAATAATATTTTATAGCATTATGTTTTTATAATGTCTTTGTCGCAAACAATTCACTTTGTTTATCAAGATTTTACTATGAAGAACTTATCTTCACTATACCTGCATTCTGTACCTGCATCTCAATTTTATAGAAACTCATTTACAGTTTACCAGCACTATCACAACGCACTTTATTATTAAATCTTTCCTTAACAAAACAGCTTAACTTACCATTAGTTTACCTTTCTATCACAGCTTACCTTAATATCACAGCTACTGCTAACATACCATTACAACGTACCTTAATATCAAATTTAACTTACCATAACAACCAACCTTACCATTACAGTTTACCTTATCTTCACAGCTTAACTTAACATCAAATCCTACCTTAACATCACAGCTTACCTGATCAAACTTTTGTTGGGAGATACAAAAAATGGCGACTGCTGTGTGTTGGTGTTCATTGTGGTGCTGCTAGTCGTGGTGCTGCTGGTATTAGTGCTTCTAGTCGTGGCGCTGGTACTTTTTGTGCTTCTAGTCGTGGCGCTGGTACTTTTTGTGCTTCTAGTCGTGGTGCTGCTAGTGGTGGTGCTGTATAAATACAATAAAACAGTATGATATCAGTTTTGGAATCGTATACAAACCTGTATACACATAAAAAAACCATATACACGCTGCAAAAGCATGTAATCACTAGAAACGTACACACGCTACACGTATCTATACACGGTAAAACATGAATACACCCAACAAACGTGTATGCAGATTACAAACGTGTACACATTGCAAACATATGCACAGGCTATAGTGTATCAACCTTTCTGTATTCCTTTGATCATGTGTTTGTGTGTCGCGTTCCGGTGCTATCGTGATTTGAAGTTCCCCATCGTTTTCATTCGGAGTCCCGTTTCCTATTGCAGGTATTTGGGTTTCCTGTAAATGAAACTTAACTTTTGTCATTACAGACATTGAAGAGCTATTATTAATAGAGTTGCATAGACAGTACGCGCTAACACAAACATTCTTAAAATTTTCGGAGGTGGCGGTGGGGGGGGGGGGGGGCGAACTAAAATTTTCGGGGGGTACGGACGGGACAGACACTGGAAAAAGTATATATATATTTCTATATAAATTCTATCTCGTTAAGGGAGGGGGGGGAGCAGTAGATGTTTTTCGGGGTGGTAGGTGGAGACCCCCGACGAGGTGCCTGGAAGAAACTCACCTTGAGACACATCAGCATAAAAGTCCGCCCCAACCCACCCCTTATTCCCAGAAGTGTGACGTAACTACGGATGGTCTGTAGCTAATGTTTGTTGAGACGATAAATCACAATATGTTTCACATAATGTTTCACATTTTGCACCGACATTTTCTCACATAGAAAAAGAACTTAAGTACAGCTTTCCATTCTTTATATTAAGTGGCGAAGTCAAGTTCTGGCTAATGGAAATTTATTTAAATTAGCGAAGCTGACGTTTAAATTGGTGTTCCTTGCTTCTAAAAGAATCGTCTCTTATATATAAAATAACTATTTAGAATTTTACAACCTCTTCTTTTTATACATACACTAGCGTACCCGACCCCGCGCGTTGCCGCGGGGATAGAAGAAAGTTTGACGCGTGACCTTCTTTTCTAAAAATGAGTTATTTAAATGTAAACAATGCCTGTTCTTGGATCATAAATATCAGGACACGGGTTTACCTACACTACCGCATGAAAACCTTGAGTGTACATTAATCACTAACCCAAATAATATGGTGCAACACACTTCGGTGACCGACTCTGTGTCAGAGACGTAGAGGGGCGCTCTAAAGGCCCCCCCCCCGATTACACTACTGCATTGGCGCTGCGTTCGACCCCTGACTCCTTAAAACTAACAGGCGCCATCGTGCCAAATAGTTTCCTGTTAATAATGATGTCGATTTCGTCATTCGCTTAAGTGACACAAATGAACAGGATTTTACTGATGCAATATGCTAGCGTTACTAATGGTCTATTATTAGACGCTTGATCTCAATTTCTGACTGAATTGTCTAACAATAGATGCTTATTGCATCATTCGCAAAGTGACGAAACTCTACAGTAGGCTCCTCATATTCAAAATTTATTTTTTCATCTTTCTCAAGGTGACGAAACTGTACAGAAGGATTTCCTCGCGTTACAAAGTTATTTTTAGAAGCCTGTTGTAGTTTTACCGCTGAATATAGTAGTACCCCTTACTCGCTATGCAGGACGCTCGATTAACGGATGCCAAGTTCCAACTAAATCGCTCTAAAACTCTGGGTGCCAAACCGTGTATTGACGAAAGTTGTACCCTATATGGCGCCGCCCGTAAGAAACTTTGGTTTTCTTTTTCGCAGAAATATTCTCGGGAGTATTCTCATCTACTCCCTAAAGTTTCATGGCACTCGGATGAACCGCATCCGAGTTTTATTTTTTATATACCGTGTATAGAGAAAAAAAATCGCCCCCCCCCTTCCGGTGGTGCGCCGCCCTTGCAATATAAAACAATATTTTTTGCAGAACCCTACCATTGAGTGATCTAATCATCTCCCCAAAGTTTCATGGTACACGGATGAACGGTGTGAAAACGAAATTTTATATACCGTATATAGAGAAAAATCTCACCCTCCCGTGGCGCCGCCCTTGCGAAATAAAAAATTGTTTTTTTACATAACCCTTTCCTAGAGGGTTATAACGAACTACCCAAAGTTTCATGCCTATCGGATAAACGGTGTCACTGCAATTCACTTTTATTTTTTTATATACCGTAAAAAGAGAGAAATTGGACCCTCCCCTGGCGCCGCCCTTGCGAAATTAAAAATTTGTTCTTTTACAGAAACCTTCCCTAAATTGTTCTAATCATCTCCCTCAAAGTCTCATGGCTATCGGATAACGGTGTCATACCAAAATCGACTTTTATTTTTATATACCGTATATAGAGAAAAATCGCACCCTGCCGTGGCGCCGCCCTTGCAAAATTAAAAATGATTTTTACAGAACCCTTTCCTAGAGTTTTATAATGAACTCCCCAAAGTTTCATGGCGATCGTGTGAACGGTGTCACCGCAATTCACTTTTTTTTATATAACGTATATAGAGAAAAATCGCACCCTACTGTGGCGCCGCCCTTGCGAAATTAAATATGATTTTTTTTACAGAACCCTTCCCCAGAGTGTCCTAATCAACACCCCCAAAGTTTCATGCCTATAGGACGAATGGTGTCACTGCAATTCACTTTTATTATTTTTATATACCGTATATAGAGAAAAATCGGACCCTCCCGTGGCGCCGCCCTTGCGAAATTAAAAATTATTTTTTTACAGAACCCTTCCCTAGAGTGGTATAATGAACTCCCCAAAGTCTCATGGATGAACGATGCCAAACCAAAATCGACTTTTATTTTTATATACCGTATATAGAAAAAAACAAATCGCGCGAATTTGAAATATTTTTTTTCGCAGAAACCTCCCCAGGAATATTCTCAACAACTTCCCAAAGTTTCACGGCGATGTGATCAGAGGTGTAGTAATGCATAAAGGACACACAAACACACAAACACACAAACACACATTGCTTTTTATATATATAGATACATACGTATATATATATATATATATATATATATATATATATATATATATATATATATATATATATATATATATATATATATATATATATATATATCAAATATGTGACTGTGGGAAAAACTACCATCACCCCAGATTAGGTTGTTGTTCCATATTAAAAGTGCTGGCTCAAAGGTTATTAAACGGATTAAAAAACAACACGAAATTGTTATGAACCAGGAACACATCACTAATTAGAAAAGAAAATTGTCTTACATTGTGTGAGACTAGCGAGTTGTCTTTCAACTGGTCAGTTGCTTGTGTCTCTGTGTGAGGTGACACCGTCGTGTTAGTGTGGAGAGTGGTGGGGCTGCGATGGTTGGGGCAGCGAGAGGGGAACAATAGAAAAAAGAACAAGTTTGAAGCAAATAGAGATACAGTTTATCTGTGTGAAATCGGACGTCACTATAATCTCTGCTAGTAAAGGTGACAAGTTAGGAACGATGTATAGAAGTAACCTCGGCATATGAAGAGATAGTGTGGCCAGCACTATGCCCAGCCGCCTTTACTTTCCCTAACGAGAGTAAGGTACCCATTAGAGCTGGGTGGACTCCTGGATGTTCTGAGGACTTAAACCCTGATTCGAACTCTACACTTTCGAATCAGCAGTCGTATGTTCTAGCATTCGACCATACCGTCCCATAAGCTGGTATGGCAGCTATTCAAAAAAATGCTTGAAATTTTCTATGCGATAATGAAGCACGGGATAGCTAAAGATGTATATAATTAATCTCGCTTTTAATTGGTGAATAAAATCAACTTCAATTCAATTTCTGCCAAGATTAGATTTTACAAATATTTTCAGTTGACTCGGTTTTTTAAAAATATTTTTCTAATGTCCGTGTTTTAACTTGATGAGAACCATTACAAGATTTTGTTGGTAGTCTAATACCATTTTCACAATTAAAATTATCTGTTGATGAATAAGCAAGGGGAAGTAACATACCTCTCACTAGACAACGGGTTACTTGTTAGTGTTGAGTTATTAGCTGGTAGTGTGGTATTTGCTTTTGTGGCCACTAACGATGTCTGTATATAAACATTAGAAACAGTTGTGTAAATAACCGTTACTTCAGTGGATTAATATGTTTACTTTATGTCTAGGCTAAAAAAATGAAGTGTTTTAAACTAATAGTGAAGTCAAATTATGTATTATTATAATTATGATTATAAAATAATATTAAAATAATGTATTAGTGAAGTCAAATCATGTAGTTTTTCCGTAAGGTGTTATAAAATAAAAATGTTATTGAAATTGATATTTTTACAATCATATTAAAATAACGTATTCGATTAAATAGAAAACTAAAGTAATTATTTTAATTGGAAGCTAGTCCGCTAACTAAACTTGTCGTATTGTCTTATCAACTTATGCCATGTAAACTGCTTGAGCTTCTAAGCTAGTTTGCTAACTAAACTTGTCGTATTGTCTTATCAACTTATGCCATGTAAACTGCTTGAGCTTCTAAGCTAGTCCGCTAACTAAACTTGTCGTATTGTCTTATCAACATGCCATGTAAACTGCTTGAGCTTCTACCTAGCCACTCAACCCCCCCCCCCCCCCTCCACCCTCCGCCACTTACCAGTGTTAAATAAACGAGAAGATAAAACCTGAAGCTCTTCATCATGTTTGTGTCACGTGATACATAACTCGTATTTAGCTCAAGTGTCCTCAGCTATAGAAAAAAGATTAGAATCCATGCATTTATTTTATATATATATATATATATATATATATATATATATATATATATATTTTGTATATATGTATATGTTTATATATATATATATATACATATATATATATATATATATATATATATATATATATATATATATATATATATATATATATATATATACATATATATATATATATATATACATATATATATATATATATATATATATATATATATATATATATATATATATATGTTTGTATATATGTATATGTTTGTATATATATATATATATATATATATATATATATATATATATATATATATATATATATATATATGTATATATATATATATATATATATATATATATATATATATATATATATATATATATATATATATATATATATATATATATATATATATATATATATATATATATATATATATATATATATATATATATATATATATATATATATATATATATATATATATATATATATATATATAAACACACAAGTAACGGTCCTTTACAGATAGGTTTTTCACTGGCCGGGACCCCAAGTAATAAACAAATGGTATTTTATACAATATGAATGTATTGCGAGAACATACAGAGGCAGAAAGTCCATTTCATCTTTATATATATAAAATGTGACCAATTGTGACCAACGGTGAGGTTAATAAGTAAGAAAAAGTATACAAGTAGCACAAATGTATAGATTTTTATCCTTTTTTTGCCTTATTGGTTATTGTATAGCTTTGCTACATGCTTCATTTGTTCAGGCATTACCTCCACTCGTTTACGCTTTGTCCAAATAGTTTAATACAAGTAATATAGTTTTGGTTCAAGTGCATCACTTATAAAATTTTAGGGTGCTAGTTATTAATAACACGAAGAGCAACTAGTTTGCATAGTGACGCCCTTAGTTTTTTTTCTATCTTATTTTTAGTGTTGGAAGAGATTCCCTCCAACTCAATTAAGTATACGTGTCAACTGGTTTTGTGCTATTTAGGCCGTTGACTCCGATTTCAGCCAGCTCTTCGTTTTGGGTTTGCTTCCATAGCCTTAGTCCAAACAAGAACAAACTACAAGACAGCAGTTGTTTGATTTTGGAGTTGTCTTTGATAGAAGAAACTCGTGACTTATCGGTTTAGCATACATGAGCTTTACCACTCGACCACGCTGACACTCTACGCCCTTAGCAATTCGTGTAGTTTCAACATACATATTCCTATTCTTACATTTTTTAAAAGATTTGACCAATCATTGTCTGCAATTATTTTAGTTTTTTGAAAGATGTGTAGCAAGTTGTTAGCGAAATGAAAAAGCTAAATTATAACTATATAATGTCATTTCTTGTCAAACCGACAGTTTAAAGATTGTTAAGGAAAGCGTTCATTATTGTAATCTATTTCAAGTGGCGGATTTGATGATCTATCCGGTCACTTTAGTCTATCTCTTCCAAGTTTATTTTAATGAATAAATGGCGTCTTTAAGTTGGGTTTTCGAAACTCCATACAACCTTTTGCAATTATTTCGACAACAAGCACTTTTTTCTGTACGACAGTATCAGCAGGGTAGAATGAAAACAGACGTCAATCACACTCGAGACGTCAGTTAGATGGGTGCATGGACGTCAGTCAGAGTCGTTAGCTACGTGGACACATGGACTTCAGGCTCGAGTTAGATATGTAACTCTAGTTTTTAGAGAAAATTTAGCACTCTGCACGCTTGAGAAATCACCGACCTAACTCTTAATCTTACATTTCATCAATGATGAGCAACACGACTAGAGTATAATTTTAAAGTTAAATACACGCAATGGCCTTACACGTAAGACGTAAGAAAACAAATCTCCAAAAAAAGGAAAGAGCGAACCAAAATCGAGTATTGAAAAAAAAATCCCGATTAGCATGATTCAAATGTAAGTCATGATCATACAGTTATGATAAAATCTGCAACAATTAAACCTGGCCAAAACTAATTTCTAAACAAGAATAAACTAAAAACTGTAAACATTTTCAAGCTAAAAATAATGTGTAACAAAAGACAACGTTTTTAGATACGTTTTAGGTAACCTGAGGTCAAACTCTGAAACTCATAAAGATAACATAGGTATGAATATTGTCAAAATTAGTGCTCACCGTCAAGATAATACAACTATAAAAACTGTTCAAATATGCGGCTCACCATTTGGATTGCATATACACAAAAAAAGTTATACAACTCACCACAAACCATTTCTGTAGTTGCTTATTAACATCTGAACCAACCAGTATGAAACACGTTGCCGGTATCTTTCACTATATCCTCCAGCATAAGTTGAAAATCTTCTCTTATATGATGTATTTTAATGTATAAAAAACGCAATATAAATTTTTAATTTCATTTATACAATATCTGAAAAGTATACCCAGTGATATAGCACAATATATAATCCATAAATATATTGTTTTCGACTTTAAACGTTTTCGACACAACAATAACACCCTGAATACACAACTATAACAACAATGTCACTGTGGAGTAGGATGTAAAATAACACATGCCACCATCACGTCACTACTCATCCGCTGACCGGCAACATCACGAACTCTGAAGTGTGGGCCCTCAACTGTCAACTTGATGACTATAGTGTACACAATGTTTTAACAGTTAACTGCGTGGTGAACTTCGCTCGTTAGAAATAGCTCCTCTGGTATTTCCTTAGGATGTTTTCACTGTCTACTCAGGAAAATGTACATCTTACTCTTAAGCACTGTTTCTTGATAACATTTTTTCCCGTGTCGGGCGTTGGGGGCGCGGGGAGGGGGGAGGGGGGGGCTTGAAACTTTCGGGAGGGGATGGCGAACTTAAATTTTAGAAGCGGGTGTGTGTACACTGGATACAAAGTTTATAATTGTCTATTAAAAATATGATATCTATTTCGCTCGTGGTGGGAGGCAATAGACATGCTTCGGCATAATACAATGTTTTACTGAAATTGTTGATGCTAGTTCGGATAACCAGTACTCATAATCAACTCAACACGTCTTTCACTGAATTATTATTCATAGAAGTCTAAGCCAGGAGCCAGCCAGAACGATGGGCTGCCCCATTTTCAGCAAAAGTTTGGTTCGAAATAGATCCTTACAAGTTAGATACGTTCATTGGATTTTAGCTCTTTAATTAGTTAAATTATGCTGGTGGAATCATTCAGTGGGGAGGGGTGGTATTCGTTAACCAAGATATCATTCGTATAATATATATATATATATATATATATATATATATATATATATATATATATATATATATATATATATATATATATATATATATATATATATATATATATATATATATATATATATATATATATATATATATATCTTGTTGAATTACTTCGAATCACCAACGCGCGCCAACAACGCTGACAACACACAGGGAAGTGAATCAAACTGTGAATGAATATCCGGGTTGTTAACGTTAGTTCAAAGAATGGTTCATTATGCGAGTTACGCCTAAAGTTAGAAGTGGTAAGTGGTAAATGACGTTTTGGAATCCGCCATTTTACTAGGTCCAGTGGGACAACAACGTGTTGTATGTAAAGGCAATGCGCATAATTGTTTGCATAACTGGTATACTTTGGTTGTTTTGTTTCGCCCTACGAAACCCATGATCACGATCTGTTAAAAGCGCCTACTACTGTATCTCTCATTGTGTGTATAGATTGGGGGGAGGGGGGTAAATATCAGTATGTTTGTAATACTAAGAATTTTTTAGAGCGAACCCCGTTTAAAAATCAATCATCTTTCCGGGTATTAAAATACTAATTTTCAAAGTCGTTTTATAGGAATTGTTGTTTCATGTCATCTAGATGTTAATTTTAATAAATAATCAGACTGGCTAGAATTATTGATTTGATCTGTATAGAACATGGGTTCCCAACCTGGGGGTCGCGACCCCCTTGGGGGTCGCGACCCCCTTGGGGGTCGCGAAGGGCTTTCTGGGGGGTCGCCAACTGGTAGACTAAACTCTAGCAATAAATAAAAAACATGAATATTTAGAAAAATATTTAAAATTCGGCATTACTAACATCACTGGAAATGGAATAGAGAATAAACAATTTGTAGTGTGCAAAGTTGTTCTTAGTCAGGAGTCTATGAAAACTTCCAATCGTCAATTTGAGACGAGTCATTTGAACACACCAAAAAAAAGATATGTAGTTCTTTTGTCGGCATGAAGCTAGTTGCAAACGTCAGAGACTTGATCGAACAGAACGTTTTTACCAAGAAAACACAGCATTAGTGCAAGCATCATGTGAAGTAGTATTAGAAATTGCTAAGCAAAAAACCTCTCACACAAAGGAGAAAATCTCATCAAACCATGTATGCTGAAGATGGTCAAATTAATTCTTGGGGATTCCAGTGCAGTAAAGATGCAACAAATATCTCTGTTTAATAATACTATGCAGCGGCTTATGTTAAAAGACAAATTTAGAATGAAATCAAGCTTGCACCATTGTTTGATTTTCAAGTTGACGAATCGACAGAGGTGAGTTCGTGTTCGCAGTTGCTTGTCTTTGTGAAATATATTCATTCAGATGTTAGCAAATAAGAGCTGATGTTTTGTGAAGATATCATGGAGAAAATAAATACGTTTTTTTGAAACTGAGGGATTAAAATGGGAAAACGGCTGTGGGGTTTGTACGGATGGTGCGTCGTGTTTCAGTACGCTGGCTGTCAATAGGAAATGTCAATCGTGTTTTTGAATTGAAAGATGAAATCAAGATGTTCTTGGAAGTGTAAGGAAACAAGACCTTTTGATATACTTTAACGACATGATGTGGTTGGAGAGAGTATCATACCTAGCAGATATATTCGAACATCAACATAAGCTTAACCTGATAAAGGAACGAATATTATCTCTTTTCATGATAATCTCTTGGCATATTTATCAAAGCTGCAAAATTGGCGAGGAAAAATAAATATTTGAAATACTGCCATGTTTGAGAAACTCTGCAGTGTGGTGTGACAGATAAAAAATTTAAAGGATTCTGTGCATCTTGAACCTCTTGACGAACTGCGGAGTTATTTTCCCCGAGCTGAAAGAAGAAGAATCTGCATTGTCACCCATTCTCTGCTTTCCTTGATGTTACCAGCATTGCCGATGAATAACAAGATGAATTCTTAAATTTGCAAAATTTAATTGTTAATGCTAGTTAATGCTTGTTAATAGCATGTAATTTTGCTTATCGTATTAAAACAGTTATCAAGAATAATTCATATTGAAAGTCTACTAGAAAATATTAATTTAGTGCTTATTATTTTCTTTACTAATTTCGACTTGTTAATTATATGGGGGTCGCGGGTCACTTACGTTTTATGAAAGGGGGTCACCACTCGAAAAAGGTTGGGAACCACTGGTATAGAAGATTGGAGTGTTTGCTATTAAAGGATCCCCGCTCGATTAAATGGTCTAGTAATTGGCTACTAAACAGATGACTAATGTGGTGGTTGTATCCAAGTACAAAGTTTAACAACGGGAAATATGTAATGTTTTTATTTGTACTTTGGTGAACCTTTTTTTTTTTAAAATTACATTTTATGAATTAATGGCCATCTGTGTATGTGGTCCTCGCTCTACTTACCCCGTCATTATTTCATGTTGCTAAAAATGTTGTTTTAATTCTTTTTTTTTTGTTTCGGTATATTTTGTTATTAATTTAAAAATTATAGATAAATACTGTGAATATTGACCGAGCTCAGTTTCTATTTCACTAAAAACGAATAACTATAAATAAAGCGGGAATTATCGCCTCCGAATTTTCTCGTATGTTAATTTTTACTTTCTTCATAACCGAGTGTAGAGAATGCATTGTAATCGTGTATAAAAAGCTGATAATTTAAACTGGCTTATTTCCTTGATAGAGCAATGTACCACTTCCGGTTACCGGAAATTGTACTAATGTTGAAATGAACCTTCGCATAAAATCTAATAGTTATGGGGCCCTATTTGCAAGTTTGTCTACCTAGCTTTAATGGTACTCGAGATATTAGCATTTGATAGACCGTAAGTAGAGTACGTATACTTTCCGGCTACCGGAAATTACTTAAAAAATTGAAATAAAACTCCAAATATGATTTAATACTCACACATTAAATTAAATCAAAATTAGTGCAACGGAAATCAAATTATCTCGATTTAGATTTTTGCACGATTACAATGCATCCTTTATACATCGCAAACGATAGAGTGGGGACACGTAAAACGGCGAAAAAACTATTAAAATATCATTACATTTTGTAGCACGATTACAACACTTTCGGTTTACTCTGTATACAAGAAAGTGAAACGAATAATTTAAGCATAAATTTACAAGAAAGTGAAACGAATAATTTAAGCATAAATTATTTGGACATGCTAAAATAAATAATGAAATCATTTAAACACCATAATTTTAAATCTTCATTTATTTGGCTAACATAAAAAATAGCAAAATACATTTCATAGAGACTAACACTATATGCACCGTTGAAGAATATATTTTGATAAGCTGAAATTCCACAACAGAATGGTGAAATACACACACTTTTTAAATCGTAACAATACTCTAATAATGTATTTGTGTATGTTATGGAAAGACTTCTTCATAGTTATCAATCACATCGTGATAGACCCTGTCTGCTTTGTCTGTAGTGGGCACGTCTTGGTGAGGTAGATAATGAATATAGTCGTAACCATCTATGGCCTGAATGTAATCCATGTCTAAGGCTGAAGGCGAAGCTTGAGAGTTTGTGCCTTCATCAGCAGCTCCACAGAGGAATCTGCATTCTGGTATGGTCATCACCACGTCGAGATGTTTCTTAACAGTACATGTGTCATTAGTGTAAAAATGTGACTTTCCTTCTGTCTGTATGTTGCCGCAGTTCACGTGAGTTACGTTACTGTCCGTATTTGCTGTCTGGGTTAGGTTTTCTCCTTGCCTGTTATCTGTTTGGTTCAAGCTTTCATCGTTGACCTGACCAATGATTCTCAAAAAAGACCGTAGAAGCTCCTCGAGAGATTGAAAATTTGGCCTGAGACCTGTATCAACTTGCCAGCAGGACCACATGACCTCGTATCTTAAGTAGACAGAAAAAGTCTAATTAGTTTGAGTCTTACCTGATCATAAACGTCACATAAATATTTCAAACATTAAAGCTTGTCCATAAAACCCTCATCCTTTTTTCTACGTTATGCAGTGATTGGGCAAGTTTAACAAAAGTTCATAGCAAAACGTATGTAAAATACGTATACTTACAGCCTGACTGGGCAGAAGTACGGCCTAGCCAGACGACTCTGCTGCAGATGGCCGTGGACTTCAGAGTTCTGTAGACCAGGGTAGGGGATCAGCCCACGGGTCAACAACTCCCACATTACGACACCAAATGACCACTTTAAAATATAGAGAATAATTATTTCTTTCAACATTTAAAACAACACTTATGGACAAATTAAAGTAAATCTGTTTTCATAAATATAAGGATGAACCAAGCTATGATCATTTTTGTTTAGTAAATACAGTACAAAATGACTCACGACGTCCGACTTAGTAGAGTAGCAGCCAACCTCAATACTTTCTGGAGCCATCCAACGTATGGGTAACATTGTTTTGTTGGTGCTGGTGTAGTAGCTAGAGCCGTACACTGATCGGCACAGGCCAAAGTCTCCAATCTTTACACGAAGACGGTCGTCTAGACTATGTCAACACATTACAAAAAATGTTTCTTTAGATATACATACAACTTTGTAAAAAACAACTATTGGAATACACGTTTTCTAGATTTGAAATTTGAAAGTGGTAAGAAAAAACTAACAATAACTAAGTATAACTGTCTACATACTGAAAGCTATAACAAAATCTTACAGACAGTTTCTGGCAGCCAGATCTCTATGAACAAAGTCCCTGATACTGAGGTACGCCATGCCGCTAGCGATATCTGCCCCATACTTCAGGACATCAGAGAACTTTAGAGTCTAGATGTAGGAAATGTGCTTTTCATTTTTTTAAACTTTCAGTTGGATTTAAATTGTATAAATGTAATATATGCACGTGAGCGGTCATAAAAAACGCGTTTAACTTGTAGTGTCGCCTATAGTTTAGAATAGTATAGTTTTATTTGACATAACTGTATGTAACGCCGTGTTCTTTTAAAAATACTACCAATATTCAATAGTTTAATTATCGTCTAAAAACCCTGAATTTCTTAGTAGACACACCTTACGTTCTAAGTTCTCATGTTTTTCACATCATCTGGTTGGTTATTTTTGCATGGGAAAAGTTATATATTTGTGTGATGACAGCTGTGTGAATTTAAGATTTAATGGATTGAATTCTCACTTTCGCTTGTCATTGTCCCCATGTAGATTCATACTTTCACCTACGAACCATGCTCGTTTCAGTTAAGCACCCGCTCTTAATTCTCGCCATGTATCCGGAAGAGGGAGACCGGGCCAGACGGTCAAAAGGGCACCTGAGTCTGTGTCTTCGGCAAATGGAGCGAATGTGTGGTCAGTTCTTTACATAGCCCATTTTACATTCGCAAGTGCCCATGGGTAACCATTAGACTTTTCTGGACTTTGAGGATCAAAACTACAGCCCCAGCAAAGAATATATAAGCATTCGAAAGAAGGCCTTACATGGAGCGATAGAAAGATTTAATAAAATGGGGGTTTCCAAGGGATGCATTAAATTTCTACATAATTACAGACTGGGAAACGTGAATTTGTAGAATAAGCTTCTTCTATTCAGAAGATTTCATAACACTAAACCTAACACTATCTTACCCTAGTGTTCGGACTAAGTTTATGCTCAATTTGTAAGCAAATCAGTTAAGGAATATCTTATTCCGCTATTTGACAAGCGTATGATGTATACGTATGATTATTGACCGTAGTTAGGATGATGTCCTTTCCTCATTGTGAGTGAGACAATCAAAAAAGGTGACAACTGGTATTTTGTGACGATAAGTGACGATATATAAAAAATCCTTACCACAGACTTGTCGCGAATTAGTGTGAGAAGCGCCCCATTTGACATGTATGGTAGAACCACGTAAAGATTGCCTGGTCCATTTTGTGCCAGCCCTACAAGGCCGAGAACTCTTGGGTGTTGAAAGTCTTTCATCACCAAAGCTTCTTGAATATATTGCTTCGGGTTTTCAAAATGGGACTGAGTATCTGTATTTCAATCGGTAAAAAAGCTATAATTTGGTATAAACCAAGCTATTATAATTATTAAACGTATAAAGTCAGTTAACTTTTACCTATCATTGTTTTTATTGCAACTCTAATTGCTTCGGTTTCCGAGTCCTTTGCCAGTAGTCCTTCATATACTCGTCCAAAGTTGCCTTAAAACGTTTATAAAACATTTCTTTTTATAAACACACACACACACATATATATATATATATATATATATATATATATATATATATATATATATATATATATATATATATATATATATATAGATCATTCGAAAGGCAATAGAGACTTATTCGATTGAGTAATACATGTTTTCAGAGCATTTTGAAATTTCAATAAGAATGTATTTCAATAAAAAATGGCATCATGTGTAAGAAAACTCCGAGGCATGTATTTGCCTATGCGCCAACAACTCGTTAAAAAATTGTGTTTTCGACGCGAAGTTAGTTTGATAAAGATAAAGCAGATTGAACGCCGTGAGCAACGCTTGAATTTGTACTGTTCTGTTGTAAGTATTGAAGAGGTTAGAACATCACTGGGAGACGTGCATAGATCTAAAATCAAATTATGACAAGAAATATACAATTCTGTGAAGAAAAAAAACAAGTTTTATTGGCAGATGCCATACTTTTCAGACAGAGCTCGATATAACACATAGTACCTCCACCTCAGAGATGATGTCATACTAACCTTCTCCTATGGCCTTCCCCACTGTCAAGCGGTCAAGAGTGATGATTAGCTTGTCTATGTCATCTTTCTTGTCCGGCTCTATGAAAGAGTCCAGTACCTGCTTCAGGGTAGGCAACACGTTCTCCCGGCTACCTGCATCAATCGATACGTATATAGGCTATGTATAAAGTCAAAGAAGAGTTGATACATAATTTTTAAATAATAATGACGACTTCTCACACAGGCGAGTGGTTTTCGTGTTTTATTATTTTACCCAATTAAAAATGTGTCCATATATATCTATCAAAATAATTTAAACAGCTTGAAGTAGATATTGAATTTTGATAGTCATTTCATTTATTTTGTTGAATTGTGTGCAACATAACTATAAGCAACCTTTAAAATAAGATAACATTAGTAGAAATAGGATTAAATGTAGGACAAATATTACCAGCAGTGATTTAACCTCTACGCCAAATAAAAGTACCTTGTCGGGCAATGTTAAGACCATACACAACTTTCTTGGCTTTAGACTTTGATACTCGCAGAATGACCAGCAAGCAAACAGCTAACAAAACAGCGGAGGAACAGCCGCCGACAGCAGCAAATATAGCCATCATGGGGTCGCTGACATTCACCTGGTGCCAATGTAGAGTAACCGTGTGGTTCACCTGGAAGTTGCCCAGTGTGATGGAAACATTCACGTAAAGCGTTTCATTCGACGTCTCGTTGTTTAGAAATTTGGATAAATTAGCGCTGAGTTTTTTTAGTGCCTTGGTAGGTGCTTGTGTAGTACCATCAGCAACTGAATTTAGCTGGGCTTCAGTGACCAATTTCGGTGATTGTCTCCCATGTTCAGTGTTAGGGTTATACTTTTGGTTGTGTAGGTTGACTTCCTGACTACTGCAAATTAATTCTCTTGTGCTTGTCTCAAGAACTTCGCAGTTCAAATCTTCAACTTCTATTTTTATATCTTCCATCTTCATCCATGTGGGAATTCTATTGCCCTGTTTTTAAAATAAGAAAATTAGATTGTGCAAGCAAAATGCTAAAACAATATTAAAAAGAGTAGAACTGACCCACTAACTCATAAATGACCTAATAACGAAACAAGAACAGATTAAATGCGCTAGAAACTGAGCTAATGTGGGCATGTCACACGAACTAATTGCCAGTCCAGAACAAGAATGCAGGTCACTGTGTCAATACATAGAAAAGCTGAGGGAAAATACGTCATTTGATAGAAGATGTCTAAAATTGGACTAGTCTACCAACATCGGAATAACAGCAGCAAAGCACGAAGACGGCGGAAAATTATGAGAAAATCATCTGCTGTACCGTAACGACTCCAATAAGTGTTAAGGGATGATTGATCAATAGGTAATTATAGGAAGTGAAAAGATTTTGAATATCCTACCCTTAAAATAAATGTAACGAACATGTCATTGAGCAGAAGAACGTTTATCCCGTGGTCCATGAGCTGGTGAAAGCTGGGGTTTGGGTGGATCTCGAATGTGACGGTGTAGTTCTCCTGACCGTCGGGCTGAATGACTAGAGGGTAGGTCACAAAACCTTTGGGGGTGAAAAGGTTTTGTGTGATCGACCCAGCAAGGTTTGGAGATCGACATAGTATTTCTGTTGTATCAGCTGGTGAGTTACATTCTAATGTCTGCAAGAGAGGTTGTATGACTTTAAGTTTAAAATTTACAATATTTAGATAAACACATATTTCATCAGGTAAATAGTAAACATTTTGTGTATTCCTAACTACCGATTAACAAGACATCAATCAATAGTTTAAATTTCTGATCTGTACTTTAGCTATTGTTTTTTATAAATTTTTATTCATTAAAAACTGTCAGCCTTCTCAACGCGATTCAAGGAAACAATCAATAGCCTTAGTGGTGTACAATGGAAAATAAATAAACCGGAAGTTTAAACCAGAAAATTAGATCTTTTTGAGGTGTAAAACGATGAAAAGTGTCAAAATTTCATGCGAATTTTGTGCACAATTACAATACTTCCTCTATACTCTATACGAGAAAGTAAAAACAAAACACTAAACTGAACAATCAATAGATATAACATAAGAGAAAAATGTCTTTTCTCTTACTTTGGTTGTAGGTACAGAGCTGACATCCAGATATACAGCGTTCCTGTTGGTGACAAATGGACCTGTGACGTTGATCCACGTACCGCCACTGTTCAATAATATTTTATACTAGGGTATAAAAGTAATTTTAAATATTATCAAAGTCTATATAAGTTTCAATCACCGTAAAACATTGAATAGCATTAGTTTATCTGTTGCATTGAGTCCCACACAAACAATACTGAGGCATGAACTATTTTCAGTTTTAACATTTGACCTGAAGTATTTCAATACACAAATTACCGCAAGCTTTCTGTCTCCGCATCTTACCTTATCAAAGTCTTGTTGGGAGAAACAAACAATGGCGTCTGAAGTGTGTGGCTGAATATAGCGTAGGTAACCGTGGTGCTTAAGAAATGAATATAATCATACAATTTAGAATTGGTCACATTGAGCATTAAAGGTAACGTGTTTGTTTATTTATTTATTTTAATTTATTATTAAATTAAAAATCTAAAGCTGTCTTTGAACCAACCCTTTATACGTAAATCTCAAACTTCACGTTACATTTAAAAAACCGTATGGATGGTATCAGAATTTAGGTTATATCTTTTTTCATGTTTCATTTGTGTATATTGAACTGTCTTTAAATATATAATAAAGAACCTGGACCCACAAAAATAAATGACTAGTGATTTGTTCTGTTCGGGGCCTTCATAAATCGATGAAAGGGCAATTTTGGGCAAACATTCATGTTTAGTTCCCGAGTTCGTATCAGTGAAGTAATTGCGTCTAGCATCGTTAATAGTCACCTGAGCTGTCATGAATTGTGACTTGTTAATGATAGTCACCTGACTCACACAGGTAGTCACCTGCTATAACACTAACCTCATATACAGGAGGATTACAATAAACAAAAACTGACCAATTAACACGACCTTTAGTTAACTGTGTGATCAAACTACAGACATAAATACACGACTTAGAAATATACTATTAACCTTTTAGTAAGTTCCTGGTAAGATCTCTGTGTTGTGTGTCGTTTAGGTATTGTGGCGTATGTTACTTTTGGCGCTGGTCTTCTTTTTTGTTTAGCCTTATTTTTATCCGCAGCTATTTGTGTTGTCTAAATAAAATTCAACATTAATCATTACAAGATATTGGAGAATGTGTTAACAAGATATGCATTATGATGGCTTTAAGTGTTTTCTTCTTATTTCTTCTTCGTTTTTAAATTTAGTATTGGTAGGGATTCTCTACAACACAATTATGTATTACGTGTTAACTTGTTATGCGTCATATAGACCATTGACTCCTATTTCAGCCTGCTTTTCTTTTTTGGATTTGCTTCCAAAGCCTTTGACCAACCAAGAACAAACTTCAAGGCAGCAGTTGTTTGATGTTGGAGTTGTCTCTCCTAGAAGAGTTGCTGTCCCCAGCTAGCGAGCCTCATCTTCACGGGGCGCTTGTCTTGAAAGAGCAGCTTTAGGGTTACAAAGTTACAGTGTTAATTCAACGCCCTAATAAAACTAATCTCCAATAATTCCCATGCTATTACAGTGCAGAATGGAGTCTAAAACAACAGCTACACTTCCGTGTTGATGCTCGCCCTCTTGATGAGAGTGTCTTTAAACCGGCATAATCTCCACGCTAGCAAAAAAATATTGACCATTACAGTTAACGCTCTCTTGACCGAAGGATTAACATGCTGACCACGCGACAGCCTGTTTATTCAAATAATGTGTTAGCTAGTAAAGTTATTTTACTACCCTTAGTGCCCATCAATAACAAAATATTATTGAGGCACAGTGCAATGGTTGAACATATGCAGGCTACTTGAATGGGTAGTAACTTGGCTAAAGGGTCTTCTATAAATGAAGAAAAGAATGTTGTTGTTAACCCCTCATATCATATATCATCAAACATAGTCAGACACACTCTGATGAATTCACATTTGATCAACCATCCTTACCTAAATGCCTGTTTTTACTTTTTTAAAACAGCTATTTTAAAAAAATCTATTTACCTTGTCCAAGATTTTTATAACAATTTGCAAAAAATATTTTAAAAATGCAAAATGACTTCAAATTTAAGTTAAAAACTGAAGGGCCCCCTCCCCTTCCCCCTGGCCGATCCATCTTTGATTCTCATGTTCATTCTACTACAACCCCTTGCACACACATATACATACACACACACACACACATACACACACACACACACACTTACCAGTGTTAAATAAACCAGAAGACAAAAACTGAAGCTCTTCATCGTGTCTGCCTAACGTTTTCATACATGTCTCTTGTGTTTAGCTCGTATTTAGTTTAAGTCTAGTCTGAAAACTTGCTGTTGAAAACTCACTGTAATCTCTGTATTTACATCGCTTTAAAAAATGCCGCTATATATATTATAAAGAAATCATATATATATATATATATATATATATATATATATATATATATATATATATATATATATATATATATATATATATATATATATATATATATATATATATATATATATATGAATTTGCTTGGTGACTCATTCCAGTGCTCGGGGCGGAATTCAATTTGACCCCCCTTCCTTTTTAAATTTACCAGGCTTTACACCTTGCTTTGTTTAGGTTTTCGAAAAGAATCTGTTACCCTATATATTTAACTATACTAATACTAATTAGTTCTAAACTTAATACTTTTTCTAATTAATCACGAAAACGTTTCAATTGAAAACAAAACTGTGTTCGCTAAAAAGCAAGTCTTCTCTCTTATTTTGCTAGCTTTGATTACCTGAGCGAGTAAAAACGTGTCGGTGCCAAGGCCTGGATCGGGTGGAGGGGAGGGGGTAAGCACTCGACTGCTGTCCCAAAAGTATCGAGTTCGGATACCGGACCCAAGCATGTGGGTCGTACCTCAACCCGTTCAGCCCCGCGGGTAACTATTAAGTTACGGAAAGCAAAAGCTGCTGATCATAGAACTTATCACATTATGTCTTTCATACCGAGAACAAATAAATAGATAAACTCTACTTCACCTGCTCTATGAACACAATCAACTAAGGAGCAAACGTTAGAACTCACCGGCAAAATTTAATTTAGTTTTATCATCAATCAATCTTGTATATTATTCGAAATATCACACAATTGAAAATTGAATATGCTTTTTTTAGTAAGCAATATATGACCATTAAACCCAGTGTTATAACATTTAAAAAAAACATGCACTTTGTGTTCTGAATTACTTTGTTTCAGTAATTTTGTTTTAGACACGACCATACCCCGAGTACACAACTATAACAACAATTGTTGAGAAGTAGGATGTTAAACAACCCATGCGACCTGCACATCGATACGCCACTCATTCAAATGTAGGCCAGTGGTTCTTAACCTTTTCCAGGGTACCGAACCCCACCAGCTTCAAATGCGCAAACACTCAACCTTTCTTAATAATTGTATCGTCCGCAATGACGAAATCCGATAGCCAATTTGAGTCGGGTGCATACGTTGTTTTTAACCGAACACGTGAGACTCACCGAATCTCTGGGGTTTGATCGAACTCAGGCTTAGACCCACTGGTGTAGACCCTCAACTATGTTCTAGTATGTTGGGTGGAGCGTACAAAAAAAGTTCACTGCTATTTGAACTTTGCCTGTTAGATACCGCTACTTAGACATTGCTTTGTTGCTGTTTTTTTGTTTCTACTCACGAAAATAAGCATCCGTGTGTATTTCTCATATATATTTTTCTACGTGGAAGGGCGGGGGGGGGGGGGTGATTTTACATTCCAGGGCATGGGCAGATTCTAGTTAAAGTAAATATTTTTAAGGCGGACGAAACAATTTTATCAAAAATTCAAACAATTTCTTTTGCTGATTGTTTTAACAAGAAGTGATTTTGTATCAATGTTTTAGTCGGTGTTAGCGACGCCCAACGCTGTTTGGGGACTTAAGAGTCAGCTCCCCTTGTTCTATTCTTAGCTGTTTGGCAACTCGTTAGAATCTCTTCTTCTGTGACTTCGTGTGCATTTTCTGTAGGATATGGAGCAGAGCTTTGTCCCAGTGTTGATTATTAATGCTTTTTGATGTTCTTGGCATCAGCTACCTCGGATGCCTAGTGTTCATAATCACCTCAACAGACACACACACACACACACACTCACACACACACACACACACACACACACACACATATATATATATATATATATATATATATATATATATATATATATATATATATATATATATCTTGTTGAATTACTTCGAATCACCAATGCGCGCCAACAACGCTGACACCACTCAGGGAAGTAAATCAAACTGTGAATGAATATCCGGGTTTTTAACGTCATTTCGAAGAATGGTTCATTAGGCGAGTTACGCCTAAAGTTAGAAGTGGTAAGTGGTAAATGACGTGTTGGAATCCGCTATTTTACTAGGTCAAGAGGGACAACAAAAATATATTATGTGTAAAGACAATGCGCAAAGTTGTTTATATAACTGCTGTAGGCCTTCTTTAGTTATGTCTTGTTTTGGCGCAATTTTCGGTTTTTGTTTTGTTGTAGACGCAAATGAAATTCAATAAAAATACATAAGGAAAACGTTATCGCCTTCTATCAACATCGTTGTCTCAGACTTCATCAAGATAGATTAATGAATGAACACTGGTAATAATAATGTTGCCCATGTATCAGACCCCCCACTCACCCAGATGTTGCCCATGTATCAGACCCCCAACTCACCCAGATGTTGCCCATGTATCAGACCCCCAACTCACCCAGATGTTGCCCATGTATCAGAACCCCCCCCCCACTCCCCCACATGTTGCCCATGTATCAGACCCCTCCCCAGATGTTGTCCATGTATCAGACCCCCTCACCCAGATGTTGCCCATGTATCAGACCCCCTCACCCAGATGTTGCCCATGTATCAGACCCCCTCCCCCACATGTTGCCCATGTATCAGACCCCCAACTCACCCAGATGTTGCCCATGTATCAGAACCCCCCCCCCCTCCCCCACATGTTGCCCATGTATCAGACCCCTCCCCAGATGTTGCCCATGTATCAGACCCCCTCCCCCAGATGTTGCCATGTATCAGACCCCCTCCCCAGATGTTGGCCTTGGTGTGCTTAAAGGTGTCTTGGGATTTTAAGGATGGCCCGGAAAATACTTTTAATGGATCCTCGTATATAAGAGTCTATACAACAAAAACCCTATGTACCAACCGACACACTCAACGATAGCCTACGCCTCTTGGATATGCAAATGGAACATATCTTAAATAGGGAAGATTTGTCACCACATGACAAAGTGAAACAATATCTAAAGACACTACAGCTCTACACGACGCAACTTAGTGATTATAGAAACAAGTCACTAGGAATAGCCGATGTGAAACCACCCACCGTGAATACCCCAACGACCGAGGTTGAAAAACCACAAGAAAACATAACGGAACCTAAAAAAGAAACGATAGACATAACAGACTCTGAAACTAAAACAAAATCCGTCTCGCCTGACTCTAAAATTCACCCCTCGAAGAAAAAGAAGACACACGTAGAAAAAACAACACCCTCGAAACGTACCAGAAGTAAGAAAAATAAAACAAGCACTACCAAATGGGACGAGTGGGAAAAAACCAAACACTAAAAATAAACTGGGAGCGATCTCCCCTAAACTTTCTCGAATATTCATATATAAAACAACAGGGGATGGGAACTCGGGCTATAAAATAAAAACTTCGCTGGTAGTCGAAATTCTTTGATGTGTGGAATAATTTGAAAGAGGTGTAGTTAATGGTTGTTGGGAGCCGACATAAAGAACTTTCTATTTTTGTACACGTTCGTTGTGGTGGAGTATTTTAAAATTAAAAAAAAAACAATTAAATAAACAACAAATAAACAAATAAACAAATTTAAAATTAATTCAAATTAATTCAAATTAAAAAATAAAAATTTAAAAATTTAAAAATTTTAAATTTAAAAATTAAAAAAATCAAAATCGAATTAATTAAAATTTAAAAAATCAAACTAATTAAAAAATAAAATTTAAATTAAAAAATAATAATTAAACTAATTAAAAACAAAATAAAATTTAAAAATTTAAATTTAAAAAAAAATTTAAATTTAAATTTAAAAAATTAAAAAATTAAAGTAATTAAAAATTTATAAAATTACAAAATTAAAAAGAAAATAAATTAAAAATTCAAACTAATTAAAAACTAATTTAAAAAATAATTAAAAAACAAACAATTAAAAATTCAAACTAATTAAAAACTAATTTAAAAAATAATTAAAAAACAAACAAATAATCAAATTACGTAACTAGTTACTAAATATTACAAAATTAAAGACAAAATAAATAAAAAATTCAAACTAATTAAAAATTAAACTAATTAAAAAATAATTAAAAACAAACTAATTAAAAACAACAAACAAATTAATTAAAAACAAAGAAACAAATTACGTAACTAGGTCACGGGTGGTGATTACGTCACAAAGTCACCCCCTCACCTGACCTACTGACCTACTGACCGACTCCCCCTCTCCCCCCCCCCCCCTGCTCCTGCGCCTCCTCCCCCTCCGCATCCCCCTCCGCATCCCTCTCCGCATCCCCCTCTGCATCCCTCTCCCCCTCCGGAGTATTTTACTATATCTCATTGTTCCTGTGCTTGGAGTATTTTACTATATGTCATTGTCCCTGCGGCTCCCCTCCCCCTCCCGAGTATTTTACTATATATCTTTGTCCCTGCGGCGCCTGCGCCTGCGCCTACGACCCAAAAGTGACCTAATATACTACTATCAGGCCCCCCTCTCTCCCAGATGTTGCCCGTGTATCAGACCCCCTCTCTCTGCTAGGTTGACCAGATAATGACCATATAACTGCTAGGCTGACCAGATACTGACCACATAACTGCTAGGCTGACCAGATACTGACCACATAACTGCTAGACTGACCAGATACTGACCACATAACTAACTAGACAATGACGACATAACTGCACTTTTATTTTTACGAAAACATTCAGACAGCAACAACCACTTTCCGTGTTATACATACATCAAACACCATACTGTCTGTACAGAAGGAAGTTATTAAAAACCATAAGGAAGAGAATTAATTACTTAGATCGACTTTTAACTTGACAAGGAAGAAACTTGTATTGTCAACATTAAAAAAAAACTTTAGCGTTGAATATAAACATATTTTCAACACTGAACATGTAATAAATTTACAATTCAACACTGAACATCTTTTAAACTTATACATCAACACTAACATCTAACCGCTTGAATCTTTAGCCATGTTTTGAAGTTCATAGTATCTGGCATCGCGATCTAATACCACTTTATGTTCACCCGAAACTTCCATGGAGTGTGTTTCCGAAAGTTCCATTGAGTGTATTTCCGAAAGTTCCATTGAATGTGTTTCCGAAAGTTCCATTGAGTGTGTTTTAGCTTTCTGTTTTGAGGGCTTGGAATGAGATTTCTTTTTGGTTAACTTGGCAAGTTCGTTCGAGAATACGGGTGCTGACTCGTAGTTGTCCACCAGTTGTAGGTATAGCTCTGCCGCGTTTTTCGTGACCTCACGATGCGAGTAGCAGACGGGAATGATGATGGCACAGTTCCTGACGACACTCCTTGCAGTCTCCGCCCCCACCTTTACTTCATCACCATCGAAAGAAGCGCCGCCGGTTTTTCTGTCTGAAGATGGTTTTGTTTTTCTGGATTTCGGTACGGGTTTCGTGATTTCGTTTCTCTTCTGCGAGTCGCCCGTGGAGAGGTTCATGTAAGGTTGGAAGGTGAAGAGGGTGGGGGTCGCAGGGGCGGGGTCGTCGGTGTTTTGGCTTGTCTTCCTGGCGTTGTTGAGGTAGGTAGTGGGCGAGTCCGGAGAGGTTTGACCTATCATGGCAAGAAGTTCACAGTGCAGGGCCTTGAAGGAGGGTCTCAAGTTAGGGTCCTTGGCCCAGCACTGCATCATTAGATTGTACCTGGGGAAATAAGGGTGTATTACATGTTTATAAAACATACAAAGCAATGATACAGTAATACTGTCATTATTATTTTTTTGGTAAAGCTATTTTTTTTATTTTACTCAACAAACAACACACCTATAGAGGATTATATAGAAGAGTAAGGGTGGTATGTTAAGTTTATTGTAGATATCATTAGTTTTTTTTTTAAGAAATGCAAGCGTAAAATTATATTTTAAGACTCTTCTTAACATAAATGATCTTTCCTTAAAGCTGTTGTTAGATCAGGATCAGAGTTATTTGGGCTGAAACAAACGTTGCATTGATTTATAATAAAAGCGGAGGTCGTAATGTTTATACTATGATCAAACGGGCTGCAGAATGGTGAGATAAAAACAAGTCGTTAGCGAAAGCCACCAATGTTGTGTACTCGCTGCGTCTTCCGAATCTTGAGGAATTTCGTGAGTCTGTTCTAGCAAAAATATTGTTCAAAAAACACTAGAACGAACATTTATTACTTCCCTTTTTTAAAAAATATCATCGTTTACTAATGTTACGCTTAGAATTCAAATTAAGCCATTGTTCAAAAATCAAAGTTGTGTGGTAACTAAAATATCTTTGAACGCAACCCAAAAAAGCTAAGTCTATATGTTAATTGTAAATTATTTCAGATATAACAAATGACACAAGCTGAAAGGTGTCTTACAATTCCTCTGGGCAGAAGTGGGGCGGTGGCAGACGACGCTGACGTAAGAAGTTGATGACGTCCCAGCCGTCAACACCAGGGTATGGAGTTACTCCCCTTGTCAGCATCTCCCACAGGACCACACCAAACGACCACTGTGGTAAACCAACATCATTAAAGGTTAAATCAAATCCACACGATTTTACAGGTAAAAAAAATTTAGGTAATTTTATTTCAAATCAAAATGGTATTATTTATATTTAAAAATACTGTTTTTAATAATGTAATTTTCAATAAATAAGTTTAGTGAAGGGTAGATTGCACAACGTTTGAGTGTTGGCGAATTGTTATTATTTTGTTATTGTTCATACAAAACTAGATAAAAAAAATTGAGGCGAAGTTCTTTTATACTTTATAGCTAATTGTACATAATCTATCTCACAGTATTTGTAAATAAACAAGGCTCGACAACTATTGACAACTAAAAAGTTTCAACTCTGTTTTAGCATGACAAGTGCCATGAAGCCTAGAGGTACTTATTTCATGCTATAACCTTTGGACACAATACAACATCTTACTTGGTACTGTAACCCCCATATTTACAACACCTGACTTAGTACCGTAAGCCCCCATACTTACAATATCTAACTTGGTAGTGTAAGCCCCATACTTACGACATCTAACTTGGTACTGTAAGCTCCATATTTACAACATCAGAATTAGTACTGTAAGCCCCAAACTTACAACATCAGAATTGGTACTGTAAGCCCTAAACTTACAACATCTGACCTGGTACTGTAAGCCCCATACTTACAACATCTGACATTGTACTGTTAGCCCCATACTTACAACATCTGACATTGTACTGTAAGCCCCATGTTCTATACTTACAACATCTGACTTAGTACCGTAAGCCCCATACTTACAACATCTGACTTGGTACTGTAAGCCCCATGTTCTATACTCTCTATAGCCATCCACCTAATGGGCAGTTTTTTCTTGTTGTCGCTGGTGTAGTAGCCCTTCTCATAGATGTCCCGACACAGACCAAAGTCGGCCACTTTAGCACGATGGACACTGTCCAGCCTGTTACAGGTATGCACAAAAAGGCAACATTAAACTCTAATGTTGGAATGATGCTGGTCACAGGTCTAGAAATCACATCATAAAGACTTTCGGTCTACTAGAGCTATGTGAAATGTCAACTGAGCTTGGCTCCGCCCACAAACTAACGGCTACTCACATGCAGTTCCTGGCAGCCAGGTCTCTATGGACGAACTTTAGTGAACTCAGGTACGACATGCCGTCTGCTATATCGGCGCCAAACTTGATGACGTCATGCAATGTTAACGTCTGAATTATAGATAGCGTGTCAGTGTGTAGCACAGTGTACGTAATACAATATCATTTTCAGAATTTGTATGTCATGTTTATATTTGTAAAAAAATGTTGATTGTCACGTGGTGTTTACTACGTCTACATACCACGGCGGAGTCCCGGACGTAGGTCAAGAGGTCACCGTTCTCCATAAAAGGCAGCACAACGTAGGGCACGCCCCGCTCTTTCTCTGACAAACCAACCAGTCCCAGGACGTTGGGGTGTTGGAACTCTCGCATCATCACGGCCTCTTGGACAAAACCCTTCAGGTCGATGCTGTGGGACATCGAGTCTGGTTCATGTAAACAAACGCGTCTGGTCATTCACAATTGTCAAACGGACATTAGATTTGTGTTGGGGCTAAGCTGAATATCTAGAAAATGTGGTTCCGGTTTAACTGACTGCGCTGGTTGACTTTGCTGACGTGTATTTTGCTATCGGGCGTTAAAAACACACAATGTTTTTAGAGCCAATATTCCAAACTACTCACACTATCCTATCAGGTAAGGTAAAATAATAATTACAAAATAATCGTAGATCTATATAGATCTAGATTACTTTATTTTCAGTATGCTTAGTTTTGAGTTTTCTGGGCATAAAATATAAACATAAAAACTCCAACCATTTATTATCGTTCAGAGATTCTTTGCTAATTTAACTATCATGCGTCCCTCAAAATAAAGGAGGTTGTAATGGTATTATTTAAACATTATGTCCGCGATTTGTTGGCCAAAGGGCTGGTTCATATACATACGAACAAAGTTGTTGTGTTACAAACCTTGCAAGGTTTTGATGGCGACCTTTAAGGCCGGAGTTGCTGGTCCAACATCCAACAGACCCTCAAACACGCAGCCAAAGTTTCCTGTCAACAAAACATGACGGGAATATAACTAGGACAACTAAATTACTACATTTCTGATATTCGCTTTAGCCTGTTACAAGTTTCATCACTATTTTGTAGCTCTATGGATAATATTGGATGGAGACTATGAGCAGTACTGTTACATACATCTCATTTTCCAAATGTTTGATAATATTGTCTGATCCATTTCCGTGCTAGGAGTACGATTCAAAAATAATCGTTGATAAATTTGGATTCTACATAACATATACAACACATACAATAGATAAGACAGATGCTACATTGAATATATATATATATATATATATATATATATATATATATATATATATATATATATATATATATATATATATATATATATATATATATATATATATATATATATATATATATATATATCACATACAATGTATGACAGCCAACAACTCACAACAAATTAAAACCCATCAACTGACCTGATCCTATTGATTTTCCAACAGTTAATCGATCAAGGCCGATGATCAGCTGGCTGATTTCCCCCAACTTCTCTGGCTCTATCACAGACTCCAGAATCTCCTGAAGGGTAGGTACGGGAGCCGCATCTGGTCGTTAGAGTTTTAGATTTGATTCAATCGTTTGGGAAATAGAAAATACATTTGCTTTACAAGTTTAAATTTAAAAGTTTTTTTTTTTTTTATTTCATGAATTATTAGAACAGCAGATCTGTCTTACAATTTAAGTTAAAGAGTAAACATAAATATAAAGATTTATTTAAAACTAACAAAATACTTTGCTATTTCTTGAGAAAAACATGATAGGTAAAATAGATGGGAGTGAAGCATGTTGCCAACATGAACGGGAAATTGTAAACAGATAATTGGGCGAACAGATATAAAGATGTGATCTGGAGATAATATCAGGAATTTGATCTACAAAGATGATCTACAGTCATGAGACATCTTGAAGAAAATTTGAAGCCACCCATACAGATCGTGATATATGTTTAGGTGGAGCCAAATAAACATGAGACAATCAAGTTACACAGCTACCTGGATAACGCCGTGATACCCAATAAAAGATGAATAAATATATACAACTATATGGAAAAGGCAAATAATTTAAACAACTACCTGGAGAAGGCCGATCAATCTACACAACTACCTGGAGAAGGCCGATCAATCTACACAACTACATGGAGAAGGCCGATCAATCTACACAACTACCTGGAGAAGGCCGATCAATCTACACAACTACCTGGAGAAGGCCGATCAATCTACACAACTACCTGGAGAAGGCCGATCAATCTATACAACTACCTGGAGAAGGCCGATCAATCTACACAACTACCTGGAGAAGGCCGATCAATCTACACAACTACCTGGAGAAGGCCGATCAATCTACACAACTACCTAGAGAAGGCCTATCAATCTAAACAACTACCCGGAGAAGGCTGATAAATCTACACAACTACCTGAAAAAGTCTGATCAATCTAAACAACTACTTCTAAAAGGCGGATATTCTACACAACTACCTTTAGAAGGCCGATCAAAATAACGTCGACTCTTCTGTAAAGCTTTGGCCTTTGACCTCCTGACGAAGCAGAACGTGGCGGCCACAACAATGGCAGCCACAGCCACGGCGCTTATGCTAGCCAGGATAATTTTCATGGATGCTGGCATCGTGGTAGGTTCTGTCTTAGAGCTGGAGGATTCGAACCTCATGTGGCCCAGTGGGTAGTGTATGTTCCCGACCTGTAGGCTCACGTTAAACCTGAAGAAGTTGTTGTCCTGGGTGTAGCATTCTTTGATTGTCATCGGCGGAGTTGTCGGACGTGATGGGGGAAGTCTAGTAGGAGTTGTCGGACGTGATGGGGTAACTCGGGAAGCGGTTGTTGGACTTTGTGAAGGCTGGGTTGTTGATTGCGATAGGGGCAGTGTAGAAGGAGTTGTCGGCCCTTCTTGTAAAGACATTGCGTTTTTTATAGTACTAGTCTGTGGAAAATAGATTGGAATTAAAGTCAAATTAACGGTTTTATATGGTTTTCAAATGTATAGATGGTACTTCTTCATTATGCGAATTTTATTGTAGTTACATTTTTTATAAGTAACTTTCAACTGAATTATAGCTTTGCCGCGTAAATCGTGTGTGAGTTATTTAATCTTGTCGATAGTTAAATATAAACGAACATATTATAACCATTACACAACATAAGAAAATAGACGTAATATAGTTATTAGGATTTGACACTTTGTACCATAAAACCCACCCATAGTTACCGCCCCACTTAACTATATAACACACCCACTCTGGTTACCTCACCACTCTATTTACCTCACCACTCTATTTACCTCACCATTCATAAAATGACTTCAAAATTTACCTCACATTTCCAGATTTACAATGTCATCTGTCTCACCATACTTGTCACTTTTCTCCATTAAAATACTTAACCCCCCCCCCCACCTCCCCACACACACAGCCACTTTAAGCTCACTATCCTGCTCTCCCTTATATCATAAGCTTATCATAAATCCCTCCCCTTAAAGACAATCTCTCCCTTATATCATAAACGTATCATAATTCCCTCCCCTTAAAGGCATTCTCTCCCTTACACTATAAACTAATCAAAATTCTTTCTTGTTAAAGACATTCTCTCCCTTACACTATAAACTAATCAAAATTCTTTCTTGTTAAAGACATTTTCTCCCTTACACTATTAGCTAATCATAATTCCCTCCCGTTCAAGAGTTCTAACACTCTACACACACTCGCCTCATTAAAAAATATGAAGGGCTGTGTCGTCAACTCCTTGTCTACAAAAGTGCTTGTTTCCGTTGGACTTGGAGTTGTCTGTAGCTTTTTCATTTGTAGAACGCAAAGGCTCATCTTAGTGGCCATCTCAGAGCCGTTGCACGTGATGGTGGTGGTGTTGATGTGGGTCACGGGGCATCTGGTCAGCCCCAGGGTCACCTCGATCTCTTGCTTGTCAAGCCAGGTGGGGATGTTCTCACCCTGTCGACATACGTTGATGGGGTTAAAACATGGTACACTCGCTACTTGGATGCCTGTGAGGTTAAATCATTGGCTACAGGGCCACCTAACTGTTAGTTAAAGGCTACTGAATGCAGAGTTACCTGACAGTTGGGTCAATTTTACAGGTTACTAGGCTACATGTTTGTAAGGTCTAGTTGCTACTAGGTTACCTGATTGTAAGGTCTAGTTGCTACTAGACTACGTGATTGTAGGGTCTAGTTGCTACTAGGCTACCTGATTGTAAGGTCTAGTTGCTACTAGGCTACCTGATTGTAAGGTCTAGTTGCTACTAGGCTAAATGATTGTAAGGTCTAGTTGTTACTAGGCTAAATGATTGTAAGGTCTAGTTGCTACTAGGCTCCATGATTGTAGGGTCTACCAGTTGTGTAGCCACTTTGACCGGGTGGTGCCTTAGAATAGAAGATTTTCTGTCCAGGCACTACTGCACTAGGCGAGGTTACCTTTAGCTTTGGCTAACGACACACTTTAATTTATCTAAATTAATCATGTATATCGTTCGGTACTAGCCCGAGGGTCTCGAGTTCGGATCTCGGTCCGGACTTGTGACTGTAGGACGTTCTTGAGTTCACCCAGCTCGCATAGGTACCTGTCTCACGTAGGGGAAAGTAAATGCGGCTGGACAACGCCATCACTTCATATGCAGAGGTCAACAAACATTTGAGCTCTACTTCATCTGCCCAATGAATTTTTACGTCTGAAAAAGGCGTTTTTTAGGGTAGTCAGTGGCGTAGCGAGGGGGGAGGGGGGCGGGGGTGCGGACCGCACTGGGTGACACCATTTAGGGGGGTGACACCAAGGCAAAAGATAGCAAAATATATAGAGAAAAATTGATAATTCCACTTGATTAAGTGATTAATTCGAGTGTTAAATAGTCTTTTAAGAGGTGCAAATCGAAAGTTTGAGGGGTGGAGGGGTGCAAATCGAAAATTGTATGTTTGTCCCCGCGAAGGGTCGCTACGCCTCATGGGGGTGACACCATTAAGTGCCGCACCGGGTGACACCCGACCTCGCTACGCCACTGAGGGTTGTGTATAACTTAATTCATATAATATGCTTCTATTTCAATGATTAAAAAATTGGCAACATTGTTGCCTTTTTTTTTAATGCAGCTAGCTCACCTTTAAAACTATTTGAGAGTGTGCGACCGTTAAAGGTTTGGAAAAATCGTTGAACGATCTGATGTATGGGTCCTTGTGGATCACAAACGCTGTGCTGTTGCGTGTGGTGTTGTAGTTGTCCATTGAAACGACCAGGTAGGTTTTGTTAAACTTTCCCTGGTGAAAATTGCTGTCTTGGTCCAGAGCGGTCGTCTTAAGATTGGGACTTTTGCAGATCATTTGAGACCCGTTGTTGAAGAGCGTGCAATTTGTGAATGGCATTTCCTGAAAAATGAGTATTTTTATGAGTTTTAATTATTTAAAAAAAAATATGAAACTCTAGATTTAACTATGTAGCGTGAACGTGAATCTGGACAGAAAACAGACCACAGCATTGTTTCATGTCTTTCTCTTAAAAAGTGTGAACTCTATTTCACCTGCGCTATTGATCGCAAATGACAATTATTTTAAAAAATAGTTCTTCTATTTTTAAAAAAAAATAGTTCTGGCATAAAACGTAGCAAACAATCTGGAACAAATTAGTTAGTGTTACTAAATAGAAAATTCACATATATACACACATGCACACACACCTACAAACTCACTCTCAAACACACACACAACTCACCAAGACAGATGTAAGCCTGATCCCGAGAATCAGCTGTGGACGTTGAACACTGTCAAGGCTGGAGCCGCTAATTGTGACCTTTGAACCGCCGCTGGGTAATTATATATATATATATATATATATATATATATATATATATATATATATATATATATATATATATGTGTGTGTGTGTGTGTGTGTGTGTGTGTAGTATATGGCGAGGTAATCTAATAAAAGTCCAACATTACAGTTGAGACCTTGCCAGAAACACATATGTCACAGGATGTGACTGATCCTGGGGGGTATCTGAAGTTGTATTTGTAGGATGTCTAGATATCAGAGTGAGGATCTGTATGAGAGAGATGTCTGAGTCGAGAAATGAGAACCGCTGAGCGTATAGAGATGATTTTTAGTGGGAGAGAAGCATGTTAGTTTTAGGCTGATTTTGATTAGAACAAATAATGGAGAAGTTGTCATAAAAACATTGCTGTATGTCCTCTGTTATAGTTTGTGTTGAAAATATTGTTTCACTTATTCAAGTTTCCGGGTTTCTTCTCTTTCAAGATTTTAAATATAAAGCTGAAATGCACAGATAAGTTTATCTCAAAAGCCAGGGCAGGGCCTGGCCGGTACGGTTAGTGTAGATTAAACAAAACACCAAACCAGCTCATAAGAGTATCCACACAGGCAGTGGTTTATCTATTGCTTACATTCAATAATCAAACAATCTCTACAGTTGGATATCTCAAAGTCTTGTCACAATTCGTGTACAAATATGTTAGTGTACCAACCACAATAACAAATTTAATTACCTAATGAAGGAGTTTTTGGGCGAGATACTGTAGACCACTGGATCAGGCAGGAAATGGAACTGTGTTCTGTTGAACGTTTCCGTGAAGGCGTCAATGGTCAAACTGATGTTGGCGGGATTGTGTCGTGTTGGTGATGAGGAGTTGGAGATCCAACATTTGGCTTCGTTGGTGCTGGTGGACGTGACACAAGTTAGTAAACACGCCAGGAAAACGGGGAATAAAATAATAGTTCCATAGTGTGGATAATGTCAACTATTACAGTGTTGTGTGATTAGCACTATGGTCAGCTGTCTTTACTTTCCCCAACTCAAGTCAGGTACTTATTAAAGCTGGGTTGGCCTGAGCCGTGCCACAGACCAATACTTAAGAATTTATCAGAGAAGGATTTGTAACAGGCAATTATTGTACAGCAAAACCAAGCGCTATTTCTTTTGACACGCGTCCTATATACAAGCGATTTAATCACAAAATATACTGAATGTCATCTCTTAACTGGTCCAAATAACCGTACATGTGATAATGAATGTCACCTCTTACCTTATCCAAATGACATGTCCTACTAAATGTTATCTCTTACCTTATCCAAATGACATGTCCTACTGAATGTCATATCTGACCTTGTCCAAATGACATGTGACACTTAATGTCATCTCTTACCTTGTCTCAATGACCGTACATGTCCTATCAGCTAGCGAAATTGTCCTGTTGCTCCCAGAATTCAGAAATCTGCCTCTGACAGTTAAAACTGTCCCCCCAGAAATGGGCCCTTTTGTTGGTAGAACGGACTCAACCACAGGCACCTGAAAAAACGTCAGCCATGATTGTTTAACAAATAGATCCTACATCAAGCAAATAAAACTGCTGTAATAGTCAGTAGCTTAGACCAGTTCTTTCTTCAGCTGGGTAGAGTTTTAAGTAATTTCTCAGGATTGCTGGGCGTTTCTGAGTCCACCCAGCTCGTACCACACAATTCCTTCACATACCGATGTCAAGAAACATATGTCAAGAAACATATGTCAAGAAACATATGTCAAGAAACATTTCAAGAAACATATGTCAAGAAACATATGTCTAGAAACATATGTCTAGAAACATATGTCTAGAAACATATGTCAAGAAACATATGTTAAGAAACATATGTTAAGAAACATGCCAAGAAACATATGTCTAGAAACATATGTCTAGAAACATATGTCAAGAAACATATGTCAAGAAACATATGTCAAGAAACATATGTCAAGAAACATATGTCAAGAAACATATGTCAAGAAACATATGTCAAGAAACATATGTCAAGAAACATATGTCAAGAAACATATGTCAAGAAACATATGTCAAGAAACATATGTCAAGAAACATATGTCAAGAAACATATGTCAAGAAACATATGTCAAGAAACATATCAAGAAACATATGTCAAGAAACATGTCAAGAAACATATGTCAAGAAATATGTCAAGAAACATATGTCAAGAAACATGTCAAGAAACATATGTCAAGAAACATGTCAAGAAACATATGTCAAGAAACATATCTATTTCATATACCACATATACCGAAAGGTCTGTAAAGGGAAGTAACTTATTTTTCTTTACTAAAGTGATGTTCAAGTAGGCTACATTCTTTTCTAAGAAGACTTTGACAATTAAAGCTTTTCCACTCAGAAATGTAATTGATAGCGTCAGTTTGTCTTGCCATGGTCTCTTACGTGTTACAGTTTTCATCATCGGTTTGTGAGGGCTGATACAGATTGACAATAGTAATGATTGACAATTAAAACCATTATTGTTGTCCTTAAAAAGATATATAGTTAAAAATGTAGATGAGTAAGTCGCTTAAAAAATAAACAATTTATTATAATCATTTAAGTAATTATTGATCACGGAAATCGCAAATTAAACCAAATTAAAATATATACTTTTGCAATTAACACGAATCTGTAAATGAACGAAAACGAGGATTGGTCTTTTCGCAGATGTATTTTCCATGGTGACGGCTCATAAGTAGAGTCAAGAAAATTATTTCCCTTATAATTAGCAAAAGGTGGTGATTTTTTTTGTGTTTCTCTTTTTTGTTGAGTAAATAATATTGACATGTCTGTCATAGATCTATTAAATATATCATCATCATCTAATTTAGTTAATTTAGTTAAAACAATCATAAAAATCGTTTTAATAACAAGCGTTTATGTAATAATGCACTAAAAAGGAGAAAATAAATTATACACTACTATTTAAATTACTATATAGAAAACGTGGGTCACTTTATTATCTATTGGATCACTTTAACAATATTTAGGAAGAGATTCACGCTTCTCTGTATAGTTATTTAAATAGTAGTGTATAATTTATTTTCTCCTTTTTAGTGCATCTAATATATAAAGCTCAGTTCTGTATGTAATGCATTTGTATATCGTTGGAATTGTACGAATTTAAGTGTTAGAAAATTATCGTGCGCATTTGTCTAAATTTATGAGCTAAAAAATTACCATTGAAAGTGTTGGGAAATAATTTTCATTTTTCAAATTACAGTAATAATTGTCGGCATGTTCATTAAACACAAGTTTTAAAAAAAATATCATCTTTTACAAAAATTCTAATTATGTCTTTATTTAGTCCTATAGCACTTACTTCCCTTTGATAAATTAGGAAAAACACAATTACTTCCCTTTATAAAATCATTGCATTAGTCGAAAATAATTTACTTTTTAATTACTTTGTTTTGGTGTTGGGAAAAAAAAAAATTACATAATTAGCGGGGATTGATCAAGTGCAAATGTTGTAGGTATTTTACGGATAAGCTTGGAGTATTAAAATTGTTCATCAAATTGAAACAGGCGCGTTCGTTTAAGTGAGTGCAAAAGACTATGAATAAGTTGGGGTACTATAGTCGTTCATTAAGCTAAAACAGGTGATTCCGCCCCGGGCGTTTATGTTCGCGTTAGTGTTTTCTTTGTGTTTAGGTGGGTTTGCGTTAGTGGTTGCGTTTTGATTTGGTTCGTTTTTGTTCTTTCTTTTTTCGTTTTTGTTTGTGTTTTTTTTTTTTTTGGGTTTGTATTTGTGTTTTTGGTTGGTTTTGCGTTTGAATTTGGTTTGTTTTCGTTTGCTTTTTCGTTGTTTTTTTTTTTTTTTTTTTGATGGTATTGGTGTTTGTGGTTGGGTTTGTTGTTAGGTTTTTGTTTTCGTTTGCTTTTTTGTTTGTTTTTTCTTTGTGTTTGTATTGGTGTTTGTGGTTGTGGTTGGGTTTGTTGTTAGGTTTTTGTTTTCGTTTGTATTTGTAATTGTGTTAGCGTTATGTTTGCGTTTTGTTGTTTTGGTTTTGGTTGGTTGTGGTTTGGGTGGGCAATGCCGGGTTTATGATGATTACTAAACACACAGGTAATGGTCTTTAACAGGAAGGTTTTTCACAGAAGCCAGAGCAGGGCCTGGCCGGGACGGCTAGTTATTACATAAAAGCTTGTTATCAAAACGTTTTTATGCAATTTTTTTAGTGCTTTACATGTTTTTATTTACAATAAAGTTACATGACTAAAAACCATTGCGCACCTATTGAACGTGATGACTCGTGTGGAGTAGTTGGATAGGACTGCCTACTACTTTGGTCAAATTTTTAATTAATTCATAAAAAATTAATTAGGCAACTAATTAAGTCAAATTGAAAATCATGATGCATTGTCTTCATGTCTTGACCCACGTACCAATTACGAACCGTGTCTGTCAGTTAGAAGTGCCTGCATTTTCACTTGGGCGTTTCGATCTAGACAGACAGACTGACGACTGACGAGGAAGTGAGTTAAATAAAAGCTTGTAATTACAAACCACGTATTGCAGCCTCGGTTTGCCAGACATCTGGTCAGTGGAAGCGTTCCCGTAGCTCTGGTTTGAGTTTGTGGCCCGTAAATCAATTTTGATGGTGCAGTTGGATAAACACCTTTGACACCTGGCAGGCACAGAGCATCTGATGAACCTGGGGGACAGAATGGGGAGGGGCTAGTACTGGTGTAGGTTGTTTTATCGTCTTAGGTTTATTTACTAAGAGCAGTATTACCGCCTCTAAATGAATAACTCAAGTTTTGAATTTTTAAAACGTATTTTGAACTTGATGCACGCCTAATTCTAAAATAGCAAAAAGTAAAAGCATTATTTAAATATTTTTTTCTTACAAAACTTAAAAACATAGAAATTCTAGCAATTCAAGTTTGACTCTGCGGAAGCCGCTCATACTATCCTTCAAATGGTTCTGAAGATATATTTTTTTTAAATAGCCAAATAGGCATTCCAAGTAGGTCTATGTGTTTGTTTGTTTTTTTTTTTTTTTTTTTTTTTTTTTTTTTGTAGCGGTAGAAAACTACGGTAGTTAACAACTGGCTAATTTCTACGGAACAGGTGAATGTGACTTTATTATACGAGTGTCACACACATCGACTTACGTGTTGTTGACCACTGTCACATTGTCACATGGAATGTCACACACAGACACGTGAGCCCTCGTTTGACTATCAGGGGTGCTGAACTGCTCACCTCGTAGGGTCAAGATTGAGCCGCCCTTTGATGGCACTTGCTGGGGGCTAAACTATCAGGATATACAGGCAAATATATATATATATATATATATATATATATATATATATATATATATATATATATATATATATAAAGATTTTTTTAAATAACTTACGGTAGAAATATTTCTATTAGTATTCCACCAAACTGACATTTATTGAAAAATATTCTCATCAAATTATCAACATAACCTAAACAGTTTAGCGGCCAAATCAACACAAAATCAACTTAAGTCAAACCTAAAGATAGAAAAAACAAACCCTCGAAATGACAGGGGGACAACGTATCCGTTCATTGCCGTATGGTGGTTTTTTGATGCAGGTTTTTCTTGCCAGTATCCAGTAGCACTCGTTCCCTTGGGCGTGGCACTCTGTGCATGTGTTGAACTGCTTGCAGAAGTTGGTGCTCATATTTGTCAGCTGTGGAACATAGTCAGTCATCTCATGTTGACCGAATAGAACATAGTCAGTCATCTCATTTTGACCGAATACAATCAGTCATTTCATGTTGACCGAATAGAACATAGTCAGTCATCTCATGTTGACCGAATACAACATAGTCAGTCATCTCATGTTGACCGAATACAATCAGTCATCTCATGTTGACCGAATACAATCAGTCATCTCATGTTGACCGAATAGAACACAGTCAGTCATCTCATGTTGACCGAATAGAACACTTTCAGTCATCTCATGTTGACCGAACTACACTGTTTGTTTTAGGGCTCAAGTCTGTATAATGTTCTTGTGCCAATCAAGCTCTGATGGGTACCTGACTCACGTCAAGGAAACAAAGGCGGCTGGGCATAGTGCCGACCACTTTATCTCCTTATTGTAGAGGTCATTGAAACAGATAAACTCTACTTCATCTGCCCCGTGTGTCTTGGACAATAAAGGGAAAATATTATGATGGTACTTGCTCCTTACATTTCCAAGCTGCAGTTATCCAAACATCTACCAGACTATGGAAACATTCATTTTATATAGATCGTCACTGCAGTACATGTATATATAGGCTAGATAGTTTCGGCACAGTGTTACATCTAAGTAATATCGTGATTGTGGTCGATAGATCAACAAGGATCTTACCTTATCTCCTGTAGCAAGATATAAGACTTGATTCGATTGGTCAAGTGACCCAATTGCAGTTTTTTGCCCGACCGTCTCTGATTCTGTCCAGGATTTAATGATTGTGTCATTGAGAACGGCGACAAGTAACACATCAGACACGCTAATCTGGAATAAATAATGTGTCTTTAGTAGAAAGTAGTAATCTAAACAGGGTTGCCGCACTGAATCAGAGTTCGATTGGAATGGAATCCTCAAAGAGAGCTACATAGAATGCAGAAAACAAAAGTGAAATAATAAACATAAGAGTTAGACTGTTGCGATACAGTTTAAGTTGATGATTTTGTTTTAGTGTGCCTATAGCATGACTAAATATTATGTAAGATGATGATAAGTCTGTTTGGTTGCGAACTCCTGACGTTCGTGTTAGCCACATCGTATTCCACCTCTAGACCATGTCGACTCATATTAAACATACAACAAGATATATATCAACTGCTGTGTGTCCCTACCCTCTCGATTCTGTTGGAGTCCCCTAGCATCAAAACTTGAACATCAGTCTCCGCGTCAAGTGTGTGGATGCCTCGTATGGTTGAGTTGGATGTGAACATAGGCTCTTTTCTAATTGCTGACTTGAGGCGAAAGTACAGACCACTTCGTTCCGAGGGTACCAAATGCTGGGGAAATAACAAGGCATCGAACTCTAAGATCTTTTACATTGAAATTTTATTTAGTGTGGTGTTAGAAAATAAAGCATTTTTTCAATGAAATCTGTTTTTGTTTTAAATAATAATATATTTAAGGAGTTTCATAGCACAGTTAGTTTAGAAAAATACAGAACAGAAATGTATAATCATGTGTTTTGAGTAATAGTACAAACACAATTTGTAAATTTAACCAGATTTCAGTAATGGGTGGTTTTTTAAAAGTGTTGTTCCCGTTTTCTGCATATCCTTAAATAAGATTAGCAGATTATCTATTTTAAAAGAAAATAGAACGACCGTGAGATAGGTCATCATTGGATTTAGAACTCGATTCAATTTTAGACGTTCAAAACAACATTAGCACAATACAGCACACTAAAGCACTGAACCGTGACGGGAAAGTAACATTAGTTCATGACAACAATACACTGAATCATGAAGTTTAATGTAATACTAGTACAAAACATGAACTTACTGATGCGTGGTTTTATGTAAGATTGGTACACAATAAGAACTTACTGACGCGTGAAGCGTTATGTAACAGGTCAAAAACAAGAACTTACTGAAGCGTGAAGTTTTATGTAACATTGGTACAAAACAAGAACTTACTGATGCGTGGACCCAAGGTACCAGCTCTCCTAAATTCTGAATGTCTATGGCAACAAAAGCTATTTCTTGGTCGTTCATTGTCTTCAGTTCATAGGAACATAAAATGTCCGCCTCTTTTCCATCAGCGGTACCAAACGCCACAAACAAAATAGGATAGCGGTCGGCACTAGGAAATGTTGTTGTCCCAATCAAGCCTAAAGAAGCAGCCTTTAATATGTTGTACATCTAAAAACGAAAATAGATTGTTTTATACTACAACACATAAAGAATAACGATTTTAATCATTTTCTTCCATGAGTCTTTTAATTTTAGAGCAACATTTCTAAAGTTTAAAACATTTTTTTAAACATATGTTAAAAAAAAAAGATTTTAATAATTTTGTTCTAATAGCCAAAATTTAAAATAAGATATCTAGATTTAATTTTTTAAAAGGGCTTATGTTACATTTTTGTTGGTTGAATGCTATTAAAGTAAATCGTCTCTAAAGAATGAAATGACTTTTGTTCAATTTGATATGAATCAATATAGGGATGGTTATGCAGATAAGAGGACGCGTCGCAGGGAGAGGTTTGAACCAGGAACTAACAAAATTCAGATCTATCGCTGCACACAACTAGGCCACTTCAACCACCACACGAGCTGTTGTAGTGGTACAAACCGCTGGTCGTCACGGGAGTGGTTCGTCGTGTAGCACCACTTTAAGTGGCTGACAGAAGGGGAGCAATGGTGGTTAGAACAAGATAACAAGTGTATGTCACGAGGATATATATATATATATATATATATATATATATATATATATATATATATATATATATATATATATATATATATATATATATAATTCTCTTCTGTGAGCCGTTAGAAAACAAGCTGCAAGCGCGCCTTACAGTCCCCTCTCTTCCTCCCTATCGCTACCACCCCCACCCCCTCACATGGTCTGGTGAGCTGTGGTTCACGCTGTTTACATTTTACAATCATAGAGACGGGTTTGGTTACGGCTATTAGGGGCAGATAATTTAGTTTGAAACGATTTTAAACTTAGAGGAGGCAACTAAGAGGAGGCTGCTTTCACGTGGGGGGGGGGGAGGGGTTTTAGTGTTTTTAAGTAAATATTTTCAGTGGCAGCATTGGTACTGTCGAATTCACAAATTTTAAATCACTGAAAAGTAGAAAAAAAAACAACTAAATAGCGGCGTATGATACGCAGCGGGTCGGCTCGTATATATATAATTCTCTTCTGGGAGCCGTTAGAAAACAAGCTGCAAGCGCGCGCCTTGCAGTCCCCTCTCTTCCTCTCTATCGCTACCATAAATTTGGGAATAAATTTGGGATCGATGAGGGGGAGTGGGCTTATAACCAGAGCTGAAATGGAGTGGGCTTATAACCAGAGCTGAGGGGGAGTGGGCTTATAACAAGAGCTGAGGGGGAGTGGGCTTATAACCAGAGCTGAGGTGGGTGGGCTTGTAACAACCAGAGCTGAACGGGAGTGGGCTTATAACCAGAGCTGAGGTGGGTGGGCTTATAACCAGAGCTGAGGTGGGTGGGCTTATAACCACAGCTGAGGTAGGTGGGTTTATAACCAGAGCTGAGGGGGAGTGGGCTTATAACCAGAGCTGAGGTGGGTGGGCTTATAACAACCAGAACTGAGAGGGAGTGGGCTTATAACCAGAGCTGAGGTGGGTGGGCTTATAACCACAGCTGAGGTGGGTGGGCTTATAACCAGAGCTGAGAGGGAGTGGGCTTATAACCAGAGCTGAGGTGGGTGGGCTTATAACCAGAGCTGAGGTGGGTGGGCTTATAACCAGAGCTGAGGGGGAGTGGGCTTATAACCAGAGCTGAAATAAATGTGGGAGATACTCATATTTAATTATTTATGTAGTTAAAATAGACTACCTCGTCTCTACATTCCAAGACAATCTCCACTAAGGATAAAACGTTGCCAGTTTCCACTCGACTAAGAACGACAACTTTCGCCTCATTGCGAACTTGTGTTGAAATGAGGTAGGAGTATTCGCCCCAAGTAAAAGACAGCTTGAAGTCTATGTTGAACTTTGACCTCTCTGTAGCGTTGATGTAGACACCTTTTGGTGTGGACTGGCCGTCCAGAAGATGGCTGATGACGTACATGTCGTTGACGTAGGTGATTTGTCTCAGTGAGATGATCATGGGATCCGAACCTGCGCTGTCCATGTCTCCTCTAGCTACGATGGCCACTGAGGCCATAGTCGTATCCTTCAATGGGCTTGAATTATGTATCACAGGATCAAATGAGTTAAATGTAAACCTGTCCCCATTGCAATTTGCTTGAGAGAAATTGAATGATTGGGAAAGTAAGTTATTGTTATTTACAGGGGGCAGGAATTTAAAAACTGTCGTATGGGTGACGTCCCCTGCTAAAATGTCTGCCCCATTGTCTCCATACAGACACCGCCAGACTGTAATGTCAGACAGACTGTGCAGTGTACACGTCCCTCTGTAGGCTGTACCACAGACAACCAGCCAGCCCAGATTGGCGTCTATCTCCATCACCATCACCTGGTTGTCACACGGTACGGTTTGTGGCCGGCAATCTTCGTCTTTTAAAACCGGTCCAATGGTCAGATTAAATAGAACCACATCCAACGGTTTGGTCAGCTGGGCTACAAAGTTCACTCCCCCTACGTAGACGTACTCATCACTCACGGCTAGTTTTGTTATGGTGGCACCCAGATTTAAGGTCGTGTCCTTTTCTTCTTGACCACCACATAACAAAACCCACTCACACACAAGAACAAAGTACAGAAATAGCTCCATAGTCTTTGTATGAAACGTCAACACTCCTTGTAACACAATTTTTTTAAAAATAATTTTAAAAACATATTAATTCGTCAAAGGTTAAGGCAAAGTGTTGAGGTTCTTCTTTCAAAACTGACAAGAATCTCCATGTAAGCTTTGATCCTCTTAGCTAGTCTACCGTTGCAAGGATGGTTCTTGCCTATATCTTAGAATGCCTTCAGTCTAACTACTTAATCCTATAATGTTCAGTTTAAAAACACATAAAGAATATCCAGGTTATGTTGTATATCCATGAGATAAAAGAAATAAAACACAACATATAAAAATTATGTCCCCGTGTTAGGTCACATAGAACATAACTGACACACGACAGTCCCTCCTTCGCGTGTGTGCTGTAGTCTACTCACCACTAAAGATGGGTGTAAAAAAACAAGATTTAGAGGAGTGTGTCGGTTGTCCACTTAAGATTTAATCACGTGTGTACAGTTCATGCCCACTTAGTGTCGGTGGTTATGTGTGTACAGGTCAAGTCTAGTTTGGATTGGTGTGTACAGGTCAAGTCTAGTTTGGATTGGTGTGTACAGGTCAATTCTAGTGTTGTACATGTGTACAGGTCAAGTCTAGTTTGGATTGGTGTGTACAGGTCAAGTCTAGTTTGGATTGGTGTGTACAGGTCAATTCTAGTGTTGTACATGTGTACAGGTCAAGTCTAGTTTGGATTGGTGTGTACAGGTCAAGTCTAGTTTGGATTGGTGTGTACAGGTCAATTCTAGTGTTGTACATGTGTACAGGTCAAGTCTAGTGTTGTACATGTGTACAGGTTAAGTCTAGTGTTGTACATGTATACAGGTCAAGTCTAGTTTGTATTGGTGTGTACAGGTCAAGTGTAGTGTTGTACATGTGTACAGGTCAAGTCTAGTGTTGTACATGTGTACAGGTCAAGTCTAGTGTTGTACATGTGTACAGGTTAAGTCTAGTGTTGTACATGTATACAGGTCTAGTCTAGTGTTGTACATGTGTACAGGTCAAGTCCTGTGTTGTACATGTGTACAGGTCAAGTCTAGTGATGTACAGGTCAAGTCTAGTGTTGTAAATGTGTACAGGTTAAGTCTAGTGTTGTAAATGTGTACAGGTCAAGTCTAGTGTTGTAAATGTGTACAGGTTAAGTCTAGTGTTGTAAATGTGTACAGGTTAAGTCTAGTGTTGTAAATGTGTACAGGTCAAGTCTAGTGTTGTAAATGTGTACAGGTTAAGTCTAGTGTTGTAAATGTGTACAGGTTAAGTCTAGTGTTGTAAATGTGTACAGGTCAAGTCTAGTGTTGTAAATGTGTACAGGTCAAGTCTAGTGTTGTAAATGTGTACAGGTTAAGTCTAGTGTTTTAAATGTGTACAGGTCAAGTCTAGTGTTGTACATGTGTACAAGTCTTCTTTAATTTGGTGTGTACATGTCAAGCCTACTTGAGTTAGTGTGTACATGTGTACAGGTCAAGTCTATTTAGAATCGGTGTGCATGTGTGTTTAGCTAAATTGCTGTGTTGATGTGTTTTAAAAAACCTATTTCAGGCACATCAAATAAAATGTATATTTTTATTTACAATAAAACTACAAGGATACTTGATTGCAACGTTGTTTAATCGTTGCTTTAATTTCAAATGTTATTAAATACATTGCTTAATATATATATATATATATATATATATATATATATATATATATATATATATATATATATATATATATATATATATATATACCGCAAGCAATATTGAGCTTAGCCAAAAGTGCGTAGTAGATTTCTGTTTGTGAGACGATTATAGTGGGATCTTTAAACGAAAGAAACGGCTAAAGATAATATTAATTTGTTAGTATCCGTGTAATGGACGTTTAAGGCCGTATGTAGTGGGGTGCTTAGGGCCGTATGTAGTGGGGCGTTTAGGGCCGTATGTAGTGGGGCGTTCAGGGCCGTATGAAGGGGGGCGTTTAGGGTCGTATGTGGTGGGGTGCTTAGGGCCGTATGTAGTGGGGCGTTTAGGGCCGTATGTGGTGGTGCGTTTAGGGCCGTATGTAGTGGGGCGTTTAGGGCCGTATGTAGTGGGGCGTTTAGGGTCGTATGTAGTGCGGTGTTTAGGGTCGTATGTAGTGGGGCGTTTAGGGCCGTATATAGTGGGGAGTTTAGGGCTGTATGTAGTGGGGAGTTTAGGGCTGTATGTAGTGGGGCGTTTAGGGCCGTATGTAGTAGGGCGTTTAGGGCCGTATGTGGTGGGGCGTTTAGGGCCGTATGTGGTGGTGCGTTTAGGGCCGTATGTAGTGGGGCGTTTAGGGTCGTATGTAGTGGGGAGTTTAGGGCTGTATGTAGTGGGGCGTTTAAGGCCGTATATAGTGGGGAGTTTAGGGCTGTATGTAGTGGGGAGTTTAGGGCTGTATGTAGTGGGGCGTTTAGGGCCGTATGTAGTAGGGCGTTTAGGGCCGTATGTGGTGGGGCGTTTAGGGCCGTATGTGGTGGGGCGTTTAGGGCCGTATGTGGTTGGGCGTTTAGGATGGGCAGATATTAGGGCGTTTTGGGGGCTATTGGTAGAAGTGCGTTTAGAGCTAAAAGTAGTGGATGTTTAGGGTTGCATGTGTTCTCTTGCGGAGGACTGTAGCATATACATCTGTGCCTATAGTTTACTAGTTTGACACTAGGATAAAACAAAATCCCTGTAATTTTACCTAGACAATAAACCATCAAGTCCAAATTTATTCGTGGCAAGAAAATTTCACAGTGAGTTCAGAACAGGCTGGCAGTGGTTGCCTTTACCGTGTAATTGACAACTCCCTTTTTAAATTTTCTTCTTTATTAGTTTCTACAAAAATTGGCATCATACTTTTACTTTCTTTACTTTAACTTAACAAGATCTTTAGTCTCAACTCAAGGTCTTCTATTTTTGAGTTTTTACTTTCTCGTATATACGAAGTACAGAGAAAGTCTTGTAATCGTGCAAAAAAAATCGAGATTTTTACAAAATAATAATAAAAAATAATAATAATAAAAAAACATAATTTTGCAATCTTGTCCGTATGTCTGTGTGTCTGTCTGTCTGTCTGTCTGTCTGTCTGTCAGTGTGTAAACACGATAACTTGAGTACCGTTACAGCTAGGTTGATGAAATTTCATATATAAGTATTTTATCAAAATCGTAGATCCGTATCAACTTTTGAGCGATTTCCAATAACCGGAAGTGGTACTTTTCCTACTTTGAATTTTTCAAAAGCCTATAAGTTGAGTACTATTTCAGATAGATAAATGAAATGTCACATGTAAGTAAAAGATCTAATTCTCTACCTTCTGTTAAATTTTGAGTAATTTCCGTTGACTGGAAGTAGTAATTTACGCTACTTCCGATTTCTCAAAAAACTAATGTAAATTTTAAAAGTACTAATAATATTGCGCACTATTATGCGCTTTTTTATTTGGCGTTCACTTGGTGTGCAATTAATTTGTCTACGAGATTTTATTCTATTTTTAAAACTTTAAGTATTTAAAATGGTTTAAAAATCATGCCTATAGCCCGAGTTCCCATCCCCTGTTATTTTATATAAGAATATTCGAGAAAGTTTAGGGGGGATCACTCCCGGTTTATTAATTGTTTATATTTTGAATACAGGACACCCCCCACTCCCTCCCCGCAGGTGAAATATTTGCCCTGTCCTAAAATTGATAAAATAATATCAAACAAAAAATATTCATTAACACATCCAAAAAAAATGTTATTTTATAACAAAAAACATATGCCAGATAGGAATGCTATACGAAATATCTGTTTCATTAATCCTACTTTTTTTTAGAAAAACAAAAAACTACTGTGTTGCATAATGAACTGTTATAATATTTCCCCCCCCCCTCCCCCCCCCCCCCCTCTCCACTGCCACCGGCCCGTCCATGCTCACACAACCAACACCGTCTGCTGTCGTTAGCAATCAATTATTACACGCATGCTCTCCCCTAGCGCAAGTATACCGGATGCTGAATTGGTTAGTTCCCCTTTCAGACGAATGTTGAAAACATCTCTCTGTTTAAAGTGTGTTGGGTTGGGTGCAGCGTTAGCAGTAAAAAAAAAATTGTGCCTAGATTACTTTGGTATTTTCTAGTTTATTTTTTTAATTAGGTAAGTAGAGATAATTATGACGATAATTATTAAGCTAAGGCTTAAGACACGTGTGAATATAATTAATTTGATGTATGAATATTTGCTTTTGTTTATGTTGGGAAAAAAAATTAAATTTAAGAAGAACTGCCCCTTTATAAACTTTGAACTTTGAATTCTATAACGTAGACATTATAATTGACTCTGACCCAGTTTATTTTTAAGTTAATGTTTTTGTTCTACAGAGTTCTTTCCCATTTTTTCAACTAATTTTTTTTAATTATTTAAATAGGTTATGTCCCCTGTTAAATCTAAACTCTGCTTGACCCAGAGTTAAGCCCCATGTTTACTCCCACGTGAAGCGCTCCCCTCGTAATTCACGTGTAGTGACGCGGTGGGGGGGGGGGGGTGTTCCACATCCGAGCACAGTTAGCCTGTTCATTCGCTCACATCACGTGCAAGCAGGTGAGTAGTGGTTTATTTTTTTACCTCGCTCTCTCTGAGCTACCTGTGTTGTGATATAAGAACACAGTTTGTTTTTGTTTTGTTTATATTTTTAAAAACATATAAATGTTAAAGCACTACAAGAAATGTTTATTGTTGAATATCTTTTATTTATATATTATAATTCAAATTATATAATTTTATAACTGTTAAATTGATGTTGTAGTTAGTTATTATTAGATTATTACGTAGTATACGAAACAGTGTAAAAATCACAAAATGCTGCGACAAGCAGTTCACTGGGCAGCCATATTGGTCATTTATTCCCTTATCGATCGAAAGGGCACATCTAAAAATAGCGTGGCGTCGAGCGGGTTACAAAATTTGTGGGAATTCTCTCCCCTTGCATAGGTCAGGGTAACTGGTCTGCTGGGAATTCTCTCCCCTTGCATAGGTCAGGGTAATTGGTATGCCATACAACAATATTATAATAGCGGATTTTTTTTTTTCCGATTATTTTGTTGTAATTGCCGAAACGGTCTAGTGAAGAATTGGCAGTGGTTTGTATGGATGTAATTATTTGATAACGATACTTTAATGCAATAGCAGGAGTCGGATATCGTGTTGTTTCCACAGGCGAATCCATGTAATCGATATGCTATTGTTTAACTTCAGCGATACTTTACACATTATAGTTGTGCTAGAGTTAGGATTAAAGCTCAGCTTAATTTTAGGATTTAGGTTAAAATATACTTGTAGATGATTTTAATACAAGCTCATAAGGAAAAAGCCTCGTAAGGAAAAATAAACAGGGAGTGATATCCCCTAAACTTTCTCGAATATTCTTAATTCACACTATGGGGGAACGGCAACTCGGGATATAGACAATATTTTAAATCCATTTTTATTTACTTAAACTTTTTAACATAGAATAGAATCTCTTAGTTCTGTGTTTATGTGTGTCCAGTGGCGTAGGCAGGGGGGGTTAGGGGGGGTCATAACCCCCTCTCGGTATATATATAAAAAGTATGAGGGGGAGGGGGTGCAAATCGTAAGTTTGAGGGGGGGGGGTGCAAATCGAAAGTTTGATGGGGGGGGGGGGGGGAATCGAAAGTTTGTCCCCGGGTAAAAATTGGAACCCCCCCCCCCCCCTTGAGACGATCCTGGCTACGCCACTGTGTGTGTCTGTAAACACGATTTCTCAAAAAACGTATGTGAATTAATAAATTACTATTAATATTCCGCACTGTTATACACATATTATTTAGCGTTCACTTGGTGTGCAATTTTTTTTTCTACGAGATTCTATTCTATTTTTTAAATTTTAAGTAATTAAAAATGGATAAAAAATATTGTCTATGTCCTGAGTTGCCAGTCCCAGTAGTATTATATAAGAAGATTCGAAAAAGTTTAGGGGAGATCACTCCCGGTTTCTATATACTTTGTATACGAGAAAGTAAGAAAGGAGTGTGTTAATTATAGTTTAATCCTAACGATCGTCATGCTCGTACCGAAATCGTTAGATTGTTGAGCGTGAGTAACAAATTTATTGAACTGTTTTTGTCAACAGGTGTAAGGATGTATTACGTCGTGTTCGTTGTCCTGTTCTTCAGTACGTCAACGGTAGGAACAGGTAAACACAGGGTGTAAATATTGGGGGGGGGGGGGGGCGTGTTTAAGGACATCTGCAGTGAGCAGGTTTATAGACATTTCAGAGTTCTTAGAAGCTGGTTGCTGAAGGTGTCGTTTTAAGCATTGGGAGGTGATTTCTTAACATTTAGGGATGATTGGGAGGGACTGTATAAACAGTAGTAGCTGTAGATATAATTTATATATACATATATATATATATATATATATATATATATATATATATATATATATATATATATATATATATATATATATATATCTGTATATGAATATGTGTGTATAATAATACGTTTATTATTGCCCTCTATTGGACAGATGAAGATAAAGTGAAGGATAATGTGAGTAAAAGAGAATCGTTACAACAACTTATCCATTTGCACCTGTTCACAAGGTAGGTCAGACATAACATGTTCACATTAGAATATTGTACATCATTAAGAGCGATATAGGCGTTCGCTGATTATATTGAAGCTTAAGGATTAATCTGAGAACTGTTTTTATACTAGAAGTCACAAGACATAGATTTAATTATCTGTTTACTGTATATGTGCGAGATTTACCTAAAGCCTGTTCAATAAAAAATGTACCACCACTACACAGAAAAAACGTGAACACTAGTGTGGTGTTGACCAAGGTGAAGGCTTTAAACACCACCCAGTTCAACCCGAGGCTGAAGACCGTATTCATCTTTCACGGATTCGCCTCGTCCATGCAGAACTCTTGGGTGCTGAAGATGAAGAATGAGCTCCTTATCAAGGTCAGATATGTCGTCTAGTCAAGGTCAGATATGTCTTAGCCTATCGTTTAGTCAAGGTCAAATATGTCTTAGCCTATCGTTTAGTCAAGGTCAGATATGTCGTCTGGTCAAGGTCAAAAATGTCTTTGCCTATCCTTTAGTCAAGGTAAGATATGTCGTCTGGTCAAGGTCAAAAATGTCTTAGCCTATCGTTTAGTCAAGGTCAGATATGTCGTCTGGTCAAGGCCAAATATGTCTTAGCATGCCGTTTAGTCAAGGTCAGATATATTGTCTGGCCAAGGTCAAATATGTCTTAGCCTATCGTTTAGTCAAGGTCAGATTTCTTAGTTTGTCATATTCTCAAGGTCAAATATGTCCTAGTCTATGGTGCAGTCAAGGTCAGATAAGAAAATATGATACAAAATGTGATACTAGAAATGAAATTAGGTAAAACTCAGTTATTTCTAACGCTTGTATTTACCCTTGAAGATATGAACGTGTGTGTCTTGAAATGTTCATTTTCCCCAGGAAGATTTGAACGTGTCTTATATGTAACCAGGAATGTTCATACTTCCCCTTGAGGACATAACATGTGTGTTTTAAAATGTGCATAGTTCCCCCTGGAATGTTTGAACGTGTGTTTTAAAGTTCATATCTCCCCAGTAAGATTTGAACGTGTGTCTTGGAATGTTCATATTCCCCAGGAAGATTTGAACGTGTGTGTTCTAGACTGGGCCCACGCCGTCCATCCACCCGACTACGTCACGGCCGTCCTTAACATTCCTGTCGTCGGGAAGATGATGATGCAACAAATTTCACGCATGAAAGAACTTGGCCTGCACCTAGATGACCTTCACCTGATTGGTCACTCTCTGGGCGCCCACTTGGCTGGAGATATTGGCAGAAGATTTAACGGCAGCGTCGGGCGTATAACAGGTGTCGGGAAACTTTTCACGTTCTTTGACAAAATAAACAACTAGATGAGAAATAATGGTTGACTATTTGATATTTTCCCGTTTAACTTTTGACTCATCCAGGTCGCTCGTTAGAACATAATTAACGTATTGACAGATAATTTTAAAAATATAAACTTCTTTTTCGGTTGATCATGTAGTATAGTGGGGGAGGGGAACAGAAAACTTTCAAAGACAGGGGGGGGAGTGGTTAAAGAATATATTTTTCTATACAATTTTTTTTTTACTTGGTGCCAGGAGGCACAGGGGCTTTTAACACTAGGTCAAAGAGCGTTTTTCTTCAACCTGTTAAGTTTTTGAGTGCCAACATGTTATGAAAGAACTGGTTGTGTGTGCCAGTATCGCCCTACTGAGTACACACCCCTGTTTTCACGGCAAGTTAAAGCGATCCTTGCCTTATCTTAAACATCCTGTAACATATCTATAACAGATCATAGGTCGCAAGGGGATTGTCCATACATGACTTCAAGCAGTTGGTGAGGGAATGGAGGGGGGGGGGTAAGGTTAGGCTAACAGGGTCAATATCTGCGGTTTTATCGTTACAAAACAGTGTGTTATAATATTTTTCGAGAAGTTGTTCCATTTGTTTTATATGTTTAAAGTACAATCAAAATTTGGATTTGGATCCAAAATTTTTATCATAACATGTACCTTCATAATATCATGGTTTACTTCATAGGTCTCGACCCTGCAGCCCATTTGTTTGAAGAACAATCCAAGAACGAGCGTTTGGATCCATCAGACGCCGAGTTTGTGGATGTGATCCACTCGGATGTTGCGAGGGTAACTCTACCGTTTGGGGGGTTCGGCATCTTGCAGCCTCTGGGTCACGTTGACTTTTACCCCAACGGTGGGCTAGTACAACCCGGGTGTAATGACAAGTACACGGGTGTATTCCCCACAGGTAACGGGATTGTCCTTATAATCTAATCCATAGGTGTAAAATCCTTACAGGTCACACGTGTTAAACTGAGATGTACACATTTGGAATTATAAGCGCTCGAGGTAACGATTATAATGACCGGTAAAATACTTGAAAATTCATGAAGTAGGTGAAGTAGAGTTCATTTGACTTTCTTTTTTTTTTACCCATGATGCTTTTTATTTGTCGAATTTATTAAAAAATAATTTACCAACAGCAATAATAGTTTTATCAAATATTTTAACTGATGTCACAAGTTTTTTTTTTCAAATGTCACATTGTGAACAAATGCCACATTTTAGATGAAACTAGCTGATTATGTTTACTACATAGGTGGCGTATTTTATTTGACCAATAAATAAACGTAGGTGTTGTGTATTTACCAGGTGGAGTAGAGTGCAGCCACAGAAGAGCGGCAGAGTATTTCATGAATTCCATCAACACGATGTCCCCGTGTCTATCTCAGGGATGTACTGGATATGTAAGTACTGGCACACATAGTTACAACTTTATAGCTGACATACATAGTTACAACTTTATAGCTTGCATTTATAGTTACAACTTTATAGCTTGCATTTATAGTTACAACTTTATAGCTTGCATTTATAGTTACAACTTTATAGCTGGCACACACAGTTACAACTTTATAGCTGGCATGCATAGTTACAACTTTATAGCTTGCATTTATAGTTACAACTTTATTGCTGGCATTCATAGTTACAACTTTATAGCTGGCATTTATTGTTACAACTTTATAGCTGGCATTCATAGTTACAAATTTATTGCTGGCATTTATAGTTACAATTTTATTGCTGGCATTTATAGTTACAAATTTATTGCTATCATTTATAGTTACAACTTTATTGCTGGCATTTATAGTTACAAATTTATTGCTAGCATTTATAGTTACAAATTTATTGCTAGCATTTATAGTTACAACTTTATTGCTGGCATTTATAGTTACAAATTTATTGCTGGCATTTATAGTTACAACTTTATTGCTGGCATTTATAGTTACAAATTTATTGCTAGCATTTATAGTTACAAATTTATTGCTAGCATTTATAGTTACAACTTTATTGCTGTCATTTATAGTTACAAATTTATTTCTAGCATTCATAGTTACAACTTTATAGCTTGCATTTATAGTTACAACTTTATAGCTGGCATTTATAGTTACAGATTTATAGTTGGCCTTCAAAGTTACAACTTTATAGCTTGCATTTATAGTTACAACTTTATAGCTTGCATTTATAGTTACAACTTTATAGCTGGCATTCATAATTACAACTTTATAGCTTGCATTTATAGTTACAACTTTATAGCTTGCATTTATAGTTACAACTTAATAGCTTGCATTTATAGTTACAACTTTATAGCTGTCATTTATAGTTACAACTTTATAGCTTGCATTTATAGTTACAACTTTATAGCTGGCATTTATAGTTACAACTTTATCGCTGGCATTTATAGTTACAACTTTATAGCTGGCATTTATAGTTACAACTTTATAGCTGTCATTTATAGTTACAACTTTATAGCTGGCATTTATAGTTACAGCTTTATAGCTGGCATTCATAGTTACAACTTTATAGCTTGCATTTATAGTTACAACTTTATAGCTTTCATTTATAGTTACAACTTTATAGCTTGCATTTATAGTTACAACTTTATAGCTGGCATTTATAGTTACAACTTTATAGCTGGCATTTATAGTTACAACTTTATAGCTGGCATTTATAGTTACAAATTTATTGCTAGCATTTATAGTTACAAATTTATTGCTGGCATTTACAGTTACAACTTTAAGGCTGGCATTTATTGTTACAGTTTTATACCTAGCATTCATATTTACAAGTTTATCGGTTACATTTCTAGTTACAACATAATCGGTTGCATTTATAGTGTTCTATTAGGTTGGTTTGGTGATTCATAGATACAATAATTCTACTGTTGTCACGTGGTTCATGCTCACATTTTCTTGTGTTCAACTCTTCAATCTATACTTATTTCAGAAATCGTTCCTCAACCACCAATGCTCCCAATGTTCCAACACATCCTGTAACGTCATGGGGTACCTGGCCAGTCCACTCAAAGGTTTGGGCCGGATGTACCTGCAGACCAGATCGAAACCCCCATACTGTGGTACGGTATTATATATGTATGTGTGTGTGCGTGTCTGTGTGTGTGTGCGTGCGTGCGTGCGTGTGTATGTTTTTTCTTCACCCCCTGGTAGATGAGGCTCATTAGGTGCGGATAGTAGCCCCTCTATGGTAGAGAGAACTCGGAAATCAAGCCAGAATGAAGCCTTTTGTGCGTTAGAATTACTAACTCAGGTTTCCATTCCGCAGTTGCTAAGACACAGAGGTAATATCTCTACCTTAAGAACATCAGCTGTGTGGAGTGGTGGGGTTCAATACTTGCACAACTTACTGCTCAGACTTTGCGCCTTGATTTTCGAGGCAAAATAATCAAGTCGCCTCTCAGAATAAGCAGGCATTTATTAACTTGGAATTTTTTTTGTTAACAACAGGGAAATAGAAAATTGAGTGTTTGTTTTCGTCAGTGTATCATCCCCAATGAAAATGGAAACTAATTTTGCATTACAAATAATATTTTGTTTTTTTTTAAATTCTCTCCAGATTTTTACAACAGAAATTTGACCGAGTGCAGGATGTGTCCACCGGTTTTTGACCCAAAAGAAATAGGACATGCACGTTCGTACAGGTTTCATTGTGTCTGTGTGTGTCTTACTCTGTGTCTTCCTCTGTGTCTGTGTGTCTTCATCTGTGACTGTCTGTGTGTCTTCCACTGTGTCTGTGTGTCTGTCTGTGTGTCTGTCTGTGTCTTACTCTGTGTCTTCCTCTGTGTCTGTGTGTCTTCATCTGTGACTGTCTGTGTGTCTTCCACTGTGTCTGTGTGTCTGTCTGTGTGTCTGTCTGTGTCTTACTCTGTGTTTTCCTCGGTGTCTGTGTGTCTTCATCTGTGTCTGTCTGTGTGTCTTCCTCTGTTTACACCTCTATCCATTTAACTAATCAATTACGAGATTGCATTTAGAAAACACTGATTGGTTGCTTGTTGAATTACAAGAAAGAAAAATAAGATAATGGTGTTAGCTGATGCAAATAGTTCACTTTTCGAACCTGGCTGTCCATATAAGCAAGTGCAGTAGAGTTCACTTGTTTCTGTGGCCTCGGCACTTGAAGAGACAGTGTAATCCTCACAATGCCCAGCCACCTTTACTTTCACTAATATAAATTACGAGCTCAGTAGGGTTTGGTGGACACATGGAGGTTCTACTGACTTGAACCTGGATTCAAACTCGAGACTTTCGGGTTATCGGCCAAACCCTCTACCACTAGGCCACGCCGTGTCACAATTACCCTTGAAAATAGCAAAAAAATGTATATTTGACTTATAATACACTATATAATAAAATAATAAAACTACCTCCTACCCCCTCAAGGTATACAATAATTACTAAATTCCTTTCATATCTTCTGGTGTAAACCATTCAGCAGTTCTACCTTTTCATACGACATAGAATAAAACAATTAATAACATCTGAACAGATTTATATATTCATCAAAATTTGAATCACAAGTTAACCCAAAGGACAATTTCATTTATTAAATCCTTAATATATTTTTGACTTGGATTTTATTATATACGCCCCCCCCCCCCCACACACACACATCAATCCTCGTGATAAACCAATGCCAATTATTTTTTAACATTTTAAATGTGCTTTGTTTTACAGCATACGGTCAGGGTGTTTCGTGGACATCACAGTCCTTCTTGATACTTCTGTGTTGTGTCCTCTCGGTATTCATTCGATGACAACAACTTCGTGCCAATATTTAAGTATTATATGGTCCCCATTTTCAAAGAGAGTGTGGTATATTGATGAATATCTCAGATAAAATACCACCATGGCAAATTTCTGTTTTGGTAACCGAATTGTGGAAATCAAAAAGCGAGCTTTAATATTGTATTTTTGTATGATTAATGACGGATATTTTTCTGCTTTGATGTTTTGTATTTAATGCTTTTAATGTATTTCATATATTGGTTAGTATTGCTGTTTATCAATGTATTTTAAAAACTTTAAATTTAATATTTTTAATAATAAAGATGTTACATGTGTGGATTTTTTTTTCGGAATTCATTTGTCGTTTTGATAAAAGGGCAATAACTGTGGTACTAAAAAACAGAGCTGGAACTAAGAAAACGTTGCGGGGCCTTGGTTGCTAAACTGTTTAGTAATACAAATAAACCGGGAGTGATCTCCCCTAAACTTTCTCGAATATTCTTATATAAAACAACAGGGGATGGGAACTCGGGCTATAGACATGATTTTTAATCAATTTTAAATACGTAAAGTTTTAAAAATAGAATAAAATCTCGTAGACAAAATAATTGCACACCAAGTGAATGCCAAATAAAAAAGTGCATAATAGTGCGCAATATTATTAGTACTTTAAAAATTTACATTAGTTTTTTGAGAAATCGGAAGTAGCGTAAATTACTACTTCCGGTCAACGGAAATTATTCAAAATTTAACAGAAGGTAGAGAATTACATCTTTTACTTACATGTGAAATTTCATTTATCTATCTGAAATAGTACTCAAGTTATGGGCTTTTGAAAAATTCTAAGTAGAAAAAATACCACTTCCGGTTATCGGGAATCGCTCAAAAGTTGATACGGATCTACGATTGTGATAAAATACCTATATATGAAATTTCATCAACCTAGCTGTAACGGTACTCAAGTTATCGTGTTTACACACGGACAGACAGACAGACACACAGACATACGGACAGAATTGCAAAGCCCAGTTTTTCAGACAGGATTAAGCATAAAACTTCTTAATTTTGATAAATCTGGATTGGTAATTTTTGACCGATTAAAATAAGTCCTCTATACTTCGGATGTGATGAAGGACTGAGGTGTAATACGGTGAAAATTGTTAAAATTTCAAGTGATTTTTGTGCACGATTACAATACTTTCTCTATACTTCGTATATACGAGAAAGTAAAAACGCAAACTTGCCTGAGCGTCGACTACGGACTAAGAAGGGGGAAATAATTGTCTTTTAAATATTGTAAGCAACTTATATTTTAAAGCTAATAATTTTAGTTACATGTGGGGACAGCTTCCTTTCGAACGAATTTCTACATTTTAAAAATTGACTCATTATCGATCGCTAGTGTAATCGAAAATCGATAGTTTATCTGGAAAGCAAATAAGACAACGCTGAATAATAAGAGTCCAAATTGATTCACAGGGTTAGACTACACACTGAAACGAATTTAGTGAGAGAAGGGTTATGGAATTGACAAGTAATTGCGACTACAAGTTGAAGAAGTGATGTTTTTTAAAAAAAGGTTTTTATCGTGAAGATGCATACACAAAAACGACTGAATTTGTTATTTCAAAGTGGCAGATTTAAAAATTCTTTAGATCTATTTGGCTACAACTACAAAAGTACAGGAATGTTATTTTATAAATAGTTTTTAAAATATGATTTGAACATTTATTACTTTATTACGCTGACATTTTACAACAAACCGATGGACATTGTCTATATTAACATGCATTTATATTAATTTATATTTTATATTGTATGCGCACCGTGTAGTCTAACGCGCAGCTGAATGTTTACACATTTCACAAAAATCGTACAGGAAGTGAAGTTTTTAGGAGTAAAATGTAAACAAAGTCAACACAAGACATTTCTGGATTACAAGTTAGATACGTGTCAGTGTTGTGTACGAAGCATCGGTGCTGTTTTACATGTACATAGTAGTGTGGGTCATCTTTGTGTTGGGTATCTCGACTGTAAGAACAGGTAACCAGGTTTTTTAAGGCCATCGTTTCATGAATGCCATCTTTCAGTCAACATTAATGACTAGGTCTAGATTATCATTTAATTAATTCAATTAGTGCCATCTTTCAATCAACATTAATGATCTGTGTGACAATTTAATTGAATTAATTCCATCTTTTAACCACCATTAATGACTAGATCTAGATGACCATATAACTTAATGAATGCCATCTTTCAGACAACATTAATGATTAGATGTAAATGAACAAATACTTTAATTAATGCCATCTTTCAGTCAACATTAATGACTAGGTCTAGATCATCATATAATTTAATTAATGCCATATCTTAATCGACATTAATGACTAGATGTAGATAAACATATAATTTAATTAATGCCATCGTTCAAACAACATTAATAATTAGATCTAGCAAACCATATCATTTAACGTCATATTTCGCACAACATCAAAGACAGCATCTAGTTGACGTATTTAACAATATCAAAAACATGATTTAGCTGACATTATCGTATAATGAGTATAATGCCATCTCTGTTTTGGTGTTGTTTAGTTGTGTACGCGTGTTGGTAAGTGTTGGTGATTTGTTCTTCTGTCTGTAAGTTGGTGGTGTTTGAGTGCTGGTGTGTCTGGCGTGTCAGTGTGTTTGGTGTGTGCGAGTGGGCATCTTGTCGGTGTGTCTTGATGATGTAATGTGTGGTGATGTAAGTTGTGGTATCTTGATGATGTAATGTGTGGTGATGTAAGTTGTGGTATCTTGATGATGTAATGTGTCGTGATGTATGTTATGTGTGTTAGTTGCGTGTTGTGTTGTGGCGTGTGTTGCTCTGTTGCTGTTAGCTGATATGTGTGTGAGTGCCGGTGTGTTTCTGCGTGCTAATAATGCAACATACACTCTTAAAGCCAATTCATTGTTCATCCCTAGATATGTGTGTGTCGGTGTGTGTTTGTGTATGAGTATGTGTGTGTGTGTGTGTTTGTACGTGTGTGTGTGGTGTGTGTGTTTCTGTGTGCTGGTAAAGCAACGCACACTCTTTAAGCCAGTTCTTTGTTACCCCCAGATGTGTTGTGTGCCAGTGTGTGTGTATTTGTGTGTGTGAGTGTGTGTGTGAGAGAGAGAGAGAGAAAATCTGTATGTGTTTGTACGTGTGTATGTATGTGCCGGTGTGTTTATGTGTGCTGATAAAGCAACACACTCTTTAAGCCAGTTTTTATTCGCCCCTAGATGACCATCCCAGAATGAACAAAAGGTACCAACAAGTGGGAGACACGCTTGTACATCTTTTCAGAAGGTTGGTTTAACGTTAAACAAGGGACAGTTTAACGATATACGTTAACATGTAAAGCTTAACGTTATAAGTTAAACGCTGTTCAGTTTACCGTTGTAAGTTAAGCAATGAATTTAACGTAAGTTAAACAATGTACAGTTTAAAGTTATAATTAACAACACAGTCCAGCTCCAGTGTTCTGTGCGTGTCTCTGTGTATACCTACTGTTGTTACAGGTATCCTGTATAGACCTACTGCTGTTATATGTATCCTGTATACTGCTGTTACATGTGTCCTGTATAGACCTACTTCTGTTACACGTATTCTGTATAGACCTACAGTTCTGTGTGTTACATGTATTCTGTATAGACCTACTGCTGTTACACGTATTCTGTATAGACCTACTGTTCTGTATATTACATGTATTCTATATAGACCTACGGTACTGTTTGTTACATGTATCCTGTATAGACCTACTGTTGTTACATGTATCCTGTATAGACCTACTGCTTTGTGTGTTACATGTATCCTGTATAGACCTACTGCTGTTACATGTATCCTGTATAGACCTACTGCTGTTACATGTATCCTGTATAGACCTACTGCTCCTTAGTTTACATTTTTCGGAACACTTATCTCATAATATCGATTAAATAACACATTAACAATTACATGTATTAAGAGATTTTAGAAGCTAAATAAACATCTTTAACTCCGCTGAAATTGTTATAAATCTATTCACGTTTAAAAGTTTAAAAGTTAGAACGGTCTCCTCGAAATGTACAGTAAATCAATGTTTAAATTGTGTTGTATTCTCACAAATAAAGTCTTGAAAAATCGCGTTGTCGATCGGTGAAGCACATAAATTCTGCGCGAACCGCCATGGAGAGGCTCGTTAGCTTGGGTCAGCCATTCATCTAGCGGAGGCAACTAGAAAAATCAAACAACTGCTGCCTTGTAGTTTGATCTTATTTAAACAAAGTCTATGGAAGCATATACATAAATAAAAGCAATCTGAGGTCTGAGTCTATAGCCATATGACATAATTAATAATTGTGTTGGTGAAAATCCTCTCCAACGTAACAAGTAATAACAAAGAAAAATTTACTAACGTGTAGTTCAATGTGTCCACTCGGTGTCCATTCCTAGAAATCACACCAACACAAGCTTAGTGATAACCAAATACACTCTGGATACGATCATGAAAACCGGCTTCGATATGACGCTCAAGACAGTCTTCATCATTCACGGTTTTGCCACGACAATGTACAAGGCTTGGGTCCCGGTGATGAAGCAGACGTTTCTACTCAAGGTAGGGTAGCTCTTCTTTCGTTGATTCCTGTCAAGGTAGGGTAGCTCTTCTTTTGTTGATTCCTCTCAAGGTAAAGAACCTGGTAGCTCGTCTTTCGTTGGCTCCTCTCAAGGTAGGGTACCGCTGAAAGCTCGTCTTTAATGAGTTTTTTTAATGTAGATATTTTATTCACGAACATAAACAATGGTATTGAAGATAATCAAATATTTGGCTTCTTGCGGGGTAGTGTGTGTGTGGGGGGGGGGAGGAGGGGGGATGTAAAGGATAATTCCAACAGTCATACCGCCAAAACAATAAGCTTTGATTTGAGCTTTATTTCAGAGCGACATTTTGGTGAAACCATTGCCAGAAGTTCCTTTCCTGCAGATTTTTCTGTATGTCAAATTACAACCATCTTACATTAAAAGTTCAGATGTTTGGGAAATATGGCTCGCCATACCCGGACTTAATTCTTAAATTGTACGTTGTTGGCCGAACGTAACGCAGTGGGTACACAAGGAAGGTTTCAGCGTGTGTGTCGTTGTAGACTCGGTTCAGTTATGTGTTTAAAGTGTTCATATTTCCCCAGGGGGATTTGAACACGTGTTCCCTTCATACTTCTCTGTGAATATTTGAACATTTGTCTCTTAAAAACATTCATATTTTCCCAGGGAGATTAAAACATGTGTTTTTTTCCTATGTGTCTTTGAATATTTGAGACAGTGTTTGTAAATATTTGAACGCGTCTCTTGAGATGTTCATATCTCTTCTCCAGGAAGACATGAACGTGTTTATCCTGGACTGGGCCGACGCTGTGATACCCCCACACTACGACCGAGCTGTAGACAATATGTTTATCGTAGGGCAAATGGTGGCCAATCTCATTTTACGCATGGAAACATTTGGTCTACGGCTCGATGACCTTCACCTTATAGGTCACTCTCTCGGCGCGCATTTAGCAGGAGACATTGGCAGACGACTCGGGGGCAGGATAGCCCGGATTACAGGTCGGCTGAAAAACGTACACGTTTTTTTTATATTCCTACTGGATGAACTGTTTATTAGATTGACACTTCTCAATTAAAAAGGCATCTTGGGTCAAGGATTGTATCCCTTTCACTGCCACCTAGGTCCCCCGCAGATTAACTACCACCACCCCCCCTATACCATCCTCACTTCGCCCCGTAAGTTAAATTTTACTTCTCCCGAGTATGTTTTTTTTTCTCTTAAATTACGTGTGTGCTTTATGGTAATGTTAAGTATAGCTGCATTGTATTGTAGAAGGAATCGGCGTGATCGAGTCGGTAAAGCTCATGGTTACTAAACCGAAAAGTCTCGAGTTCGAACCCTCGTAGTTTGTTCTTGATTGGACAAATGATATGGGAGCAAATCAAAAAAGAAAAGCAGGCTGTATCAAGAACGAAGACAAAGAAGAAGTATAATAGAGACGTAGGTCAAAACGTCCTATCTTGGTGTTGTGTAAAATGTATAATAGAGACGTAGGTCAAAACGTACTATCTTGGTGTTGTGTAAAATGTGTAATAGAGACGTAGGTCAAAACGTCCTATCTTAGTGTTGTGTAAAATGTATAATAGAGACGTAGGTCAAAACGTCTTATCTTAGTGTTGTGTAAAATGTAGAGACGTTGATCAAAACGTCCTATCTTAGTGTTGTGTAAAATGTAGAGACGTAGATCAAAACGTCCTATCTTGGTGTTGTGTAAAATGTGTAATAGAGACGTAGGTCAAAACGTCCTATCTTAGTGTTGTGTAAAATGTATAATAGAGACGTAGGTCAAAACGTCCTATCTTAGTGTTGTGTAAAATGTATAAAAGAGACGTAGGTCAAAACGTCCTATCTTAGTGTTGTGTAAAATGTATAATAGAGACGTAGGTCAAAACTTACTATCTTAGTGTTGTGTAAAATGTATAATAGAGACGTAGGTCAAAACGTCCTATCTTAGTGTTGTGTAAAATGTATAATAGAGACGTAGGTCAAAACGTCCTATCTTAGTGTTGTGTAACATGTAGCTTTCACGAACAGGACTCGACCCCGCGGCCTACCTGTTTGAAGGGAAACCAATCGACAAACGCTTGGATCCATCGGACGCCGTCTTTGTCGACGTGGTGCACTCGGATGCCGTGCGGCTGACGTTTCCCTATAAGGGCCTCGGCATCTTGAATCCCCTGGGTCATGTGGATTTCTACCCCAACGGTGCCTATCTACAGCCCGGGTGTGTCGATAAATATTTGGGCCTGTACCCTATAGGTAACAGGGGTTATCTCTAGCGATGTAATCATTACAGATGTAATCCCTATAGATGTAATCACCCTATAAGTAATCTCTGCTCGTGTAATTCCTATAGATGTAGACCCGACAGATGTAATCTCTATAGATTTAATCCCTATAGATGTAATCCATATAGATGTAATCCCAAATATGCAATCATTACAGATGTAATCATTACATATGTAATCCCTATAGATGTAATCCCGACAGATGTAATCTCTGTAGATTTAATCCCTATAGATGTAATCCATATAGATGTAATCCCCAAATATGCAATCATTACAGATGTAATCATTACAGATGTAATACCTATAGATGTAATCACCCTATAAGTAAGCTATGGTTGTGTAATCCCTATATATGTAATCCCTATAGATTTAATCCCTATAGATGTAATCCATGTAGATGTAATCCCTACATGTGTAATCCTTACATGTGTAATCCCTACTGATGTAATCCCTACTAATGTAATCCCTAAAAATGTAATCCCTATAGATGTAATCCCTATAGATGTAATCCCTATAGATGTAATCCCTACAAATGTAATCCCTATAGATGTAATCCCTACATATGTAACGCTACAAGTACATTCCCTGTGGGTTCACCTCTACATGTATCAGGTATAATCCTGTGGGTAACAGTTACAATTAAACAAACGTTAAAAGGGTTAATCCCAATATCAAATAACAATATGGCCCTTACAAATGAATTCGATTGCAGTTTTACAAGGCAGCTATAGCGTTCTATGTGTACGTTTACACGTGAGTATAACTTGGACAACACGTGATTGATGCCATGATACTAATGTACTCACCAGACGGACCGGAGTGTAGTCACAGAAGAGCGGCTGAGTACTACGTCGATTCCATCAACACGACGTATCACTGCATGGCTCAACAGTGCTCGGACTTCGTAAGTCTTGGGACTCATTCATACTATAGAATAATTGTAGTAGAAAACTATAGGCGGGTGTTTGTAATGAGTAATGAGAAAAAAGGATAAAGTTAGTATCCTAAAATTTAAAAGACAATTACGCGTGTCTGATGTCTGCGGTATCGTGAGGAAGAAACGCGTGTTAAATAAACCGGGAGTGATCTCCCCTAAACTTTCTCGAATATTCTTATGTAAAATAACAGGGGATGGGAACTCGGGCTATAGACATGATTTCTAATCCATTTTTAATACTTAAAGTTTTAAAAATAGAATAAAATCTCGTAGACAAAAGAATTGCACACCAAGTGAACGCCAAATTTTAAAAAAGTGCATAATAGTGCGCAATATTATTAGTACTTTAAAAATTTACATTAGTTTTTTGAGAAATCGGATATAGCGTAAATTACTACTTCCGGTCAACGGAAATGACTCAAAATTTAACAGAAGGTAGAGAATTAGATCTTATACTTACATGTGAAATTTCATTTCTATCTGAAATAGTACTCAAGTTATAGGCTTTTGAAAAATTCAAAGTAGAAAAAGTACCACTTCCGGTTATTGGAAATAGCTCAAAAGTTGATACGGATCTACGATTTTGATAAAAAAAACTTATATATGAAATGTCATCAACCTAGTTGTAACGGTACTCAAGTAATCGTGTTTACACACAGACACACACACACACACAGACATACGGACAGAATTGCAAAGCCCAGTTTTTTAGACTAGATTACGCATAAAACCTCTTAATTTTGATAAATCTGGATTGATACTTTTTGCCCGATTAAAATAAGTCCTCTATACTTCGGATGTGATGAAGGACTGATGTGTAATACGGTGAAAATTGTTAAAATTTCAAGTGATTTTTGTGCACGATTACAATACTTTCTCTATACTTCGTATATACGAGAAAGTAAAAACGCTTGGAACAAATGGTGGTCGTATGGTTTGGTGGAGTGAAGGGGCGGGGGGGAAGGGGGCTGATGAAAGATCATCATCTTTTCCCGTTTGTGTCCAAGACACATGAAGAAGACGAAGTAGCGTTCATCAGTTACCTCGGGGTCGTACTACTGACTTAAACACGAATTCGAACTCTAGACTTAAGTACTCTAGCCCTCCACCGCTTGGCCACGCCGTCCCTTAGATCAGGGGTCTCCAAACTTTTCAGTCCGAGGGCCGAATTAACTATCAAATTTCAGTTCGGGGGCCAGTTTCTTCCAGGCGTGTCTTTTATTTTTCTGAGCAAACTTCCTCAGCCATCACCAACAAACGGTTTTTTCCGTGAACAAAATGATCTCCGCGGGCCGGATGAGAGGGCCTCGCGGGCCGTAGTTTGGAGACCCCTGCCTTAGATGAAGGATGCCATACATTTAAACCTTTGGGAGATAAAACGTAATATGAGCGTCGTTGTCGTGTTTTCCTGGGTTGAAGAATGATGACAGTAGCTACAGTTGTTCGGTACAAATATGTCTTAATGTTATGTTTTAAACGGGAGATTTTCATGATTTTTATGTCGGTCGAAACTGTCAGAGAAAATTTTAAAAATGTCTGAAGCGTAAAGGGTGTCACATAGACTGCATTAGTTAAGTCATATTCAAAACAAACAATTTAAACCCACTCACATTCATATATAATATATCAGATATTTTGTTTTAACCCCCCCCCCCCCCTCCCCCTTAAGATTGACTGTGGTAGATCCACTATAGTCGTTGTTAGCCAATCTCCAACTCATAAAATCCTTCTGTACCAACCTCCGCAGAAATCGTTCCTTGACCACCACTGCTCCCAATGTTCCAACACATCCTGTAACGTCATGGGGTACCTGGCCAGTCCACTCCAAGCTTTGGGCCTGATGTACCTGCAGACCGGTGAAAAACCGCCGTACTGTGGTAAGACAGGGTTTGTTATTGTTTTTCTAAATTAATCTACTGGAAATACAAAGTGGAACGGTGTGGTCGAGGTAAAGATACTAGACTATCCCAGTGGCGTAGCGAGGTCGGGTGTCACCCAGTGCGTCACTTAATGGTGTCACCCCTTCCCCCCCCCCCCAGAGGCGTAGCGACCCTTCCCGGCGCCCGGAGACAAACTTTCAATTTTCAATCTGCACCACTCCCCCTCCACCCTTGTCGGGATTTGTCAAATTTGTCAAATTTGCTCTTAAAAGACTTTTTAACACTCGAATTAATCACTTAATTAAGTGGAATTATCATTTTTCTCTATATATTTTGCTATTTTTTGCCTTGGTGCCACACATCTAAATTGTGTCACCCGGTAGGGTCCGCACCCCCGCCCCCCCCCCCCCCCCCCCCACTCACTACGCCACTGGACTATCCCTAAAGTCTTGTGTTTGGTTCCCTGACCCTCTGATCAATCTCTGATCAGTACCTTACCCCACCTCCATATGCCGTGGTCACAGAAACAGGTCAACTCTACTTCACATGGAACATTGACCTGCCGTTCATTAACGTTAATTTTATCATGGTTTGGTCATTTTATTCCAATTAAATTTTTAAAAATACATTCTGGTATAACAAGAAACCTGTATTGGTTGAACGTGCAGATTTAATATATTTGACTTAAGATCGCTTACAGTGACCTAGGTTTAGCTATGGTTCGTAATCTAACCTGGTCTGAGATTACAATCTAACCAGGTGTAATCAACATCTTTCTTCAGATACATTTAATGAAAACGAAATTTGTGTTACGTATGCTAGCAGATTAATATATTACTTCGCGTTTATCGATTCTCTTACAGATTATATATATATATATATATATATATATATATATATATATATATATATATATATATATATATATATATATATATATATATATATATATATATATATATATACATTGGGTCAAGGACATTACTCCCCCCCCTCAACTACCCTCGGATATCCCCACCCCCATGGGGAAGGGGGTTGACAGGGGGGGAATGTCCTGCTCCCATGTATTTTTTGTGTCCGGAACATTAAGTTGGCTAAACTCGCATTGACACAAACTCAGTGTGAGAGAATGCAACTTTCGTTTTCCTAATTACACGACGAACATGTTTAACTTCTGTGGTACATTAAACAATTGCCTGTCAAAATAAAATGTCTTCTTTCTTGTAGATATCTATTACAATAAAAAGACAGACTGTGAGATTTGCCCTACCGTTTTTGATTTAAAGGAATTCTCACTATCAAGTTAGTCATGGTGTGAATTTGTTGATCTCGATGTGAATTTGTTGAGTGCTTCTGTGTTGATTTCAATGTGAATTTGTTGAGTGCTTCTGTGTTGATCTCAATGTGAATTTGTTGAGTGCTTCTGTGTTGATCTCAATGTGAATTTGTTGAGTGCTTCTGTGTTGATCTCAATGTGAATTTGTTGAGTGCTTCTGTGTTGATCTCAATGTGAATTTGTTGAGTGCTTCTGTGTTGATCTCAATGTGAATTTCTTGAGTGCTTCTGTGTTGATCGCAGTGTGAATTTGTTGAGTGCTTTTGTGCTGATCTCAATGTGAATTTGTTGAGTGCTTTTGTGCTGATCTCAGTGTGCTTGTCCTCAAATTCGATCGTTTCAAATTTGATCATGCCCCGATTGTTCTCATTTACGTTTCCACAGTATTAGACATACAGTATCTTGCAATCTAGCTCTCCAGCCATCAATAAATATTCTCGTACCTCCACATACACTCGCTCATAATTATTTTATTTTTATACCAGTTTATAATTCTCTTTTTAGCGCAATTTCCATTCTAGAGAATTGCGTTTATTAACCCGTCATTTCTGTATGGATGGATGGATGGATGGATGGATGGATGCCCGCAGCTTTAAGTCGTATCTCCTCCTCAACGAAGCAATATCTAGGACTAGTTTCAAAAGCAAAATTGTTAAGCAAGTTCCAAGGATGATTGTGGGCCAAAAATATTCCCGGGTTTCCTTCCTGGATTTCCCGGAAAAGCCAAAATACCTCGAAAAAATGCAGTTTTTGGCCCATATCTCGGCAACCAGACCATTTAGCAACTTGAAACTTTTACCAATCGATTTCTGCCATAATTTAGAACAATATTGCCGAAGAAAGTTTTCAAAAATATCCTTTCGTTCGGTCACAAAAAATTAATTTCTTCTAATTTTTTAAAATCTGTACCTTAGTTTTTATACACGTGCATAGCATATTATACCAATTTTCTTCTAACCCTTAATTTATCTTCTGTTTTAGGGTCTGAAGGTTTTGTCACGACGCCACTGACAAATTTGATATTTTTCGCCTTGATCTTCTCATTAACATCAGGATTTGCTGACATGTAATCTGCTGTTATCAACTAGAGGAAACCGATTTGTTCACGAGGAATCGTTTGGGTTGAACGTTTGAAATATCCATGCTTGCTTGTGTTTAGATTGATACTTTAAATTAATATTTTCTTTTAAATGTTATTACATTGATAAAAGTGTTTTCCGATTTCTACACATTAAATAGATTTAATAAACGATAGCCAAATTTTAACTTTAAGACACAGGCTGTCACTAAAGCATAAAGTTATTTAGGATTACATTTTACAGGAGGGATTAAAAAACATAAATTAAATTATTGTCTTGTGCACGTATTATTCTGAATTTTGTATAGGTTTGTAGTATTGAAAATAAATCATGTTAGTTTGATCTAATAACGTTTGTTTGTTACATTATTCCACTAAATAAATTAAAATACAGAACTGTTGAGTTATTGGGATGTATGGTGGGATACTACTTTTACAACACACATATATACAGACACCTAATTTATACAGATACCAAATTTATAAACGAATTCATTTATACAGACACCAAATTTATAAATTAATTTATACATACACCAAATTTATAAAGAAGTTCATTTATACAGACACCAAATTTATAAATTCATTTATACATACACCAAATTTATAAATTCATTTATATATACACCAAATTTATAAAGAAATTCATTTATACATACACCAAATGTATAAAGAAATTCATTTATACAAACACCCAAATGTATACAAAGACCACATTATACAGACAATCATTCCAAGTGTTTTTACTCAGAGTTAGCAGGGGCTAGTGGTGATTACAGAGTCATTCCCCTTGATTCATCCTTTGTGGAAGCTTAAAAACCTAACATCGCCGTTAGAATCAGCCGGAAATAGCTGACAAGGTAGGCAGAGCTTCTTCCAGGCATTTCTTCCCCAAACGAACTGAATTTTATATAGAACATAAATATAAATGATTTTGACAGTTCCCGCTCACCCCCCCCCCCCACCCTTCCTCCCCCCCCCCCCCTGAAATTTCAAGTCCCCCTCCCTGAGAAAAAATTCTGGAAGAAGCAATGAAGGTCGGTGATTCTGTTCTCAGTGACGTCGCTAGGTTGGGGGGGGGGGGGGTCCTCCTCCTTCCTATCGCTCTACTGCCTCTCCCTCATTACTTATGACGTCATTGTTGGAAGCAGATGATACTAGCGTGATAAACTTTACATTCTAATATTTTTACTTTCTCGTATATACGAAGTATAGAGAAAGTCTTGTAATCGTGCTAAAAAAATCGAGATTTTTACAAATCTCGACGTTTTACACCTCACTGATACGGAAAAACATAATTTTGCAATCTTGTCCGTATGTCTGTGTGTCTGTCTGTCTATGTGTAAACACGATAACTTGAGTACCGTTATAGCTAGGTTGATGAAATTTCACATATAAGTATTTTATCAAAATCGTAGATCCTCATCAATGTTTGAGCGATTTCCGATAACCGGAAGTGGTACTTTTTCTACTTTGAATTATTCAAAAGCCTATAACTTGAGTACTATTTCAGATCGATAAATGAAATTTCACCTGTAAGTAAAAGACCTAATTGTCTACATTCTGTCAAATTTTGGTTAATTTCCGTTGACCGGAAGTACTAAATTACGCTATTTCCGATTTCTCAAAAAACGCATTTAAATTTATAAAGTACTAATAATATTGCGCACTATTATGAACATCTTTATTTGGCGTTCGCTTGGTGCGCAATTCTTTTTTTCTATGAGATTCTATTCTATTTTTAAAAGTTTAAGTATTTAAAATGGATTAAAATTCAGGTCTATTTCCCGAGTTCCCATCCCCTGTTGTTTTATATAAGAATATTCGAGAAAGTTTAGGGGAGATCACTCCCGGTTTTTTTTTCACACTACTCAAATTGCTGATTCACGTCAGTGATGTTAACTATATCGTTCGGGTATGCGAGTTGAATCGTTAGGTTGAATTACATTCGTTCAATGGAATGCCGTTGGTTCAGGGAATTTCATTCCTTTTGTGCATCTTCTTCTTCGTTCTTAATTATTATATTGGAGGGAATTTCTTTCAACACAATTAATAATTATATGTCAACATGTTATTCGCCTAAAGGGACGTCTTTTCCGATTCAACCTGCTTTTTATCTCGATTTGCTTTTGTAGTTTTTCTCCAACCAAGAACAAGCTACAAAGGGGTCGTCCATAAATGACGTCACACTCGGAGGGGGGGGGGGGGTCGGTAATTTTGTGACGATGTGTGATGAGGGGGAGGGGGGGTTCAGATGGTGCGACGTCACACTTTTTTCATTATAAAAATAAACCGGGAGTAATCTCCCCTAAACTTTCTCGAATATTCTTATATAAAACAACAGGGGATGGGAACTCGGGATATAGTTATGATTTTTTATCCATTTTAAATACTTAACTTTTAAAAATAAAATAGAATCTCATAGAAAAAAGTATTGCACACCAAGCGAACGCCGAATAAAGATGTTCATAATGGTGCGCAATATTATTAGTACTTTATAAATTTAGATGCGATTTTGAGAAATCGGAAATAGCGTAAATTACTACTTCCCGTCAATAGAAATTACTCAAAATTTGACAGAACGAAGAGAATTAGATTTTTTACTTACATGTGAAATTTCATTTATCTATCTGAAATAGTTCTCAAGTTATAGGTTTTTGAAAAATTCAAAGTAGAAAAAGTACCACTTCCGGTTATCGGAAATCGCTCAAAAGTTGATACGGATCTACGATTTTGATACAATACTTATATATGAAATTTCATCAACCTAGCTGTAACGGTACTCAAGTTATCGTGTTTACACACACACACACACAGACAGACACACAGACACACACACACACACACAGACATACGGACAAGATTGCAAAATTATGTTTTTCCGTATCAGTGAGGTGTAAAACGTCGAGATTTGTAAAAATCTCGATTTTTTTTTTTGCACGATTACAATACTTTCTCTATACTACGTATATACGAGAAAGTAAAAAGAAATGTTAGAAAACGAATTTTAGACGTTATTTCGCGTTTTAGAAAACTGTTTTAATAAATTGTAATAGGAATTGATTAAAATACTCTATTTTGACAGATTTCGGACAAGAGTTTGGAAAAATATCGATGTTTAAAAAAAAATTCAACTGCAATCTTGAGGGGGGGGGGGGGGGGTTGTAGGCTGAGGTGTGACGTCATTTAAGAAGGGGGGTGTCTGGCTTTTTGTGACGACGTGTGACCGAGGGGAGGGGGGAGGTAAAAATCGTCAAAATATGGATGACCCCAAAGCAACAGTTAGTTGATTTTTTCCCGGGGCCACTAATGAAAACCTGAAAAAAACATCTGAAAACTGAAATCTCAACCATAGGAGAGCAGATGGGTTGCTGCCTCCAACAAACGAGATCCAACTGCCCGGGGTTCGAACTCTGGACTTGGAATTCGCAGACATACGCTCTTAGCCCAACCACTACGCAGATATTTACTCCTCACCTAATTTTTTTTTGAAGGCTGTACTCACAGTTGTCACACAAAACATGTTAATATGCGAATCCACCGCTTTGTAAAAAGACAATTCTCCTGGGTATGGTACATTTAATAACCACTAATGAAACAAGACAAAAATCTGAATACAAGTATGAAATAAAATTTAATAAAATCATGACGTATAAAACATGAATATAAAATTGTGTTAAAAACAAATGGTGTTATTTTAAGTAAGTTTTAAACCATAAATACAACAAAAATTTTAATTAAATTTTTTAATTGGTTTTAAAAATGCAGAAATGAAATGTGACAGTTTATTGTGCTAAATTGGTTTAAAAATATATCGTTGAAAAATACTTGGTTGCAGTAGATTTTTATTAAGTGCACTTTTAAAAAAAATCAATTGTTATTTCAACAAACAAGTTTTGACCTTTTTGCAAGCAGTGTCGCGCAATAGTCCACCAGATAACTTCCCCCATTCCCCCCCCCCCACCCCCTCGAGTCTAGAGCAGGTCACTGAGTTTACTCAGCTCATGTCGGTGCCTGTCTTAAATCGGGGAAAATTAAATCGGCAGGTTCAGCGTACACAATGTCCTACCATGCAATGTGACTATATAGCGGTTGAACTCTGTGTCATACTGACAAGCAGGTCCGAGGGTATTTAACATACCTTAAATATAAAATTTATAATACAAATTATTCTTTAGTTCAGTGATTTGCATCCTCTAATATAAACACTCACTTATATGACGTTGCTACTAAATAAGTTAGGGCTCTTCTGTTGCCATTATTGCTATACTAACGAATATTAATGTAACTTACAAACGACTGCTACAAACAAGTTAACTACATAAGGAGACCAAATATTAAATATACGTATATTATTTTGTAGAAGATTTGATTTCCTCAAGTTGGCTTTGTTATGTGTTATTCTTTTATTTTATAATCCAACCCTTTAATCGGTCGTGCGTGTAGAAGAATAACTTTGTTCTAAAACAGGGCATTATTTTTTTTTTCGTTGAGATAATATAGTAAATTTTTACTTGGAAATACAAATTTTAAAAAAAGTTGTTAAAAATTACAGAAGAAAAGTTTTTTTTTTAATCTATTAATTTTATGTCTCTGCCAAAGGAGATTTTTTGAGGTGATGCGCAGGAGAGACATACAGGTTGGACACGACTGCGCTGCTGCGGGCTGAGGACATGCGCGAAGAATCTCGACTTCCGGTGTCCATCAGACTGCCAAACGACCCGTGGATCCCAGCAGACGACCGGATGGAGTCCGTGTCCTGCTGGAAGTGACCGCTACCGGACATCTTCTCCAGCTCAAAGTACGTCAAATCTTTTCCCGCCAAACCTTTCGCGTCGTCTGCTGAAGGTCTGTTCCAGATTTTAGAATTGTTTCGGTTGGATAATCTCAACTGTCGTTTTTTGGACAACCTGACGAGCGGGTTGGTGGAAGCGGGGGGTTCGTAGTTGTCAAAGAGCTGAAGGTACGACCCGGCGGTGGATAGGTCGTCCTCCCTGGGCTCGTAGCAGGCGGGGATGGTGATCTGCACGTTGGCGATGACAGTGGGTTTGGGCACGCTCAGAATGTTCGAGTAGGTGGGCGTGTCTTTAGGTTTCTCGAGATGTTGAACAACATCCCCGGGGGCGTTGTACTCAGGCGAGTTTAAAACTTGATTTTGGGGGTTCGGTTTGGTCTTTCTGGTTTTTGGAACCGGTTTGACCTTTTTGGTAGGACTTTCTGGATTATTCTGTGGTTCGGTGTTTGGGGATAGCGAGTCTTTGTTCGTGGGTTCGGGTAACTCTTTGCTGGGCGAGCGTGTACGACCAAGTGTGGAGAAGGGTGAGGGCGGGGGAGTTCGACCAATCAGAAGCAGGAGTTCGACATGTAGAGCCTTGAAGGTGGGTCTCATGTTGGGGTCCTTGGCCCAGCACTGTAACATTAGGCTGAAACTGGGCAAGAACGTTGTGGTTATTTTGTTAGCTTTTTTCATTTCAAACTTTATTCCAATATGAAAGAAAGTACATTTGATAACATATGGTTAGAAAATTAGATGAATACTATAATGTAGATAAATTAAAATGGTATTAGTTATAACATAGTGAAGTGCCTATTCAAACTTTAACGTCCTAGGGGCAGGAGAAGAAGAGTCTGTCTGTTTTTATGACCTCGGTATATAAAAGGACGTGGTCAGCACAATGACCAGCCGCCTCTATTTTCTCTAACGTGAGTCAGTTACCCATTTTAGTTGGGGGAGGGGGAAACTCAGGGACGTCCTACGGACTCGAACCCGGGATCCTAAATCGAGACTTTCGGAGTTGTAACATGACATAACCAAAACCTTTTCTAACAATTTTGTTGGATGTAAATATTGACTTGTAGTCGATCTGTTGTTACTTGTGTTGTGTTTGTTGTAGACTAGTGTTTTATGATGGTGAGCACAGACTCACGAACATCTAAAATATGTGTAGCCATTTTTATGAGCATGTACATAGTACTAAAGCGCTTTTCTTGTGTAGTTATTGTACTTTGTTTGACTATTCAATGTACTATGTTTTAGTAAAAACAAGATTGTGAGTGAATTATTATGAGTAATATGATTGAATATTTAAAGCACAATGTTGCACGGTACTGTACTGTTAATACCCAAAGATAGTACACTATATTTGGGAATTAACTGCACAATGTGTAAGTACTTATAGCACATGTGTGACTACTTACAGGACTATCGTTGAGTACTTACAGTACTATGTGTGAGTACTTACAGCACTATGTGTGAGTACTTACAGCACTATGCGTGAGTACTTACAGCACTATGTGTGATTACTTACAGCACTATCATTGAGTACATACAGTACTATCATTAAGTACTTACAGCACTATGTATGAGTACTTACAGTACTATGTGTGAGTACTTACAGTACTATGTGTGAGTACTTACAGCTCATCAGGACAGAAGAACGGAAAGTGCAGCCGTCTAGAGCGTAAAAAGTTGATGACGTCCCAGCCGTCAACACCGGGGTATGGAGTTACTCCCCTTGTCAGCATCTCCCACATGACCACACCTAGTGACCACTGAAATGGACAACCAACATGCTCTCTCGTGCCTAGTTCAATAGCTTCTATTTTTTATTCAATGAGTAGTTTGTAAATATTAAGTGCGAAGTAGGTGTGGGAATAAACTGTAAGCCCCCATACTTACGACATCTGACCTATTACTGTAAGCCCCATACTTACAACATCTGACTTGGTACTGTAAGCCTCATACTTACAACATCTGACTTAGTACTGTAAGCCCCATACTTACAACATCTGACCTGGTACTGTAAGCCCTCATACTTACAACATCTGGCTTGGTACTGTAAGCCCCATATACTTACAACATCTGACCTGGTACTGTAAGCCCCCATACTTACAACATCTGGCTTGGTACTGTAAGCCCCATACTTACAACATCTGGCTTGGTACTGTAAGCCCCATACTTACAACAGCTGACATTGTACTGTAAGCCTCATACTTACAACATCTGACTTGGTACTGTAAGCCCCATGTTCTATACTCTCTATAGCCATCCACCTAATGGGCAGTTTTTTCTTGTTGTCGCTGGTGTAGTAGCCCTTCTCATAGATGTCCCTACACAGACCAAAGTCGGCCACTTTAGCACGATGGACACTGTCCAGCCTAGAAAAAAAATTAATAAAAATTAAAACAAAAACGCTATCAAGAAAAACTGGCTAATTAGGTATGGAAGAGAAATTTATTACTAATACCATAATATGATAGGATAATAAATTATCTGTTGCCAACACCACCGTATGTGTTACCAAATGTATGCGCCTAGTATGATGTGGTCTACTCACATACAATTCCTTGCCGCCAGATCTCTGTGAACAAACTTTAAAGAACTCAGATACGCCATACCATCGGCGATATCAGCACTGAACTTGATCACATCGTGAAGTGTTAAACTCTAGCGAGAGAAACAAATGATGCCTTAAGCTCGATTGAAGAGTCAATATAAACAGCCTGTGCAATCTATTTCTGTTTAATAGTTTTAATATTGTATTTTAAAGAGAATTTTTTTTTTCGCGCTGTTTAATAAAAAAAATCATTCAAAACATCGGCTACTTCAAATATTGAATCGAAATGGTGCAAAGTTAAAAATCTAATCAAATATGCAACTCTAAAAAGTAAGCAAGCATAAACATATTTTGTTGAAAATAAATAAGTACGGTTCAAATTGTTTTAGTAACTTATCACCATAATTCAGAAAAAATATTTTAAGAAGATATTTCTAATTAATAAACAGGAACCTTTTTTTACAATAAAAATTAAACTAAATATATGAATACAAAACAAGCAAAATATTTTGGGATGGGGTAACTGTGAAAGTAGGGCCTGTAGCAAATTATGTTATTGTATATTATGTGTTTGATTCTGTGTTTGATTCCACACATGGATGTACACTCAATATTCGATTGTTTGTGATCCACGTTACTGTGACCTTACCTTATCGGGGTCACGGACATAGGTCAAGAGGTCACCGTTCTCCATAAAAGGCAGCACAACGTAGGGCACGCCCGGCTCTTTCTCTGACAAACCAACCAGCCCCAGGACGTTGGGGTGTTGGAACTCTCGCATCATCACGGCCTCTTGGACAAAGCCCTTCAGGTCGATGCTCTGGGACATCGAGTCTGGAAACATCAACTTTCAACGTTAGACCTCAGTTTGGATCTGTTTCAGATAAACCCTCCCAAAAAAAAGTTAACCCCCGCCACAAAAAAAGTTATAAAGAAGAGGATGTAAAACTTGTTTTTATTGAAGCAGGTGCCACAAAATGTCTGTATTTCGGTACCTGTAACTTAACCCTCAACGTTGCGTGTATTAAATTGGAGCTAGAAAAAAGTGGCGGGGCTTAAATGTTAGCATGAGCACTTTTTGCACTAGAGGCGGCGTTTATCTTGAAAAGACCCCCTTTTATTACTTGTGGGATTAGTTTATTGAGTTCAATTTGCCGTAATAACATACCAGCACTGAACTCCCTTAAATTCGTGTCAGTTATTTGCAAAAATATTATAAACTGCGCACTGTCGATACGGTAATTTGATGTCGATGGAGCATTTTCGACTAAATCGATGTGGATGTAGTTAATGAGACGCCAATCAACAAAGCTAAAGATATAGTGAATATGTAAATGCTTCATCGATTTCTAAATGTAACACAGTCTTGGAGTATAAAGGCCGCCTAAAACATGTTACGCCCAATCGGACAATGCGATGAGGCAATACATTGTCTCGGTAGAGGTTTTAATAAACATTTTTGAGAAAGACACCTAAATTGTTAGGTTGTTGTTTTTTTTTTCAATAATATAAACGAAAAATCAATATCCTAGCACTACGGCTGAAACACAACATGAATACCATCAGGGAATTTTTCCATCCATCCATCCATCCATCCTTACTGATGTTAAAACATCAGTTATATTTATTTTCACAATCCGAAGCTAGATAGAAGAAAAGCATCTTAAAATATTGTAGGTATAAAAACATTTTTAAGAAGCACTATAATAGTTAAACCATTTGACTGTTTTTATAGACCTAAGTCAAGGTGTAGTAAGATTTTTACCTTGCCTGTTTGTATAGACCTAAGTTAAGATGAGGTACGAATTTACCTTGCAAGGTTTTCACTGCAACTTTTACAGGTGGAGACTCCGGGTCAGTTACCAGAAGTCCTTCATACACGCATCCAAAGTTTCCTTAATGACAGAGAATTGTCATTCGTCAAATTAAAACAAAATATGTTATTCATAGAAATTGATTCAACAAAAGTATTTGAAACTAAAAGCTGGTCTAAACAAACACTAACCTTCCCCAAGCATCTTGCCCAGAGTGAGCTGGCTAAGTTTAATGATGAGTTTGTCTATGTCTGCTTTCTTGTCTTTGTCTATAACAGACTCCAGAATCTCGTTCAAAGTCTTTCTATCGCCTGGAAAATGGTAGTTTTTAATATACGAACCGCTCAAAAGTACAGCTGGAGTTCTCTGTATAGTTTTTCAAACATGATCTTTTATCATATGGATGAGGTAGTGTGGTATAAGTTTGAAATATTTTATCGCAACAAATCACCTGTGTTATGTGGAAGACACTTAATAAAATATTTTTATAACGTCGATTACAGATACTAATGTTTTTGATGAAATTGCGTATTTCTGTAATAGTGGGTTGTCCGGAAAAGGGACAACGTTGGTAAAACAAGTTAATAAAAAGTCTAGTGACAATTTAAGCGCAATTTCCTTATGTTATCCATAACAATTTTAAATCAAGATAACTCATATATTCAGCAAATTTTTTGTGACCGAACGAAAGAATATTTTTGAAAACTTTCTTCGGCAATATTGTTCTAAATTATGGCAGGAATCGATTGGTAAATGTTTCAAGTCGCTAAGTGGTCTGGTTGCCGAGATATGGGCCAAAAACTGCATTTTTTTCGAGGTTTTTTGGCTTTTCCGGGAAATCCAGGAAGGAATTCCGGGAATTTTTTTGGTTCACAATCATCCTCGGAACTTGCTTAACATATTTGCTTTGGAACTAGTCCTCGATATTGCTTCGTTGAGGAGGAGATACGACAGCTGCGGACACACATCCATCCATCCATCCATCCATCCATCCATCCATCCATCCATCCATCCATCCATCCATCCATCCATCCATCCATCCATCCATCCATCCATCCATCCATCCATCCATCCATCCATCCATCCATCCATCCATCCATCCATCCATCCATCCATCCATCCATCCATCCATCCATCCATCCATCCATCCATCCATCCATCCATCCATCCATCCATCCATCCATCCATCCATCCATCCATCCATCCATCCATCCATCCATCCATCCATCCATCCATCCATCCATCCATCCATCCATCCATCCATCCATCCATCCATCCATCCATCCATCCATCCATCCATCCATCCATCCATCCATCCATCCATCCATCCATCCATCCATCCATCCATCCATCCATCCATCCATCCATCCATCCATCCATCCATCCATCCATCCATCCATCCATCCATCCATCCATCCATCCATCCATCCATCCATCCATCCATCCATCCATCCATCCATCCATCCATCCATCCATCCATCCATCCATCCATCCATCCATCCATCCATCCATCCATCCATCCATCCATCCATCCATCCATCCATCCATCCATCCATCCATCCATCCATCCATCCATCCATCCATCCATCCATCCATCCATCCATCCATCCATCCATCCATCCATCCATCCATCCATCCATCCATCCATCCATCCATCCATCCATCCATCCATCCATCCATCCATCCATCCATCCATCCATCCATCCATCCATCCATCCATCCATCCATCCATCCATCCATCCATCCATCCATCCATCCATCCATCCATCCATCCATCCATCCATCCATCCATCCATCCATCCATCCATCCATCCATCCATCCATCCATCCATCCATCCATCCATCCATCCATCCATCCATCCATCCATCCATCCATCCATCCATCCATCCATCCATCCATCCATCCATCCATCCATCCATCCATCCATCCATCCATCCATCCATCCATCCATCCATCCATCCATCCATCCATCCATCCATCCATCCATCCATCCAGAAATAACGAATTAATAATCGCAATTGTCAGTATGGAAATTGCGCTTAAAAAACAGAGAAGCGATGTTAACTAAAACACATTGTTTAACTGACTTCTTAGAGTTGCTTAAATTAATTTAAAACATTTTTGAAAAAAACTACGGCTAGAGAATTTAAAATTCGAGTTTAGTAGAAATATTATTAAATCATATTTTGATATGCTTGTTCTCTGTGTGTTTGAAATAAAATGTAATAAAATTATTTTAACATACATTAAAAAAATAGTTATGCTTATCCCTTTAGAGGCCAGAGTAACTAATAATAATATGTTTAAACTACTGATTCACGCGAAATGTTCAACCTTAAAGATTTTAGACAAGACATGAGCAGTTTACTTCCAAGTTTATATATTTCGTAGTTTCACACCGATTCTATATCAAAGTTTATTAAGAGTATATATCCTTGACATACTCTGTCACGTTGATTCTATAATTACAACGAGCCGACCCGCGGCATAACATACGCCGCTATTTAGCTGTTTTATTTTCTACTTTTCAGTAATGCATAATTTGAAAATTCGACAGTACAAATGCTGCCACTGAAAATATTTGCTTTAAAACACTATCAGTAGGTCGTTAAGGACGATACTACCCCCACCCTCCTTTACCCAAACACCTACCCTACACCCCCCCCCCCCCCCCGTGATAGCAGCCTCCTCTTAGTTACCTCCCCTAAGTTTAAAATCGTTTCAAACTAAATTATCTGCCCCTAATAGCCGTCACTAAACCCGGCTCTACGATTAATGTAAACATTTAGCATGAACCACAGCTCACCAGACCATGTAGGGATGGGGGGGGGGGATAGGGAGCGCGCTTACAGCTTGTTTTATAGTGTCTCCCAGAAGAGAATTATATATATAGAAGATAGTGACGATGTAATTTGTAGAAGCTGCAATTTTATAATTCCAGCACCAATGGTATACAGAAACATGGGCAATGAAAGTTAACATAATTGTAAGTTGCTTAAAATACATCAGCTGGTATTGTTAGGTTACTTGATTTAAGCAGGCTAATTAAAACAGGAAATGTCTTTGTAGGTACCTGAGAATAGTCTCCCTAGAGCAAATGTTTGTGTAGGTACCTGAGAATAGTCCCCCTAGAGAAAATGTTTGTGAAGGTACCTGAGAATAGTCCCCCCTTAGCAAATGTTTGTGTAGGTACCTGAGAATAGTCCCCCTAGAGCAAATGTTTATGTACCTGAGAATAGTCCCCCTAGAGAAAATGTTTGTGTAGGTACCTGAGAATAGTCCCCCTAGAGCAAATGTTTGTGTAGGTACCTGAGAATAGTCCCCCTAGAGCAAATGTTTAGGTACCTGAGAATAGTCCCCCTAGAGAAAATGTTTGTGTACCTGAGAATAGTCCCCCTAGAGAAAATGTTTGTGTAGGTACCTGAGAATAGTCCCCCTAGAGAAAATGTTTATGTAGGTATCTAAGAATAGTCCCCCCAGAGCAAATGTTTAGGTACCTGAGAATAGTCGACCTAGAGCAAATGTTTGTGTAGGTACCTGAGAATAGTCCCCCTAGAGCAAATGTTTGTGTAGGTACCTGAGAATAGTCGACCTAGAGCAAATGTTTGTGAAGGTACCTGAGAATAGTCCCCCTAGAGAAAATGTTTATGTACCTGAGAATAGTCCCCCTAGAGAAAATGTTTGTGTAGGTACCTGAGAATAGTCCCCCTAGAGAAAATGTTTATGTAGGTATCTAAGAATAGTCCCCCCAGAGCAAATGTTTAGGTACCTGAGAATAGTCGACCTAGAGCAAATGTTTGTGTAGGTACCTGAGAATAGTCCCCCAGAGCAAATGTTTAGGTACCTGAGAATAGTCCCCCTAGATCAAATGTTTAGGTACCTGAGAATAGTCGACCTAGAGTAAATGTTTATGTAGGTACCTGAGAATAGTCCCCCTAGAGCAAATGTTTGTGTAGGTACCTGAGAATAGTCCCATTTGAGCAAATGTTTATGTAGGTACCTGAGAATAGTCCCCCAAGAGCAAATGTTTATGTAGGTACCTGAGAATAGTCCCATTTGAGCAAATGTTTATGTAGGTACCTGAGAATAGTCCCCCAAGAGCAAATGTTTATGTAGGTACCTGAGAATAGTCCCCCTAGAGCAAATGTTTGTGTAGGTACCTGAGAATAGTCCCATTTGAGCAAATGTTTATGTAGGTACCTGAGAATAGTCCCCCTAGGGCAAATGTTTATGTAGGTACCTGAGAATAGTCCCATTTGAGCAAATGTTTATGTAGGTACCTGAGAATAGTCCCCCAAGAGCAAATGTTTGTGTAGGTACCTGAGAATAGTCCCACTTGAGCAAATGTTTGTGTAGGTACCTGAGAATAGTCCACCTAGAGCAAATGTTTGTGTAGGTACCTGAGAATAGTCCCCCTAGAGCAAATGTTTAGGTACCTGAGAATAGTCCCCCTAGAGCAAATGTTTGTGTAGGTACCTGAGAATAGTCCCCCCCCCCCCCAGAGCAAATGTTTGTGTAGGTACCTGAGAATAGTCCCCTAGAGCAAATGTTTGTGTAGGTACCTGAGAATAGTCCCCCTAGAGCAAATGTTTGTGTAGGTACCTGAGAATAGTCCCCCTAAAGAAAATGTTTGTGTAGGTACCTGAGAATAGTCCCCCCCCCAGAGCAAATGTTTGTGTAGGTACCTGAGAATAGTCCCCCTAGGGCAAATGTTTGTGTAGGTACCTGAGAATAGTCCCCCTAGAGAAAATGTTTGTGTAGGTACCTGAGAATAGTCCCCCTAGAGCAAATGTTTGTGTAGGTACCTGAGAATAGTCCCCCCCCCCCCAGAGCAAATGTTTGTGTAGGTACCTGAGAATAGTCCCCCTAGGGCAAATGTTTGTGTAGGTACCTGAGAATAGTCCCCTAGATCAAATGTTTGTGTAGGTACCTGAGAATAGTCCCCTAGATCAAATGTTTGTGTAGGTACCTGAGAATAGTCCCCCAGAGCAAATGTTTAGGTACCTGAGAATAGTCCCCCTAGATCAAATGTTTAGGTACCTGAGAATAGTCGACCTAGAGCAAATGTTTATGTAGGTACCTGAGAATAGTCCCCCATTGTTCCTCGCCTTTCGCCTGGACCGTCTGACCCTCAGGTAGATGACGATGCCCAGCACGACGACGACGATGGAGCTTATGGTCCCGCTAACGGCCGCCACGATAACCATGGAGGGACTGTGGATGATCTTCACAGGATGGAGATTAAACTTGATTTTTCCGACAGGTTGACGGAAATTACCGATTTCTACCGACACAGAATATGTGACGATGCTGGTTGTGTTGGATATGTTGTTGTACAAGTCCTGACAAATTTTGTACGAGAATTCCAGACTTCGTTTACGTCGTCCAGCATTTGGGGAAATGATAGAATCTCCTATTGGTACTGGAATATGTGATGTTGTACCGCTTGATGTTGTTGATGATGATGTTGTATTAAAAGTTGTTGATGATGCTGATAATAATGTTGTATTAAAAGTTGTTGATGCTGCTGATAATAATGTTGTATTTAAAGTTGTTGATGATGCTGATAATGATGTTGTATTAAAAGTCGTTGATGATGTCGATAATGATGTTGTATTAAAAGTCGTTGATGCTGCTGATAATGGTGTTGTATTAAAAGTTGTTGATGTTGAGACCACAGAAAATACTTCTGCAGTAACAGATCCAGTTTTAATGATCTCATTTTGCCTCACAATGCCATTTCCAATGGTACTACTGCAATTGTTAAATTTTTCCAAGAACTCCGTGACGTTACACTTAATGTAAGCGGCAGTGACGACTGTGACGTTACATCTTGCCCCGTCTATATAAACTTTAATTTCTTCAACATGCAGCCACGTTGGGATGTTTTCACCCTGGAGTTAGAGAACTTAATATTTGAGCCTAATCTGTACGTTAATTATTGAAAAATAAATTAATAACTATGCAACTGTATTTCATAAAGTTATAGAACATTACCAACTACAGATAACTGTATTTTTATTTGGGTTGTTAAGTAACTGTATAGAAAAAATAATTTGGAACATTAATTACATTTTCAAAAGTATAAAAAAAAATCCTAAACTAAAAGAAAAGAATAAATATAAACGAACCCTTATGGTAATATCCCCAGTGTCTGTGATGACCTCATCAACACCAAAGACCTCAAACTTTGGATCTCTGTGGATCTCAAACGGTGTAACGTTGTACTGCACACCATCCATCTTGACGTTGATCTGGGCTTCAAGGATTTCTTTCTCTGTGATGTTCTTCATGTCTGGTGTCTTACACACGATGTGCGAGTCTGTGAAGACTTCATGCTTATTTCTACTGCAGAACTCGACCTCCTGGGGTATTTGTTTCATATAGCATGAGTTACTTGAATGTCTGATTTTACTTTTGCTTTGAGCTACAAGTTTTGTACCTACAACTGCTGTTATTTATCACCAGAGCTATTTTTGTATATATCCTTGTCAAAATATCGATTGAAGATCACACAGGATAAACAACAGATGTTTTTTAATTTTTTTTTGTGCTAGTGCAATTTTTATGTAACACTAGTGTATATCTATCACATGTGAATGCGTAGAACCACATCAATCCCCTAAATATTTAGGAAGGATTTTAAAATCATGCCAAAGGATATCAAACACAAAATCTAATTTTTCCTCAAAAATTGAAAACTGTACAACTGTGGTTTATCCCTTGTGGTCTTCCCCTGTGTACATTTTCTACTATGGTTTTCGTAAACTAAATAAAATATCCCATAAAGTTATTATTATTTAACTAAGTATCACAAATGCACACAGAGAATAGACGTACACAAATATACAAAGAGAATACACGTACACAAATATACAAAAAAAAATACAAGTATACAAATATATAAAGAGAATACACGTACAAAAATAAACAAAGAGAATAGACGTACACAAATAAACAAAGAGAATAGACGTATAGAAATAAACAAAGAGCATAGACGTACACAAACATACAAATAAAATAAACGTACATATATTTGGCTTAAGTTTACAGCTACTGAGATCCTGGGATTGTACACACTGTCAAAATTTCGCCCAGAAATGTTCACTTTAATGCCACCACTGTAATTAATAGAAGAAATTAAATACACAAAAAAATTAGAAAAGAAATTAAAAGACTGGTTAACTTCTCGAAATCATTGTGTCAGAATCTCAGATGTGGTGTTCAAATTCTAAGAAATTTAGTAATTTTCGTTTCTGCATGTACACGTTTTATAATTGGACATGTATCCACTGCTTGAAGATTTGTTTTAAAACTCGTTTGTGTTTGCAAGTTATTTAATGTACGATAAACTACAAAAACTTGCAAAACGTTCACGGAAAATATTTCCTAATACAACAGTTTGAGAATACCTGAGAATTGTTTTAGTTGGGGTCACGTGATAGATTTGTGGATCTGGCCGGAAGTTGAACGTCTGCTTCAAGGTCTGGGTAAAGTTGTCAATTGTTAGGGTCACCATGACATTGTTGTCGTTGGATGAGCTGTTAGCTATCCGGCACTGAAGGTTTATGCTGGACAAAGATATTATGGGCAGGCTAGATTACCACACAGATATTTTCGTACATAGGCAAGCGCGACATTCTAGTAAAATAGTTAAATAACATTCATAAGGCTGACTGCTTTAAGTTGTTGTTTTTTATTGGGAGCCGGACGTTTTTCCGAAAGACACTAACCCGAATGCCGTTTGCCCGAAGTCCGATTTTCCGAATGGACACTTGCCCGAATGAACACTTGCCCAAATGCGACAAATGCCCGAATGGACACTTGCCCGAATGCGACAAATGCCCGAAAACCACTCGCACAAAGGCCGTTTGCCCGAAAAATGTTAGTATTAGATTATAAATTATATTACCAAATAGACATTCTTAATTAATTCAAGTTTGCAATTTTTAGCACACAAAAAAACAAATTTGTTTATATTTTTTTTTAAATTTAGCTATTATTTTATTCCTTTACTTCTTCATCTTCCTCGTTCTTAATAATTTTTTTTAGTGTTGGAAGGCATTCCCTCCAACACAATTAAGTATACGTGTCAACTGGTTATACGCCATTTAGGGCGTGGACTCCGATTTCAGCCTACTTTACATTTTGGATTTGCTTCAATAGCCTTTGTCCAACCAAGAACTATCTACAAGGCAGCAGTTGTTTTATTTCGGAGTTTTCTCTCCTAGAAGAGTCGCAGTCCCCAGTTAACGAGCCTTATCTACCAGAGGGTTTGAACTCGAGACCTTTCGGTTTAGCAATTTTATTTTTTGAAAACTGAGAAATTGCTGTAAAAAAAGGTGATGTTCGCGGCGGTGTCTTTATATTCTCTTAATGATTTGAACACCTTGTTGAGCCAACGTGTTGCGGTATTTATATAGCGTTTATGACAGGGTGTAGGCGGCGCGGCGTCTCGTACATTGAACAAAGGCACATTTGTTTGATGTATCTTGTTATGCTGAACTTGTGTGGTGACTAACGAGGCGCGTTTCAGGCGGCGAATTTAAAAACTAAAGGTAGTCAATTACGTTTTATATCCATTTTATGCATATATAGCAAATATAAATTAATTTAAAATGTCTGCAAGGTAATATATAATATATAATATTAATTTTTTCTCCTTTTATTTTGCTTTGATATGAATTGATTATCGAAATTTCAAATTTAAATTGATGACGAATGATTATTTGGTAATATATAATGTTAACATTCTTCGGACAAATGACCTTCGGGCAAGTGGCTTTCGGGCATTAGTAGCATTGGGGCAAGTGTCCATTCGGGCATTTGTTGCATTCGGGCATAAGTCCATTCTGGAAATCGGCCTTCGGGCAAACGGCAATCGGGCAAGTGTCTTTCGGGAATTTGTCGTAGACTCGTTTTTTTATGTTTTGATAAAGTATGCAAAACGTCATTATAACATAATATAGTTTTTAAAAGATCATTCATTTTGCTGCTTGTTTAGTGAAGTTTTAGAAAAATATTTTCTTTATTTAATTTATATTATAACACTCGTTTATTTTTACTTAGTAGCCTGAAAGAAACAAATACCTATGCGTGATGACGTCACAACTCCTGTTGCCGACCAGAACGCTTCTATGGCTGCCAGAGAGAAGATGATCTCCTTCAATGGTCAACACGGTACCACCTGACCTGGCACCATAGTTTGGTATTATGGATGAAGCACTTGGTTTCTGCAGATAGAGAAATTGCGTAATACTGACCACATTATTCCCCCTGTATGTCGAGGTTGCTGAAACAGATGAACTCTACTTCATCTTCCCACTAACGGAAAAGGTAAGATAAATAAATTAACATTGTTTTAATGGGTACACATACATATACAAACCATCGAGACAAATAGGTTAGATATTTGGAATTGTTTATCTTAAATAGCTTTGCTATATATATTTTGTGTTTCCTTCTGCAGAATGCGAGTTTTAGATGTAGAAACCTTCTTCCATACCCTCCCAAATCGTGGATCGTAGTTGAATAAGACAGCACTACTAGTGGATATTTTATACAATAGTAAAAACAAGAGTAGCTCAATGGAGAATAGTATGGAGGATCCTTTTATCGAATACAAATAAAATTTAAGCAATTTTGTTTTGAAATATTTCGCATTGGCTGGACAAACCCTACTACAAATGAAGAACTACGACATTGTAGAACCCACAACCTGATGAAAATTAAATCTTCTAAAGAAAATGGCGATGGATCGCCAAAATACTCTGAAAGGTGAAAAGGAGGAGACCAAGATAAGACCCTCGCTTGGTATCCTCGGAACAAAAGATGAAGTGACTGTGAAACTAGGCTGTATGACACAAGAAAGGCTTGGCTACCACCGTGTACAGTTGGTAAGACTCGCTCATGACTGAGTTGATTGGATGGTTCATGTGGATGTTCTATGTCTTAGTGTGGTAGGGCGAGCTGACTAGTTCAAACTAACATGCGAGTTGGCTGTATAAAATAATTAAATGTTTGCACTGACCACAAACTGCACGTATCCATTGTCTTTTATCTCAGCTGATGAGGTCAGGCCGTGACTGTGTTTTAATAGCACGGTCTCTACAGTGATGTTACACAGTGTGGGACCAGACTGGGGTCGTGTTCTGCATGTCAACACCCTGAAAATACATTCGAATTGCCAGTTAAAATATATATGAGGTCATACACAACGTACGCTTTTTAAAACTGCATCGTTTTAATATGTACAATATATTTTCTAAGCTGCTGACTATTACCATTCTAGAAAATATTAGATTTTAAAGGTATAATGCTAAATTCCAGGTCACTTAGTGTAACTACATTAAAATTTCAAATAATACGATTTACTTAATGAAATTATTTTTAATATATATATCAACAAAACTCCATCAACCAACTTACCTGTCGCTGACTATGGTAGTGTTGTCACAAGGTTGACCACAGACCGTAACATTACCAGCAGTGTTGAGATCCTGGTCACCCAGCAACTCGCCGTACAAGGTCAGAACTGTGCCGCCATTGGTGGGGGCCGTGGTGGGGGTAAACTAAGGACACGTGACCAGAAATCAGATCACACCCAGGTAATGACAGCATGTTTAAATGAAGCAAATCTCAATCCGTAAGATTAATGTCTTATCTTAACCATATATATATATATATATATATATATATATATATATATATATATATATATATATATATGTAACTAGGGTAGTTACCATACTATGGTTAACAACGTATTACAGTCTGATGCAATAGTGCAGATGTTGGGCTGATAACGATCACAAAGCCGCTGCGCAGTTCACAGGCTGACGTAACAGTGCAGATGGTTTATTAATCGGATTGTAGGACAGAAGCTGCGCAATTAATATTCTGATGCAACGATTAGAATACGAGTACGAATACGAGTATGAATATGAGTACGAATACGATTACGAATACGAAGGGATATATAGGAAGGCGACAGCTGAGAACGAGGAGTAGAAGTGTGGCAGTATCAAGTTGGTTATTGAACGGTGTAGACGTCTTGTGTTAATAGGGACGATAGACATGTGCATTCGGTTATGTGAAGACTAGTGAGGACGGTTGGGGGTCAGTTGATTCATTATATTATTGTGAAGCATTTCTTTTGATTCATGTAATAAAAGGATCAATGGTAAACCTGCATCTTCGAGTATCTATATTGTGGTCGATGTTGTGTAGAATGAGTGAATACACTCGTTAACATTTGGCACTACAAGCAAATAGGCTGGTTACATTTGGCGTTGTCGAGCAGAAGATGCAACTAGACTCGGTTACATATATATATATATATATATATATATATATATATATATATATATATATATATATATATATATATATATATATATATATATATATATATATATATATATATATATATATATTCTCTTCATCGGCAAGACGATTATCTAACCCTCCTCCCGCCCCTCTCGCGCATGCGCAACAGACCATTCGTTACCACCCCCACCAACATGGTCAATTAAATTTAAACTTAGTATATGAAGGTCGAGTAGAGCATTCTTGGCTCAAAGTGTGGTCTCGTGAATAGCTGGGATAATTTGCTGGTGGGCGCATGGGCTCATGGTTTGGAGGGCTCATGGTTTGGTGGGCTCATGGTTTGGAGGGCTCATGGTTTGGTGGGCTCATGGTTTGGAGGGCTCATGGTTTGGTGGGCTCATGGTTTGGAGGGCTCATGGTTTGGTGGGCTCATGGTTTGGTGGGCTCATGGTTTGGTGGGCTCATGGTTTGGTGGGCTCATGGTTTGGTGGGCTCATGGTTTGGTGGGCTCATGGTTTGGTGGGCTCATGGTTTGGTGGGCTCATGGTTTGGAGGGCTCATGGTTTGGTGGGCTCATGGTTTGGTGGGCTCATGGTTTGGTGGGCTCATGGTTTGGTGGGCTCATGGTTTGGTGGGCTCATGGTTTGGTGGGCTCATGGTTTGGAGGGCTCATGGTTTGGTGGGCTCATGGTTTGGAGGGCTCATGGTTTGGTGGGCTCATGGTTTGGAGGGCTCATGGTTTGGTGGGCTCACGGTTTGGTGGGCTCATGGTTTGGTGGGCTCATGGTTTGGTGGGCTCATGGTTTGGTGGGCTCATGGTTTGGTGGGCTCATGGTTTGGTGGGCTCATGGTTTGGTGGGCTCATCGTTTGGTGGGCTCATGGTTTGGTGGGCTCATGGTTTGGTGGGCTCATGGTTTGGTGGGCTCATGGTTTGGTGGGCTCATGGTTTGGTGGGCTCATGGTTTGGTGGGCTCATGGTTTGGTGGGCTCATGGTTTGGTGGGCTCATGGTTTGGTGGGCTCATGGTTTGGTGGGCTCATGGTTTGGTGGGCTCATGGTTTGGTGGGCTCATGGTTTGGTGGGCTCATGGTTTGGTGGGCTCATGGTTTGGTGGGCTCATGGTTTGGTGGGCTCATGGTTTGGTGGGCTTATGGTTTGGTGGGCTCATGGTTTGGTGGGCTCATGGTTTGGTGGGCTCATGGTTTGGTGGGCTCATGGTTTGGTGGACTCATGGTTTCGTAGGTTCGTTTGGTCATGTGCTTTTGGGCTCATAGGTGATGTCCTAATCTGTCGTGTCCATATCGCACTTTGTTTCGATTGAACACTCTGACCATTTCTTACGTCTACGGCCACACTGACCATTTCTTACGCCTACAGCCACCCCGCCTACTATTTACCTTTTTTAATAGGATAGCCCCATACGATCAACTACATGAGCATGGCCTTGTTTTACGTTATATATAACAGGTGTAGCTGCATACACTTTTGTCATTTACGTTATATATGACCGGTATAGTTGTATACAAACTTTATCACGTTATATATGATCGGTATAGTTGTATACAAACTTTATCACGTTATATATGACCGGTATAGTTGTATACAAACTTTATCACGTTATATATGACCGGTATAGTTGTATACAAACTTTATCACGTTATATATGATCGGTATAGTTGTATACAAACTTTATCACGTTATATATGACCGGTATAGTTGTATACAAACTTTATCACGTTATATATGATCGGTATAGTTGTATACAAACTTTATCACGTTATATATGATCGGTATAGTTGTATACAAACTTTATCACGTTATATATGATCGGTATAGTTGTATACAAACGTTATCACGTTATATATGACTGGTGTAGTTGTATACACCATTTTTACGTTATATTGGACAGGTGTAATCCCTTAGCACCACTTACCTTCAACAACTTTGGTGGACATGTCCGTCGTTCCTGATCAGACCCACACTTGCTATTGTCTGTGACTTTGACTTTACATTTATTTAGTTTAGGGCACCATCGGCAGTTATGGGTTTGTCGCTGACAAACTGAACAGTTGGAAAATATGCTGCAGTTGTCGATATCTACGTGGTAAATCTAAGGCAGAATAGAGGACCTCATTCAAACAATGCAAAATACGCAAACTTTTGTTTCCCGATTATGTGTAATAATAACTTTAGCTAACGTTTTGTGTGTATTTCTTAGATCAGTATTGAGGGTCAAATAAAATCGATGTGAGATAGAAGTTTCTTTAATTGTTATATAATGGCATTAATTACTATGTATTAAACTTTTATATTTTCAAAGTGATCAGAATCAAGATAAATTGTATAATATTTTCAATATGTTTTAAACACATGTATTTTATTATTTTTAAATCTCGGGTGACGAAAATCTGGCTAAAAATTTAAAGAAAATAATGTGATGAAACACAACCTGTTTGCCACTAACTAAAAATATTTCAGCATTTGTCTCATCAAGAACGCCAATATTTCTGCCTCGTATGTCAGGTAAAGCTAATGACTTCATGTTCGTTTTGTTTGTACGGTTCTTTATCAGATGTAACTTAATCTAAAACAAAATTGAAAAGTGCATATTATATTTTTTTAAAAATAGCACAATTTAATGATGATGGTGATGGCGATGATGATGTTGATGATGCACGAATATCAATTTTTACACTAGCAATCATCAATACAATGATATAGTGAAATAAGAGATACAAAGATTTTTTTTTAATTTCTTACATTTGATAACGACGAAGAATTTGTATCCAGAAAAATGTCCATTTGTTCAGACACCGATGGGATCGTGTATGCATAGATTTGTTGTATTGGCTGGGAAGAGTTCTCAATAGAATCTTGTCTTAAGATATCTGAGTTCTTGACGTACAGATTTTTCTTGTTTTGCTGTAAATAAAGGAAAATATTAATATCACTCTATTTTAAAATAGGTAATAAATACGTAATAATAAAAAGTATATATATATATGATGTATTCTAGGTAGATGGGCCATTTATTTACGACTTAATTTCAATGACGTATTTTTCTGGAACAATGCATTGAAAGAAAAAATGTGATGCAATCTATAACAAAAACGTATTACAAGCAACTTACCTCACATTTACCAATACTTCCATTAACCCAAGTCACGGGACTGGCCATTGTATCCGTCCCTTTATCACACTCAGTTTGACTAAATTCCGACGTTGTGTTTATGTCCTGCAACATGTACACACACATCCCTGCACCAGAACGTGTAGACACAGCGACCAACAAAACTGGTTCGACTAGTGTTGTACTTCCTTTATCGATGAAAAATTTTCCCACTGTAAATGATGTTACACTGGCATTCTGGGATGAAAATAAAAGTTATTATTACAAGCTTTTAAATCTTACTAGTTACTTTGTAAAACTACATTCTGCTTAGATGTATCGGTGTGTGTAAATGTGTAAATAAATTGGTGATTTATTATTTTAATATTTTTATTTCAGTATTTTGGTTTTTTTTATGTTTTTATTAAATACATAAAAACGATAGCTGAAATGTTGAGAGCAGAAAGGTATTTGTTTTGTTTTTTTTTAAATTACACACAGTTGGGGCTGTTGGTGGTGTATGCTGATTTGAGCATTTGACATGGCTGGAAGTTTTTGTTCCTAAACTACTGTTAACGATTCTAACTTAGGGTCTAGGTGCCTTGTCTACAGGTGCTTTGAACATAAGGGCTTCGACCATAGGTTGTTTGACCATAGGTGTTTGACCATATGGGCTTTGACCATATGGGCTTTGACCATAGGGGCTTTGACCATATGGGCTTTTACCATATGGGCTTTGACCATAGGGGTTTGACCATTCAAGCTTTGATAATAGGGGCTTTGACCATACGGGCTTTGATAATAGGGGCTTTGACCATACGGGCTTTGATAAAAGGGGCTTTGATCTGAGATGGTTTTAACATAGGTGTTTGACCATAGATAATTTGACCATATGTAGTTTGACCATAGATAGTTTGACCACAGCGGGGCTTTAACCATAGACAGTTTGAGCGAGGTTGAGAGTTGAATTTGTATTTATCAAGCTCAAGTTTTGGTGTGTAGCGAGAAGGTTGGTAGGTCAGCCGTATCCTATGTGGCAGAGTTTCAATACGTGCTATCTGAAAATAAACATGTTGGGTTCAAACCCTGGTCAAACATGATTTCGGCGTGAGAACATCAGACTGTTCTGAGTAATGGATGTTAATATGCAAGTGTGAAGAACGAGATTGTTTTCGTCAGACTTACCATCGTATTCGCACCCACAGTAATTAATAAACAAACATCATGGCTACTTCTAACATTAGAAAACGAATTCATTTCTACAACTAGAAAAGCAGCGTGTTAATAGTTTAATTATTCTTTATCTCTTTTTTTCCAATTAAATATTTTTAAAAATAAATCTTAAAATCAAAATATAAAAACTCACATTCTCCCCACAGACCAACTCAGTTTCAACAAACGAGAAAACATTGGTGTTGTGGTCAACTCGAGTCACCACTGTCCTGCTTGTACCGCTGTAGTTTTGTGTGGACAGCAGGTAAGAAAAACCTTGCCAGTAGAAAGACAGCTTGAAGTCTGTGAAGAACCGGTCCCTCTCCCCGGGCTTGATGCTGACCCCCCGGGGTTTACTATCCCCATCCAGAACGTAGCTGATGATGAATTTGTCGTCGATGTAATTTATTTGTCGTAACGACATCAGCATTGGCTCGGAATCTAAAGAGTTTCTGTAAACATATCCTGCTATCATGATAGTTGATTGTTGAGGTCGGTAGCTAGACTGATGTGTTGATGTGTTGGCAAATTCTGATGACCGACAAGGTGGATAAGATTTATTGTTGTGGTTTCCAGTTGCGAAATGTCCGGAAGTATTATTTATAAAATGGAGTACAGTTGTCTGAGTTACTCCCCCTGCTAAAATGTCTGCCCCATTGTCTCCATACAGACACCGCCAGTCTGTAATGTCAGACAGACTGTGCAGTGTACACGTCCCTCTGTAGGCTGTACCACAGACAACCAGCCTGTCCAGGTTGGCGTCTATCTCCATCACCATCACCTGGTTGTCACACGGTCCGGTTTGTGGCCGGCAATCTTCGTCTTTTAAAACCGGTCCAATGGTCAGATTAAATAGAACCACATCCAACGATTTGGTCAGCTGGGCTACAAAGTTCACTCCCCCTACGTAGACGTACTTATCACTCACGGCTAGTTTTGTTATGGTGGCACCCAGATTTAAGGAATGGTTATTTAGAACGTGTTCACCTGAGTTATCTACCCCTACAGTCACTAACACTAATAAGGGAAATAATTTGTAAACACTCCAGTTATCCATTGTTATAAAACTGTATGATCTAACTTGCGGTAAGAAAACTAATTAAATTTCCTTTTTAATATTCAATTCAATAGATGTATTAAGACCACTACAAATACTGTAACAGTCAAATTACATCTTACATGGTTAATAAAATAATGCAATTTTAAAAATAATTTTCGATCACAATCGAACTTGTTAGAATAATATCCATGTTAACTATCATATGCCACGATTTAAAAACAGCTTGAAAACTGAATCACCCAAGGTTATCAATGGTTTGAGAAGTATAACATTTGCTTAATACAATGAGTCCGATGTAAGATGTAATTATGTCCTTGTTGTAAGTAGCATAAAATATAATCCACTATTGAATGAATAATCCTGTGGTAGCGAGTATTTTCACATCCTTGTATGGACTGTCAATAAAATATAATGAACACTTAATTAAATTAATCATGACGAGCCTGGCACGGTGAAGTCGCAGTTTGAACATCCTTACTTTCTCAACCACCGAACCACGTCATAGCTCAACAAGCACCTTTTGTCTTGTTCATTAATCACTTCTGATCCACTAAATTCTATGGTGTTTATTTTTAGATAAAAGATGGCTTCCTTTGCAAGAAGTAAACATGTCTGATTTATTCTGAAATAAAAATTTTAAAACAACATTTTAAAAAAAAAGATTAATTTTTAAATTAAATTGTATGTAAAAATTGCAACATTGTCAATCATTTTGTGCAGCTAACTCAAAGAATAAAAAATTTTAAAAATCCGTGACGCGTGCGGGTTGTGATGATCTGACCTCCACAAAAATGGCGGCCATTCATGACCACGTTACACTGCAAAAGACGCGCGTCTACACACGTCATCAACTTAACACGTCTGTTTCTGAGTGTGTTCACCTCGTTTCGGAAAACAACTTCAGTTGTTTTTAAAATCAAAGATTTCTATCGTCGTCATTGTGTAGCGACACCGACACAAAAAAATTAACTTTATGGAATACGATGTACACATTCATACAAAATTGTGTTGTTGTTTTTTTGTTAGTGTTTTGTTCCTATGTATGTTTATTTCGGTCACTTAACATAAAAACGCTTTAAGCGACAATTTATTTACACCATTACATCCGTTCTCCGTTATCCAATGAAAATAATGCAAACGGACACTTCAAAAAACTAGAGCAGCTATCCAAACGAGAATGGTACACTATACCACACAAAAACCACCTTAATACGAATGAAACAAACATCTACTACTATATCCGGGTTGTCGCGTTGTTTGTACAGGTTCCCTACATGTGATTTCTTATGTGGTCATTGCTCACGCTAATCTCTAAATTAATTACTTGTTTTTAATCATGTCGAGGTCTGTAGAATTAAAAGGCAAAGAAAACGATAAAAATTCGACAAACTGGAATTTCTAAGTTGCGTACAATATAGGTTAATATAAACTATCTGCATGGTGACTGCCTGACCATTGTGGATTTAGATTAACATTTTTTGTATTCAAATTAACGCTATTAAATTAAAAATACATTGTAAACAGAGCATGCTAATGCGGACTCACAAATACACAGATACCTCTATTACCTGCATATATGAATAATTAGAAAATTAAAATCACAAAATCGTCCCCTTCCCCCCCCCCCCCCCCCCCACATACTTTAGCTTTAGCGTGAGGTGTAATAGATAATGACGTGATCGCGGATTACTTTAAATCTAAAGAATTGAACTCGGCATTAGTAGTGAAATTGACAAGTTGCGATAAAGCAATTTTGTTTGGAACTTCCAGTGCAAAAAGGGAGAGTTGAAATGTATGAGTGGGGTGGAGGGTGTATTTTGGGACTGTTTAACAAGGACCTACATTAGGGTAAACAAATCATATAACTAAACAACTGGCTAGAATTTTCATTTGCTTTGTTTTTATAAAAAAAAAATATTATTTTAACATTATTAACATCTGCTATCATGGAGCTTTTATAACTTTGCAATAAGTAAAATAAATTTGCATACCTAAAAAGTACCAACGAGCACAGTTCACGATTTATCTATAGATGGCTAATCTTCAACTGGTTTTGAAGACTCCATTACCTCAACTAAACCCACCACAACTGTATGATACACACAACACAAGTGACTTCACCAAGAGGACAGATCTAAAAGTGGCGCCAAACTTAACAACACATGTTTGACATGTTTCAAAATATAAAACCGCTTTGTCTTTTGTTTTGCTATTTTAAGACAGACGACGATGGGGTGGGGGCTAATTTTTTTGTTCGGGTTTTCAACAATAACAAGTTAAGTTACACTTTTCTTGCTATAGCCTAGATTAACCGAATCTGTTTTTTTTTCGCACGCTTCTCAAACAAGGGACGGCGTGGTTAAGGGGTAGATTGTTAAATCAAAAGTCTTAAGATGCCCCGGGGGTCAACCCAGCTCTCATGTTACCTGTCGCAAGTTGGGATACCTTAGTGAGTTGGCTTAGAATTGGTTACTTGTTCCTTATTTTTGCCCAAGTCACAGAAACAGTCGCACTCTACTTCAACTTGCCCGAAGCTATAACGTAGCATGATACATTTTTAAATGCAAATCTAAACACATCGACATACTGGTTCTTATACACATAACACATACGAACACACGCTCGCACATAAACACATACACACAAACTCATATTATATATATATATAAATAATATATATATATATATATATATATATATATATATATATATATATATATATATATATATATATATATATATATAGGCATATATATATATATATATATATATATATATATATATATATATATATAGATATAGATATAGATATGTATATATATATAGGCCTATATATATATATATATATATATATATATATATATATATATATATATATATATATATATATATATATATATATATATATATATATATATATATATCATTCATTCATTCATTCATTCATTCATTCATTCATTCATTCATTCATTCATTCATTCATTCATTCATTCATTCATTCATTCATTCATTCATTCATTTATTCATTCATTTATTTATTCATTCATTCATTCATTCATTTTTTTATTATTTATTTATTTGTGCATACGCACGTGTGTGTGTGTGTGTTTGTGTGTGTGTTGTACTGTAGGCCTTGACATTTTTTTGTCTTTATAAACCCAAGTCGCCACAAGGAAGGCGATACCATCGCTGGGTCCGCTCACGGATGTGTTACTGAGGGTGTGTATTTTAACACAAGACACGAATGTGGGCTGAAGTGTGGTGTTGTGTGGGCTGTGTGGTGTAGTGTGGGCAGAGTTTCTTCCAGGCATATCTTCGGAGGGGCAGAGCCCCCCTCCCGAACAAAGCCTACTATTAATATTTCTATTAATATAGAAAACGTATTACTTTTACCTGTGTCCGCCTTCACCTCCCCCTCCCCCCCCCCCCCGAAAAATGTCCGCTATCGTGAGCAGGAAATTAAAAGATAGCCTTACCGTTACTACCTAAGCCTAGTTTTAACACTGTACAAAACAATGTAAATTGGCGAGTTCCTCCAGTCTTGTGAAGATTATTTTATTTTTTGTTTGTTTTTTTTTTTTGGAATTTTTGTTATCAAAAGCAGGCCGATTATTTAGGACGATAATCTTTTTTTTTTTTGCATACGTTTAAAAATCGATATCTAGCATTAAATAATAAAGTGTTTGCCTGCAGAATTTGATTATTAATATTTTAAAACATATTAAAGTCATGATGTCTAATCACAACTTGAAGCCAAAGATGACAGATAATGTCAGAAAACGCATGATGGTAACTTGCACCCTCTAACGCAAACACCCTAACGTAAAACAACCATAACCCCCAATTCACAACATTGTAAAGAATTTCTGTTATTATATGTGCCTAGTACTGTATAAAGGAAATCTAGCGAGTAATTACATAGTCACGTAGACTTATCACAGAAGGCCAGTATGACAAAGGACGACCCTATATTAAACAATAGAATGTGTCATGTTAGGGCGTAGTCTACATTCTAACATACGCAGCGTGTACTTATCCAAATGGATCCGTAAGTGCTCACAATAATGTATATATATATATATATATATATATATATATATATATATATATATATATATATATATATATATATATATATATATATATATGTATATATATATATATATATGTATATATATATATATATATATATATATATATATATATATATATATATATATATATATATATATATATATATATATATATATATATATATATATATATATATATATATATATATATATATATATATATAATCGCAGGCTACTAAAGATTACTTATGGATTAAGGATTTGTTGTAAATCCATAAATATAGAAGACAAACAAAATATATGTGGTATGACATTTGTAAAGTAATGCACCTTTAAACTGCAGTAATTAATTTTAAACACTAAAAAAAAACTCGCCACAGTCGGCAACAGAAAGCCGTTATTTTACGTCTGCTTTGAAATTAGGGTCTAAGCAATGACTTAATGAGAACGTGAGAGTATTCTTAATTTTTATTTAGAATTATGCATAACTTTTTTGAATGTATACACCAAAGTAATACAATGGCCTTATGATAGAGAATGAAAATGAAGTCGAATAACAACTACAATTGTTAAAGCTTAATTTGTCACGATTGGGTGTGGTCTACGAGCTTAGAGATGCGATAAGTAGTTATCGTGTTAAATTTAAAGTGCGTTTTTACGTGTATATATATATATATATATATATATATATATATATATATATATATATATATATATATATATATATATATATATATATGTTAGGCAGAGTTCCTCCAGGACTTACGGGACATAATCGATCACGACAGGTGAATGAAGTTCCCCACCGACCCATACCTCACCAACAGAACCAAGTGGAAACTATGGGTCAACCTAAACAATTTCGACGATCAACTTCACTGTCTAAAGTTTTTTTGTGCTGCACCTTGAGACCTTTAAGGAGGGGGTAGGGAATCTTGTGAGCCCCCCCCCCTCCCCCCTTTTCGACCCACAAAAACACACACACGGACCGAGTAAAAGTATGTATCAATGATGAATGTAGTATTGACGTCAATATAAGTACCTTAATCCAAACTCCTTCATCCGTCGAGATCCCAGTGGAGGTTGTATATCAAATGTTCCAGAGTTTAACGCAACTGTGCTTACCGCCGTTTAGGAGGTCATTCAACAAGGATGAGGGGAGGGGGTTCAGCTATATTGTGGGGTTTAAGCTGTGTTGAAAGATTACTCATGATACGGATCGTAGTCGTAGCTTTTATTTTTATTTACTTACGAGTTTAAATAGTGCGTCTTTTAAGAGGGGGAGGGGGGTGGGGGCTGTGACATCGTTTGACCGGGAAGGTCTAACACTTAGCGACGTGTGAATGTCGAGGGGTAGTAGGGGAATTAAATTCGACTACGAAAATTGGACGATGTATGGACGACCTCTTTAAAAAAACGGAGGGAAAAGACTGGATGTGTTCTATGTCACGTAAAATCATCGTTGCATTTCTTGACATTTTCAATTAAAATTATTTCATTCTAGGTATTGAATTTAGGTTCGGGATTTAATTACTTTCTGTTATCGGCGTTGTTGGATGGTAAAGATTAAGAGTTCTGATCTACAGCATAAGTCTGTAGGACACCAAGCTCTGATGGGTACCTGACTCAATTCAGGGAAACATGCAGCTGGTCATAGTACTGACCACACTATTCCCAGCATTTTGGGATCATTGAAACAGATGAACTCTTCTTCACCTGTGCCATGTGTCTTGGTCAAGAAAGAGAAAAGATGACGATTGCAATCAAAATGTGGCTATAGCGTTTATGCGATTTATAAAAAGGGGTCATTTTAGTAGTGTAAACTGTGACCTAGGTCTACTGAAGATGACAACGTTAATCTTTGTACTGTAAACCTTATCTATCACGTGCGCTATAATCATGGTCACAAGTCTAGAGGGATTTGTTTGTCAACATGCCACCAAAATGTTAACTTTGTACTACACGCATACAACGCAGAATATCAAAATGTCCTTAAAATTGTATTGCGGTGTGAAAATGTTTAAAGTGCTAAAATTAGACAACACGTGCGTCACGTAAGCCGCCGTGATAAGTGTTTGGGTTTAAGGCTAGGCTTAATCGTCATAATGGGAAAGTACCGAAAACATGGCGCTATGAATAACTTAAACTCAAGTAGACAATAATTGAGTTATTATTGGCAACATAATAATGTAAGGGATGTAATACACTACTTAGCGGCGTAACTAGGGGGAGTAATAAGCATGGGGGCACGCAGTATTTTGAAGGGCGTAGTTCTAATATGTGATTTGGTCTTATCAATCACTTTATTCTACTTACGACAAAGAGGATCACTCTGTTTACCTGCTGTACCCACTAGAATATCACACAATTCTACCTGTACCAACTAGCATATTACACACTCCTACCTGTACCAACTAGCATATCACTCAATTTTACTTGTACCAACTAGCATATCACTCAATTTTACTTGTACCAACTAGCATATCACTCAATTTTACTTGTACCAACTAGCATATCACTCAATTTTACCTGTACCAACTAGCATATCACTCAATTTTACCTGTACCAACTAGCATATCACTCAATTTTACCTGTACCAACTAGCATATCATTCAATTTTATCTGCTGTACCAACTAGCATATCACTCAATTTTACTTGTACCAACTAGCATATCACACACTCCTACCTGTATCAACTAGCATATCACTCAATTTTACTTGTACCAACTAGCATATCACTCAATTGTACCTGTACCAACTAGCATGTCACTCAATTTTACTTGTACCAACTAGCATATCACTCAATTTTACTTGTACCAACTAGCATATCACTCAATTTTACTTGTACCAACTAGCATATCACTCAATTTTACCTGTACCAACTAGCATATCACTCAATTTTACCTGTGCCAACTAGCATATCATTCAATTTTATCTGCTGTACCAACTAGCATATCACTCAATTTTACTTGTACCAACTAGCATATCACTCAATTTTACTTGTACCAACTAGCATATCACTCAATTTTACTTGTACCAACTAGCATATCACTCATATTCACTTGTACCAACTAGCATATCACTCAATTTTACTTGTACCAACTAGCATATCACTCAATTTTACTTGTACCAACAGGCATATCACTAACTCATACATGTGCCAACTACCTTGTCACCCACTTACTTCTACATCTACAAACTATCTTACCATTTCCTCACTTAATCATAAAATTGTCAACTTAATCCCAACCTGTATCAAACAGCTTATCACTCACTAACTTAATCTTAAAATTGTCAACAAACTTACCACTTTACTTAATCCTCTAAGCGCGCTTGTTGCTATTTCATACTATCCACGCTATATCCCATGTGCTGGTGCTAGTTCATACTATCCACGCTATATCCAATGTGCATTGTACAACTCCATACTATCCACGCTATATCTCATGTGCTGGTGCTGGTTCATACTATCCACTCTATATCCAATGTGCTTCGTACAACGCCATACTATTCACGCTATTTCCAATGTGCTTTGTACAATTCCATACTATCCACGCTATATCCCATGCACTGGTGCTAGTCCATACTATCCACGCTATATCCAATGTGCTGCTGCTAGTCCATACTATCCACGCTATATCCCTTTACATGACAATATGAAGGAATGCACGTGTAAGCTAGGACGTGCTCTCTTCCAACCAAACATCGCTATACAGCTTCCTGTTAGCGGGTCCTTAAGTGTGTCCTCAGCGAAAACTTTTCAAATGTAGTAAGTCGTGCATTCACACAGATCCGGTCTTCTGTTTGTTTGAGATAAGTTGTTTTTTTTTTAGCTAGGGGGCGCTGCGTGATGATGGAAAATCTTTTAAAACTGCTTGTAACATTAAAGTTTGAAGAGACGATTTTGTTTTGTTGGTGATGGTGTATTGTGATAGATTATCGCTTGAAACAGCATTATGTTGTATGATATTTTGTGGATAAAATTTCTTGCATACGGTGATGCTGTATTGTGATAAATAATCACTTGAAACTGCTTTGTTTGCTTGTTATAACACATAATAAAAGAGAGTTTGAGTAAATTAAATGAGATGCTAACCATAGTGTGGAATGTAGGGTCTTGTAGTTTCCTGTAGTCTGGTTCTTCAGACGGACGGTCTATTCTAATATTATTATTAATTTTTAAATATGTCCTCAGATTTTTTTAAATTAAAATTGTTAATGGCAGGTGTAGTGAATCATGAGTTGTTGTTTTTTTTTTAATGTTACCCGCCTCACAATTTAGTTACATTTATTGTTTCTGGATTTAAAAAGGTCCTTAAAAACAAGAACATATAGTATAAAACACAGCAAAACACAAGTAACTGGTGGAGAAGTCGACATCAATTTTTTTTTATTTGACATATAATTTGTATCTACAAAATTATATTCATAACTTACATTCATTAAATCCAAAATGTGTTCAAAGGTTTTGAACACATTTCGGTCAAAATTCTCATTCTCCTGATACTAAATTTGGTCAAAACTCTCATTCTTCTGGTACAAATATTATTATCCAATCTCTCATTTTCCTGGTACAAATATTCTGGTCCAAACTCTCATTCTTCTGGTACAAATATTATTATCCAATCTCTCATTTTCCTGGTACAAATATTCTGGTCCAAACTCTCATTCTTCTGGTACAAATATTCTGGTCCAAACTCTCATTCTCCTGGTACAAATATTCTGGTCCAAACTCTCATTCTCCTGGTACAAATATTCTGGTCCAAACTCTCATTCATCTGGTACAAATATTCTGGTCCAAACTCTCATTCTTCTGGTACAAATATTCTGGTCCAAACTCTCATTCTAATGGTACAAATATTCTGGTAGAAACTCTCATTCTTCTGGTACAAATATTATGGTCCAAACTCTCATTCTCCTGGTACAAATATTCTGGTCCAAACTCTCATTCTTCTGGTACAAATATTCTGGTCCAAACTCTCATTCTTCTGGTACAAATATTCTGGTCCAAACTCTCATTCTCCTGGTACAAATATTCTGGTCCAAACTCTCATTCTTCTGGTACAAATATTATGGTCCAAACTCTCATTCTCCTGGTACAAAATATTCTGGTCCAAACTCTTATTCTCCTGGTTAGGCACTAGAATCTTCCTGGCACCGAACACTGGTTACAGTGAGCCTATATTTTTTCTATATATAGGGTAGTTAAACGTGCTCCGATGTGGGAGAGATGAGGGAGAGATGAGGGAGAGATGTGGGAGAGATGTGGGAGAGATGAGGGAGAGATGTGGGAGAGATGTGGGAGAGATGTGGGAGAGATGTGGGAGAGATGTGGGAGAGATGTGGGAGAGATGTGGGAGAGATGTGGGAGAGATGTTGGCGAGATGTTGGCGAGATGTGGGAGAGATGTGGGAGAGATGTGGGAGAGATGTGGGAGAGATGTGGGCGAGATGTGGGAGAGATGTCGGAGAGATGTGGGAGAGATGTGGGAGTGATGTGGGAGAGGTGTGGGAGAGGTGTGGGAGAGATGTGGGAGAGCTGTGAGAGAGATGTGGGCGAGATGTGGGAGAGATGTGGGAGAGATGTGGGAGAGATGTGGGAGAGATGTGGGAGAGATGTGGGAGAGATGTGGGAGAGATGTGGGAGAGATGTGGGAGAGATGTGGGAGAGATGTGGGAGAGATGTGGGCGAGATGTGGGAGAGGTGTGGGAGAGATGTGGGAGAGATGTGAGAGAGATGTGGGAAAGATGTGGGAAAGATGTGGGAGAGATGTGGGAGAGGTGTGGGAGAGATGTGGAAGAGATGTGGGAGAGATGTGGGAGAGATGTGGGAGAGGTGTGGGAGAGATGTGGGAGAGATGTGGGAGAGATGTGGGCGAGATGTGGGAGAGATGTGGGAGAGATGTGGGAGAGATGTGGGAGAGCTAAGGGAGAGATGTGGGAGAGATGTGGGAGAGATGTGGGAGAGATGTGGGAGAGATGTGGGAGAGATGTGGGAGAGATGTGGGCGAGATGTGGGCGAGATGTGGGAGAGATGTGGGAGAGATGTTGGAGAGATGTGTGAGAGATGTGGGAGTGATGTGGGACAGTTGTGGGAGAGATGTGGGAGAGATGTGGGAGAGATGTGGGAGGATTGTGGGAGAGATGTGGGAGAGATGTGGGCGAGATGTGGGCGAGATGTGGGAGAGATGTGGGACAGATGTGGGAGAGATGTGGGAGAGATGTGGGAGAGATGTGGGAGAGATGTGGGAGAGATGTGGGAGAGATGTGGGAGAGGTGTGGGAGAGATGTGGGAGAGATGTGGGACAGATGTGGGAGAGATGTGGGAGAGATGTGGGACAGATGTGGGAGAGATGTGGGAGAGGTGTGGGAGAGATGTGGGAGAGGTGTGGGAGAGATGTGGGAGAGATGTGGGAGAGATGTGGGAGAGATGTGGGAGAGATGTGGGAGAGATGTGGGAGAGGTGTGGGAGAGATGTGTGACAGATGTGGGAGAGATGTGGGAGAGATGTGGGAGAGATGTGGGAGAGATGTGGGAGAGATGTGGGAGAGATGTGGGAGAGATGTGGGAGAGATGTGGGAGAGATGTGGGAGAGATGTGGGAGAGATGTGGGAGAGATGTGGGAGAGATGTGGGAGAGATGTGGGAGAGATGTGGGAGAGATGTGGGAGAGATGTGGGAGAGATGTGGGAGAGATGAGGGAGAGATGAGGGAGAGATGAGGGAAAGATATGGGAAAGATATGGGAGAGATGTGGAGAGATGTGGGAGAGATGTGAGAGAGATGTTAAAGAGATGTGGGAGAGATGTGGGAGAGATGTGGGACAGATGTGGGAGAGATGTGGGAGAGATGTGGGAGAGATACCTGAAAGAAACACTGGCTTAGTTCTCTCAGTCCAGATCCTGGTCAAAAAAGATCTCTGCCGGAGTGACGTAGAATCCGTCGTCCCGTCTGTCGTAGCCCATCCTACACAGATGGACGGAGTGTATTCCCTGCTCCCCAAAGGGGGTCGTCTTCAGGTGCACGTACAGCCAGGGGTTGATTTTGGCCACTTTGGCTCGCCTGGCCCTCATGGTCGACACCTGTTGGTAATGTGGAGGTCATGTGTGAGAGGGGCGAGGTTAACAGGTGTCAAGGTCAAATATGAGACGGGTAAGGGTAGCAAATATCAAGGTCAAACGTGAGAGATCAAGGGTAACAGATGTCAAGGTCAAATGTGAGACGGTCAAAGGTAACAGGTGTCAAGGTCAAATATGGGAGGAGCGAGGAGGTGACAATGTCAAATGTGATAGGGGTATGTGTCACAGGTGTCAAGGTCAAATATGAGAGATCAAGGGTAACAGATGTCAAGGTCAAATGTGAGACGGGCAATGGTAGCAAATATCAAGGTCAAATGTGGGAGGGGCGATAAGGTGACAAGGTCAAATGTGATAGGGGTATGTGTCACAGGTGTCAAGGTCAAATATGGAAAGTGCAAGGAGATGTCACGGTCAAATGTGAGAGGATCAAAGAGAACATGTGTCAAGGTCAAATTTGAGAGGAGAAAGGGTAGCAGATGTCAAGGTAAAATGTGAGAGAGGCGAGGTACTAAACGATGCAGTGGATTCAATCAGTGACGTAGAGAGGTCGGGTGTCACCCGGTGCGGAACTTAATGGTGTCACCGCCAGAGGCGTAGCGACCCTTGCCGGGGACAAACTTTCAAATTTTCGATTTGCACCCCCCCCCCTCAAACTTTCGATTTGCACCCCCACCCCTCACGTTTTCGATTTGCACCCCCCCCCCTCAAACTTTCGATTAGCACCCCCCCACGTCAAGTTTTTCTCTATATATTTTGCTATTTTTTTGCCTTGGTGTCACCCCCCTAAATGGTGTCACCCGGTGCGGTCCGCACCCCCCGCCCCCCCCCCCCCCCTCGCTACGCCCCTGGATGCAATGGCTTTGTGCGAAGAATGTATTTTTACAGTTCTGTTCATCAAGTGACCTATGAACCAAGCCAGTAGGTCCACGGATTTTTTTTTTTTTTTGTATTTCCTTACTCTGAGCAAAAACATTTTAGTATAGAACTTTGTGTATATTATAAGAAGTTTATAAAAATTAAATGCTTTAAAAAGATAAATTTAAAATAGTATGGATTATCTCCCTTTTCCAGTCAATTTTAATGTTGTGTTGCAATAAATATAATTATCCACATAGTATTAGCTGGCTTTTGAAAGGTAAATTATATAATCTTGATTTTGCATTAACATACTGCATTTTAGCATTGAAAATTTTCTACCATGAGAAAGTTGTATTTCTTTGAAGTTTTATTTAGCTTGTCAATATGATGTAGTAGTGATTTAATGCTTGTGTCTGTTCAATACAGTTGTGTAAAAAAATAGAAGCTTGGGCCTAATTGTGTTGCTGACATTATGTGCATACATCAGCAGCATGCAATCAAGTGTGACATGCCAGGCACTTGATTGAAAGCCACAGGGAAGACAAAAGAGATGGCGCAAGGCCGCAGGATGGTTTTGAAAGGCTGAAAAATCAACAGTGGGGGGGGCTAAACAAAATGGAAGGTTATGGTTGAGGCCCTAGGCTCCACAAAGAGTAAAGAGCCTTAAGTCATGCATTAAGGCAATTGAATAATCAGTTTTCTACCCTCTACTAAAACTTACTTTCATGACTGTCAAGTGAGGTCTAAAGTCATGATTTTCTATGACTTTGACGCCAGCATCTTTGAGCTTTGACTTCAGTAAATCAGCAAACACCCTGATAATTAGTTAAAAAAATGAACTTTGTTAATTTCTTATTCTATTCATCTACAAACTTTTAACTAGCACAAGGAATGGCTATGGAAACAAAAAAATATTGTCATCTCAGAGTGATTTCTTTTAGTGTTGATCATGAAATATTTAGCAATAAAAAGTTAAGTGTTTAAATTATGACAATCAATATTATTTCAAATATATGTCATGTTAATACAATTTGAAAAGAGTTGAGATGAATATAATTTTGTATTATAAATTGAATTCTTATAAACACATATAATAACAATATACCATTTTATGGAGAACATACATTATTTTATAATGTATGGCTTAGATTGATAGTTTTTTAACTAACCACATTTATTTAAAATTTATTTAGAACAAATTAAAAAAATTATATTCAGCTCAAAATTATTTTTAAATATTTACCTACAAAATTAAATTTACAAACAAGATAACAATTACCTGAATTGTTGCTCATATTCCACCTCAGCAACTAAAACTTTCTCAAAGAATGTTGTCATTCCTTTTATAACTAGTTTCTCTTTAGGCAAGTTACTCTCTAAGTCTTTCTGAAGGTCTAAGAGAACTTTTCTTGCACATTCTATCTCTTCATCAGTGTCTAGTTTAACCTGAAGAGAAAGGAAAAAGATTTTATCCAAACCACTGAGTTTGATTCAAGGTGAGAAGTTAGGTTTGGGCTTATGACTGGGTTAGATATTACATATTAAAATTTTATACTAAGGATATAAATAAAACTAAGTAGTATAATCATGTAATTGATATTTTTGTACCAATTTATTAACCAAACGGTAAAACACCCTAACAAAACAAACCTATTAGATACTAACATTAAAAACAATTTTAGTAAACCCAGTTTATAAATTGGAAGGTGAAAAAATTTATAAGGTAGCATTCGCTAAATTTTCCTACTGATTTAACAAAATGTTATAAATGTAACATCTGAACAGCTTTTTTACTTCACATAATCAAATATTAAGGATAATATGATAAAATACTGATTAGTAATTAAACCATTTTATATTAAAGATACTTTTATCAATAATGTAAGGTACAATACACTTTGAATGACTAGCTGAGAACTTTGAAGAACCTATTGTAACCAAGACCTAGCATTACAAAAAATTGTCACCACTGAAGATTTAGTGAAATGGTAATAATACCTCGCAAAGTGTCACATGTAACATCTCTTTAGTATAACAGAAGTCAGTATACTGAGGGTCTTTATCTAGTATCCAATCTAAGGCATCTTGGATGGATTTATGGATGGCTGGGTTGGTCACTCTGACACAGAAGAAGTAGTTCGCTCTCTCAACTGGTGTTTTCCTGCTCATTGTTGTCTAGGTCATCTGTCAATTTGCTGAAAACTCTGGTCTGAAATTTTTTTTTTAAATTGTCGTAAATGGACAAGTATCTTCAATGTTGTTGGTACAATTTTTAGAATTACACTAACTTATGGGGAATTAAATCTTAGTCATGTGCATGTTGAATTTTATTTTCCTTTTTAAAAATTTCTTATACAAACAGACTGGTTTAATTTATTAACAAAGATTAAGTTGTGTTATGAATAAAATACTTGCTTTTGATTTGTACATTTTACAATATTTATATTTATTCTATTCATAGTATTTTTAAATGTGTTAAATTATGAGTATATTTTATTGTGTTTTAGATAAATTACATTTTTTAAAAATAATCTTTGTACTTTTAATTTAGTTCTAAATCACAAAAAAACAGCCTAACTGGCAACTTATAAAAATGTGATGTCAAATACGATTTTAAACAACAAAATTATAGAACAATTTTTAGGTTAAATAGAGATAGTTGGAATAGAACATTAAAAATATTTATTTTAATTTATTTATTTAGTAGTTATAAACAAACGACCGGTTCCCGCAGCTATTAATATTATCGTATCCCATTAGTTACAGTAGGCCTACTGTAAAAATAATAAAAAGTGTTGTCCATGCTTTTTACCTAAATGATGCTATTCATAGCAGTATAGCTGTTAAAAAAAATAAAAATAAAGGTATTCCTTATTGGTCTGCTGCACAAATTGACCTAGATCTAGATCTAGATCTACATTTCTAAACATTATCGTAACTTAGTAAACTTAGTAGTATGTTAAACTTAAACTTACGTAAAACAAATACTACTCAAAATTAACAACATATACTTACTACTTAGAATATACCAGTATACCAACTTACTTGTTTTACTAAGATTAGTAAGCCTAAATCTAGTTACTCTATATGGGTACTAGATATTTATTTTGCTTTACAAAACATGATCATCCCAATGTTCAATGTGAGTTTAAAGCTACAACTCGCGGTACCGGTAGCGATAACAAACAACAAATAATAAAACGAGTCGTCTCTCTTAGTTTTGACTGAGATTTATAAATAGTAACTTACAACTCTTGCACCACTTCCGAGAAATCACCGGTTCTATCTTTAGGTTCAAAGTAAAAATAATTTTGGCCTATAAAATTGCCGGAGAAACGAGAGAAAGTTGTGTTCTAAATCTGCACCGTTCATAAGTTGTTTTATTATTGGTATTATCCTAAAAACGCATAAAGGTAAGACCGTGTTAAATTACTGTAGGCCTACTGTAAAAAATTAGCTATCTATCAATCATCTCATTCATTAATTAGTCATTAGATTAGTTAAGTTTAAAAGTTCATGTCTACTCTACAGTTGAATACAGAAACCAGGGGAAAATTTAGAATTTTTTAGCCAAAATTTTAAATTAGTATTAAAGTTAAACAATAAAACATTCAGAATTTAGATATCTACTATAGGACATCTATTTACTAGGGCTTAGGCCTACTGAATTTTACTTTAGCATTAAAATAAGCTTTATTTTAGTCCAGTAGGCCTACTATCTAGAATCTAGATCTAGAATCTAGATCTAGATCTAGAATCTACATCTAAATGTGAAGTAGGCATAGGCCCTAATTAATATTAGGCCTATACTCCCTATAGGCCTAATTAATAATATTATTATTAATTATAGGGCCTAATATGCCCATTATTTAAGCACTTACTCAGTTTTTAACTAGGTCTCTAAGATTCTCTATGATAATATAATTTGATAGAATAAATACTATAAATAGATCAAGCCTAAAATAATAAATAAATAATTAGGCCTACTGTAAAAAGTTATTAGGGTATAGGCCTAATATCTAATTATTATAATATTTATTATTTAGGCCTAGACCAAATTAATAATTAATAGCCCTTACCAGTAGCCTAATCTGAACTGTTTATAAAAGTTTATACATAGAGCAACATTTTATTAGGTATAATAATATTATTAGGCTTTAGTTTTAAATAACCTTTCTTAGAAATGTATCTTTTATTAACAAAACAGTAGAAGACCTAGTATACTAAGTATATAGTATATAGGTGTAGTATATATGATTCATGCCATGGGGCCAACTATATATATCTAGAACACAAATCCATGCATCGTGCATGACAAAATCAGAATTTTATGCAATATAGTAGAGTAGATTACTTACTTACCTGTTGTAACGAATAAGTTAGCTATATATTCACATAAAAAATAATTAGTCTGCAGATTATGATTTAAGTTTTTTAATTTTTCAGCTATAAAAATGGCATCAGCTGAATGTTTGCAGCCTATGAAAGTGGAGAGTAATGCAAGCAGTGATGTTATTTTAACACAGAAGGATGAAGTAGCAAGCGTAAAGGCAGCATACCCAAACAGGTGTCGTGTAGTTTGTGAGGTTGGCTCGTACAGTCATGTGGTCACCGTACAGCCAGAAAATCTGGACGTCACCATTAAGCTTCAGCTCACTTGTAAGTCAAGTAATTAATTTTAATTGCATGTGGTCGTTGCTTGTAATTTAGATCATATCCCTGTCTCTACTCTATTTTAGCATGCCAATTTATCTTTAACTTATTGACTAGCCAAAGCCAGGAGCGTAGCGAGGGGGGGGGGGTGCGGACAGCACCGGGTGACACCATTTAGGGGGTGACACCAAGGCAAAAAAGAGCAAAATATATAGAGAAAAACTTGAGGGGGGGGGTGCAAATCGAAACCATGAAAGTTTGTCCCCGGGAAGGGTCGCAACGCCTCTGGGGGGGTGACACCATTAAGTGCCGCACCGGGTGACACCCGACCTCGCTACGCCACTGGCCAAAGCTACTGTCAAAACTCCTCTCCCACAATATAGATAGGTAGAAGGGGAAAGGTGAACCTTTACTCCATCACAAAATAAAACATTTTTGATATTGAGGTACACAATCTGCAGTCTTATTTTTATAATTTTTCTTTTAGTACACTGTAACACAAAACCATTTGGCCTAAGCTAATCCTCTTTGCTGACATTAATCCTGTATAAATCAAAATGTACCCAATACTTTGTTCTCATTTCTCATATTTTTAAATGCAAAATGTTATCAGTTTTATTTTTCTTAATTAGAGTCCCCATTATTATGTTCTAATGGTTTTTTATGAGCAGTTGTATAAAGCCATATTGTTTTTTGAACCTAGTCATTAAGCATGTTTTAAAAGTCGGGATATTTTATGTCTAGTTTTTGTTTATTTGTTTATTGCCTTAGCTTCTCGCTATTTTCAGAATGTCTTTTTTTTTTGTTGTTTGGGTATTTTTAAGTTTTGATGTATCAATTTAATGAGGGTTCGTTTTTTTAAATATTGAATGAACTCTTTTTTTTTCTTCATATTAGCTGCATATCCAAGTGCTGTACCAGAGATTAGTATTCGATCAGAGTCGATTACTGAGGAAAATATTCTAGAACTACAGCAGCAACTGAAGGCTTTTGCTAAAGGACTGACTGGTCAGTCCATGATTAAAAAAATTGTTGAAGAGGCTGAAATCCAGCTCTATGCACTTGGGCTAAAACCTGGCAAGGCCAGCGTTTTAAAAACACAGACTGACATTGGGAAGAAACAAAAGAAAACCAAGAAGCCAAAGAGAAAGTTTAAATCTGAAGATGAAGTTGATGACAATCAGAAACTGCCGTCCATGAAAACTGCTGACGATGTTGTGAAGAGAATAATTTGGGATGATAATTTAGAAAAAGATGATTTTATTGTTGGGTATTTTGACAGGTTTAGGGGATTGGTTGAAAAATGTTTTTCATCCTTCTCATGGGAGGACCTGGCTACAGTTGATTATGATGTTCTGGCAGTGCCAAAGCATAGGATTCAGTACTTCAAGTACAAAAATGTGAAGGTATGGGACAAGTCTAAAAGAATTGATAACGTCTTTGGGTCAGCTGAAGGGACAAAGACTATCGATGTGGTCATTAAAGAAGTTGAAGAGCTAGAAAGTTTACAGAGGGCTACTGGTGTTTACCCACACCAGGCCGATAGTTCAGAGGATGACGACAGCTCTGACGACAGTGATGATGACAACATCACCGTTTCAATTGGTCAGTCCGCAAATATCGGAATTAAATCCCCGCAAAATCAAGACCAATTAGATGAACAGGCGGAACAAAGAAACGAAGCAAGTAACGGGTTTAACCCATACTGGAGAGACAAACTCAGACCAAATTATTTTTTATGTGTCCGGGTAAGAAACGAAGCTATACTAGACAAGATTGGAAACATCCAGGACTTTTTAATGGAGCAGGAGCCACTGTTCAGCGAGTGCTGCATTCCTGGCGTGTCGCTTCACGTCACACTAAACACCCTAGGACTGGACACTAATGACCAGCTCCTCCACTGTATCCAAGTCCTGAAAAAAATAAAACCAGAATTGGAATCTGCCTTGCCGAAATCTTCCCTAAAATTACATGGCGTTTCAAACTTTTATAATAGAGTTATCTATGCTAAAGTACAGTATGAAAAAGATTTCTTGGATTTTTGCACTTTGTTAAAAACTCTTTTAACCGAAGGGGGCATACAGATCAGGGACGGGTATGAATTTGTCCCGCATGTAACGATCATGAAGACCACTAGGCCAGTGTCCAGGGCTCGTGGGTCTAAAAACGTCAGTTCCAGTTTGTACGCCAAGTTTGTTGATACAGATTTTGGTGAGCAGAACATTGACAGTATTTACCTGTGCGCTATGGGAGATGAGCGCAGACAAGATGGATTCTATGTGACACCTGCAGAGTTACACTTCAATTCCACAAGCTAATTTTTTTTAAAAGTACCATACATAGGTCAAAAGAAAGAGGGAGACCCAAATATACCAGGCAGAGAATTTTAATAAGTTTTAAAACTTGGAAATAATGGAATAAATAGAAATGGACAAAAAAAACAAGGAAGGGTTGAAAAAGGAGAAGAAGAAGATATTTGTAAAAAGTTTAGAAAAACTAGTTTTGCTAGTGGTATGTATCTATAGTGCGCATTATATTTTGGAGTTTATAAGCTTCTTGTATACAAATGAAATCAATTAAATGTAAAGCATCTGTGATTTGTTAAAAAAATTATACTTGGTCTAATTTCTGTACATTTTATTTATTATTTTGTGATGATTATAAACAATAATTTATATTGATGCAATAAATAATTTATCAAATGGCCAGGCACATTTATTGTCATTTTTATAATTTTAAATATGATGAAAGTGTGTGAGCCGTTGTGTGGTGATTTGTGGGCGGGTGTGTGGTGCCGTGTGAGCTGTGTGGGGTTTTAGTGTGGTGTGCGGGCTGATGTGTGACCGTAAGTGGACTGATGGGTGATAGTGTGTGGACTGATGTGTGGTGGTGTGCGGGCCGATGTAGTGAAGTGGTCCGGGTATAAACTTCCTTGAAGCAGCGATCAAATACCAAGTGACTTCAAGAAACCCTTACATATCGAGCTGACATCATTTCTCTTGAGTGCAGATGTGTCACGTGTATAGATCTTCAGTTCTCGCGAACTACGGGAGCCCACTCGGGGCATATATATATATATATATATATATATATATATATATATATATATATATATATATATATATATACCTATTTATAAACTGATAAAATAACAGTAAAATCGAATTTCTACTTTTATTTCCCGCGAATTTAAAAAAAAATGTATTCACTAGTCCTTTCTGACTCTATACCTTAAAAAATTAAAATACTTTTTTTTAAATGGTTGGGCCATGATAACCTCAGGCTTTGGCGTAGAAAACAACAAAAAATGCTATTAGGAAGAATGAAAACACACGCAGTGTTAACATTCACCAACTTTATGGAATGTTCATTCAACTGAGTAAACGAGCTCCACAATAGCCCACATCCATTTATCGAGAAAGACTTGAACGTCTATGATTGGATTCTAAAAGAACCGGATAATCAATGACTGATTATTCGACAAGGTATGGCGTGTGCATTCTATAAATGTGGATTAATGGGGGAAGGGGGGGGGGGGCAGAGTTTCAGACATTTTTCTCCGCGAAGCACTTGAAACTTCAGTTGGGGGAGGAGCACTTGTTAAAATACTTATTTCTATATGATTTTTTTAGAAAAATTTGTTTCATCTCACTAACCATATCATGTCTAGTTGTTAGACGTCCACGCACCTGTGATTTCCAGATATGATGTCTAGCTGTTAGACGTCCACGCACGTTAAATTTCTAGGTATGATGTCTAGCTGTTAGACGTCCACGCCCCTGAGATTTCCAGGTATGATGTCTATCTGTTAGACGTCCACGCCCCTGAGATTTCCAGGTATGATGTCTAGCTGTTAGACGTCCACGCACGTTAAATTTCTAGGTATGATGTCTAGCTGTTAGACGTCCACGCCCCTGAGATTTCCAGATATGATGTCTAGCTGTTAGACGTCCACGCCCCTGAGATTTCCAGGTATGATGTCTAGCTGTTAGACGTCCACGCACGTTAAATTTCTAGGTATGATGTCTAGCTGTTAGACGTCCACGCCCCTGAGATTTCCAGATATGATGTCTAGCTGTTAGACGTCCACGCCCCTGAGATTTCCAGATATGATGTCTATCTGTTAGACGTCCACGCCCCTGAGATTTCCAGGTATGATGTCTAGCTGTTAGACGTCCACGCACGTTAAATTTCTAGGTATGATGTCTAGCTGTTAGACGTCCACGCCCCTGAGATTTCCAGATATGATGTCTAGCTGTTAGACGTCCACGCCCCTGAGATTTCCAGGTATGATGTCTAGCTGTTAGACGTCCACGCACGTTAAATTTCTAGGTATGATGTCTAGCTGTTAGACGTCCACGCCCCTGAGATTTCCAGATATGATGTCTAGCTGTTAGACGTCCACGCCCCTGAGATTTCCAGGTATGATGTCTAGCTGTTAGACGTCCACCAGTAGCGTACGCAGGGGGGGAGCAGGGGGAGCGGCCGCTCCCCCTCTGGCCATTTTCAGCAAAGTGGCGCCTTTTTTCTAAACTTTTTAAAGTCAAAGTTTTAAACAATATTTGTTAAAAAATATTTTTGGTCGGCACATCTACGTAAATCACAAGATTTCTTTTCCTTCAGTAATCAAGCATTATTGTACTAGTCTAGTAGTGTCTACGTTTACAACACGTATTAACAGCTGCATCAGTTTGCCATTCTAAAAATAACAATTACAATGTATTGCAATGTTTAAAAAACCTCTACCGGTAGTACCACTTGGCAAGAGCGGTGTTAAGTTTAAGGCAACTGTATAATGTATTTGCTTACGAATAATTGAATTAGAAAATGTTATACATAAAACTTCACACATAATTACTTTATATATATACAGTTTTAATCGTGTGATTAATTAAAAAAAAATTACAATACAGAAACAAATACAACTGATGTGGCACCTCTATTTAAATTTACTTATGAGCAAAGTGTGTAGTGGTGGGGAAATTTTGACAAGGTCTTCAACGTCATCACGATGAATTAGTAGTATAACAGTTTGGGCGATAGTGATTACGATTACAAATTATATGAAACAGTTACAACCCCCTCCCCTATGGACCCCTCTGTATTAGATGACTTGTTCTAAACATACAAATATATAATATATATATATATATATATATAATATATATGTTATATATATAATGTATATATACTTATAGTACAATATATATATATATATATATATACTATATATTTATATATATGTATGTTTTAGAACAGTCATCTAAAAACTGATGCTATGTTCACTCTGAGTTGGTTATCTCCCCCCCCCCCCCCCCACACACACACACCTCACCACCACAATTGTGTAGAGCGACATTAATGTCACACCTAGGTATACGCTGGGTTGGATAATTGACCTAAAGTGATCGGACAGTGGTGAATGAAGTTGAACCCCCCCCCCCCCCCCCCCCCAACCCACCCCGAACTGATCTGTTAAGTACATGTCGAAAAACGCGTAATGATGTACCAAAGTACCATGCCGCCAGAAAACTACCTTTTAAATGTAAAACTCTGTGAATATTGTTAAAACAATTACCAGTAAAAAAAAAGTGTGATCAATACAGTGATCTAACACATACCTATCACTATGTTGAAAATGATCCTTATGAACACAAAGAAGCAGTAGTTAAACTAAATGACCGCTAATGAGTTAAGTGTAGGCTGTTATTCCGAATGTTTTCTATTATGTCGAAAAGCGTGGTTTTATACTAACTCTGATTTTTATAAACTTTCATTATGCTGTAATACTTTAGCATTTATGATGAGTATATATTAAATTCTGATTATAGACAAAAAAATATTTTGTTTACACGAATAGTGTTAAACAATTTCATTATATTCTAAAGTAATTATTTATTTGTGTTGACATTTATAATTAAATGTGTAGATATATACATAATTATATAAAGAGAGTGATTATTTCCCCTATTTCACTTGTCTTAAATAATTTCCCAGGAACTATTATGTAAGAAATTTTTTTTACAAGAATTACAAAACAGATTGTGTTACGTTCATTGTTTTTGGTTGTAGTGTGTGTATATATTTTTTTTTCAGATTGATACAATTTTTGTTTTGTCGGCCTACATTGTGTTTTTTCTTATTTCTTCAGAGTGCTACTTTCAATTTATTTTACATCATAGCGAAGTAATGACATACAGCTAGTAATTATATATATATATATATATATATATATATATATATATATATATATATATATATATATATATATATATATATATATATATATATATATATATATACATATATATATATATATATATATATATACATATATATATATATATATATATATATATATATATATGTATATATATATATATATATTTAAACACATATATATACATATATATATATATATATATATATATATATATATATATATATATATATATATATATATATATATATATAATACACGTATATAGAACGTGTTAAAAATTCGGCGCCTTTTTTTTGCTCTTTTCGCTCCCCCTACAACGAAAACCTGGATACGCCTCTGACGTCCACGCACGTTAAATTTCTAGGTATGATGTCTAGCTGTTAGACGTCCACGCACGTTAAATTTCTAGGTATGATGTCTAGCTGTTAGACGTCCACGCACCTGTGATTTCCAGGTATGATGTCTAGCTGTTAGACGTCCACGCACGTTAAATTTCTAGGTATGATGTCTAGCTGTTAGACGTCCACGCACGTTAAATTTCTAGGTATGATGTCTATCTGTTAGACGTCCACGCCCCTGAGATTTCCAGATATGATGTCTAGCTGTTAGACGTCCACGCCCCTGAGATTTCCAGATATGATGTCTAGCTGTTAGACGTCCACGCCCCTGAGATTTCCAGATATGATGTCTAGCTGTTAGACGTCCACGCCCCTGAGATTTCCAGGTATGATGTCTAGCTGTTAGACGTCCACGCCCCTGAGATTTCCAGATATGATGTCTAGCTGTTAGACGTCCACGCCCCTGAGATTTCCAGGTATGATGTCTAGCTGTTAGACGTCCACGCCCCTGAGATTTCCAGATATGATGTCTAGCTGCTAGCCGTCCACGCCCCTGAGATTTCCAGATATGATGTCTAGCTGTTAGACGTCCACGCCCCTGTGATTTCCAGATATGATGTCTAGCTGTTAGACGTCTACGCCCCTGAGAGAACCCGCAATATATCTGTGATCTCAAGTGGTTCCGGAATGGCCAGCCGTTGTTCCAGTTTAATCATGTGTCGTCTGCTGGCTTTGATATCGACTAGGGCGGGGTTTCCCTTCTATTTTGTTACTGCGTTAAAAATGTCTTGACGTCACCATCACCAAGTCAGACAGGCAATTAATACATTTTTTATTTAATTTTTTTTTTTTTTTTTTGAAAAATAAAAAGCGAAATGAAAAAAAAAATGCATACTTGTATCTATTGAATACCGTTTGTTAAACATGAAATTGTACTCAAATCTATCTTTGTCGTCGGTGTGACGTCAGTGACATTTCTATGTTGAGCGCGACACTGTAATTTGCATCCCCCCCCCCACACACACACACCTACTTAGCTGCGGGCAGCATCCATTACCCCCCCCCCCCCCCGCGTATAGTCCCAGCCCCCTCCCGCCTGAGGCCAGCCACCACTCAGGCGGCGAGGAGTGACCTCCACGGCACACGGCAGAGCCGGGGTGCGGCGAGAGAATTGTTCCCAGTGTGCGTTGTACTACAGCCTTGTCGTGAAATTCAAAGGCGATTAATAAGTTCCGAAAACTGTAAGGTAAGTCTTCTGTGTCCGTCTTTGATCTGTACGGTAAGTCTTCTGTGTCCGTCTTTGATCAAGTTCATTTAATGTGTCTAAGTAGTGAGTAGTTTACATATTTTTTAGATCCCCCCCCCCCACAGCACGTCATGTCTACCCCCCCCCCCCAAAAAAAACGGAATATATATATATATATATATATATATATATATATATATATATATATATATATATATATATATATATATATATATATATATATATATATATATACTTTAACATGTGTCAGCCTCACAGAAAGTTTAGTCCACCCCCCACCCACTCGAAAGTTTCAAGTGCCCCCACACCCCTCCTGAACGAAACACTGATACAATGCAGTCGTTTTCTGTTTAAATGTTTTAAAAGTTGTCGTGGTTATTGGGTTGTTGGTTAGGGTAGATGAAGTAGAGTCATAAGAAAAGATATCTGCCCGGCAACCTTAACTTTCTCTTACTCGGGTTGGGTGTAAATAAGAGCTGAGTGGACTCAGTGACCACGAATCGTGCTATTGTGCTTGTGTGAGGGTAGGTGTTAGAAAATATGCATTAGTATCTCATGGCCCGGCTAATTAGGGATCATCATCATCTTTTCCCATTCGTACCCAAGACACATGGTGCAGATGAAGTGTAGTTTATCATTTTCGATGAGTAATATGATCAGCTTTATGCCCAGCAGCTTTATTGAATCCCAAACATAACTCAGGTACTCATCGAGACGTATTCCGAACTCAGGACTTTCGGGTAGCAGTCGAAAACTCTACCATCCGACCATGCCACTCCACGTAAGGGATAGAACACCATTACCCCATACTGTTGCTTACAATCGGCAATAGAAACTACTCATGGTGTACGATACATAAGTCTTTTAAAAACTAAATCAACGACTAAATCTATTGTTACGCAACTCGTCTATTTCAATATTTTTTTTTGAAAAACTTAATAGATAATCCATCGAAAATTACAATCGTGTAGAAACGCATAATATCATTAAACAAAGATTGCGTGTACATCCAAAATATTTTTTGACATTAACTTTTAAAATTGGAATTCGAATTGTGTCTCCAAGCTATATATACATATATATATATATATATATATGTATATATGTATATATGTATATATGTGTATATGTGTATGTATATATGTATATATATATATATATATATATATATATATATATATATATATATATATATATATATATATATATATATATATATATATATATTACACCATACGCCCATATTATATTTTTAAAATCCGGGTCAATGACGTCACGCTTTATTTGACGATTTTTACCTCCCCTCCCTACGTCACACATTGCTACAAAAACTAGACCCCCCCCCCCCCCTCTCTTAAATGACGTTTCACCTTAGCCTGCAACTCCCCTCAAATAGCCGTTGAATTGTTCTTAAAACATCGATTTGTTTCTAAAATAAGTTGTAAATAGAATTTGATTAAAATACTAAATGTTGAACGAGCTGAGCCAAGAATAACACAACAACAAAATGATAATGTAACACAATGCCACTCGCTTCATTTGATAGGCCTGTAACGATTGAAAGATTTCCTAAGATTAAAAATTTCCTTTCAAGCTAACTTTTTAGCTAACTATACGCTTGTTTAAATTAAAGCAAGTCATGTAATGAAAATTGAGGCAATGATTTTAATTCTGTGTATCTGAGGCTAAACAACGTATTTTAATAATTCCTTTTTTATCACAACAACACATTGTAAATAGCAACCCTCTCCTCACCATGTAAAGCGTTTAAACAACAAAATAGACTAGCCGCTACGTAATATATATATATATATATATATATATATATATATATATATATATATATATATATATATATATATATAAACTTATATATATACTTATATATAAATAAACTTATGTAAATACTCATCTATATAGTATGTATATATACATATAGTATGAGATTTCTAATTTATATTACACACACACACACACACATATATATATATATATATATATATATATATATATATATATATATATATATATATATATATATATATATATATATATATATGTGTGTGTATGTATATCGATATGTAGTATGGATGTTAGCGCTTATCTGTAACTTTAGCTTGTTAGTTATATAGTTTTAAAATACAATCATGAAACATCATACGATAGTGCCATTGTTTTGATAAATTAATCCTGCTATAAAGACCGCTAACAAGGACATTGCACTAAAACTAATCGGACTGTATGTAAAAATGTATGTAGGAATGCATATCAGTTGATGGAAGTTTTATTTTCACGTGCATGCTGAGTACCGTATCCTCTGAATCAAGACCTAACAATAAAAGAACAGTAGAAATAAAAGTTCCCACTTTGCTATCGTGATTGAAAAATATGGTTCTCCCCAGCCCGTTCCGACGCTAGGAATCAAAACATTATTTTTATAACCTTTACCCAAAAAGCCGGATTCGGAACTTTTATTGTACGCAATAAAGCTTTATATTTATTAGAATTAGTGGGAGAGGGTTGGTGGCCTTTTAAGCCTCAATTCACACAACATTTACAAAACGGACCAAGAAAGAAAAAAAAATCCATCCCTGGTGCTAAAATAAATGTATTTCATCTCTCATTGGGGACGTTCGATAAATTCATCCCAATAACCCCATGAGAGAATAAAATCAATACCTCCAATCGATTCATCGGATCAATCGCAGTTGTATCGATTAATTCTCATCGACTCCCTTATCGGCTTTCTTTGTTTCCAATTAGGCCCGGACTTGAATCTGACCGTGTTATTTCTACACGTACGACTGCCCATATTTCTACACATACGTCTGCCCATATTTCTACAAGTACGACTGCCCATATTTCTACACGTACGACTGCCCATATTTCTAGTCGTACGGCTGCCCATATTTCTACACGTACGACTGCCCATATTTCTACACATACAACTACCCATATTTCTACACGTACGGCTGCCCATATTTCTACACGTACGACTGCCCATATTCCTACACGTACGACTGCCCATATTTCTACACGTACGACTGCCCATATTTCTACACGTAAGACTGCCCATATTTCTACACGTAAGACTGCCCATATTTCTACACATACAACTGCCCATATTTCTACACATACGGCTGCCCATATTTCTACACGTACGACTGCCCATATTCCTACACGTGCGACTGCCCATATTTCTACACGTGCGACTGCCCATATTTCTACACGTAAGACTGCCCATATTTCTACACGTACGACTGCCCATATTCCTACACGTACGACTGCCCATATTTCTACACGTACGACTGCCCATATTTCTACACGTAAGACTGCCCATATTTCTACACGTACGACTGCCCATATTTCTACACGTACGACTGCCCATATTTCTACACGTACGACTGCCCATATTTCTACACATACGACTGCCCATATTTCTACACGTACAACTGCCCATATTTCTACACGTACGACTGCCCATATTCCTACACATACGACTGCCCATATTTCTACACATACGACTGCCCATATTTCTACATGTACGACTGCCCATATTCCTACATTTGGTTAGAGTTAAGACTGTCCATATTTCTACATTTGGTTAGGGTTAAGTCTGCCGATGTTCCTACATTTGGTTAGGGTTAAGTTTGCCCATATTTCTACCTTTGGTTTGGGTTAAGTTTGTCCATATTTCTAAATTTGGTTAGGGTTAAGTCTGCTGATGTTCCTGCATTTGGTTAGGGTTAAGTATGCTGTTGCTCCTATATTTGGTTAGGGTTAAAAATATGCTCATATTCATACATTTAGTTAGGGTTAAGTGTGCCCATATTCCTACATTTGATTAGGGCTAAATCTGTCCATATTTCTACATTTAGTTAAGGTTAAGTCTGATGATGTTCCTAAATTTGGTTATGGTTAAATCTGCTCATTTTTATACATAAAATGGTTACGGCTAACTGTGTTCATATTTCTACATTTGTTTAGGGTATAATATGCCCATAATTCTAATTTTGGTCAAGGTTAAGTCTTGAAACATGTAAATGTTTACTTACACCAGCCCAATATTAGTGCTAAAGCCTAGTCCAACAATACAATCTATACCACATCCATCTAGCACGTCCGTTGGGAGCTTCGTGTATGTTATCTAGACACTAACTTATGAAACTTTAATTAAAAACTTCGCTTTAAAAATATCTCATTGTTCTATTTTCCGTTTGTTCAAGAACTAACGATGATTAATTATTAAAAAACACTCGGTTTGTATCCAGAGACTAATAAAAATTTTCTTGCTCTAGTAAACATTGAGACGACGAAAGAATGACTGTAAGCTCTTGATCAAGTCGGGGGGGGGGGGGGGGGGGAATCGCGCATCATCATCCTTCTTCTTCTTCGTTCTAAATTGTTATGTTGGAATGGATTTCCTCCAACATAATTAAGTATTACGTATCAAAATGTTATGTGCCGTAACGACTGTAGACTCCGATATCAGCCTTTTTTTCTGGATTTGCTTCCATAGCTTTTTTTCGACCCACGAACAAACTACAAGACAGCAGTTGTTTGATTTTGGTATTTTCCCTCCTAGATTGGTTGCAGTCCCCAGCTATCGAGCCCCATCTGCCCGCGGGTTGGAACTCGAGACTTTTCGGTTTAGCTACTCCGACCCTATATTCAGTGGCGTAGCGAGGTCGGGTGTCAACCGGTGCGGCACTTAATGGTGTCACCCCCCAGAGGCGTAGCGACCCTTCCCGGGGACAAACTTTCAATTTTCGATTTGCACCCCCCCCCCCCCCTTTAAACTTTCAATTTGCACCTCTTAAAACACTATTTAACGCTCGAATTAATCACTTAATTAAGTGGAATTATCATTTTTCTCTATATATTTTGCTATTTTTCGCCTTGGTGTCACCCACCTAAATGGTGTCACCCGGTGCGGTCCGCACCCCCCCCCCCCTTGCTACGCCTCTGCCTATATTATCCAAACCACCTAATCGAAGAGTTATCATTCACTGTGGTTATTGAAGCGGCTATGGCTAAATATGATTTGGATTGGGAATAATGATACGATTAGGTTAAGATTAAAGTTTTCAGCATTATAAACCTTATAAAAGTTAGAATATTGTGTCATACAATCATTTTTTTTTTCTTTATCTTTAGCTAAGGTTGCATTGATTTATGAAATATACACTTTCTTACAGATCTTCGTTATCTCTAATTAGTGAGATTTCTCTAATGAGTGGCATCATACAATTATGAACATCGTAAGATCTTCTGGGAACAAGGAAATGATTTTCTTATAATGCATTCATCAATCGCAAGAGAAAGGGTTGAATCTTTGAGCGTCCTTAAGCCCTTGAGTCGTCAAACATCTTTAGACAGTGTCTCCGGTCTGTCAGACGACAGCTACAGAAGCCAAACAGGAACCGGAAATGTCGTAGTACTGGAGTACGTGCGTGCGAGGCATGCGCACTTGCTTAACCAAACCTGCATTAAAAATGTGGATTTAAAACACACGGACCAAAAAGTTTCAAACACGAGAGTTGAAATTCACAGTTTGGACATTTTACGGTCAAGGTCGTCAACGCGGTCACCGTACCTGTCTAGAAATATCATCCCAAAAACTCCCACAAAGCAAGAGAGGGTGACACCAAAAGACAGATCTAAAAATTTAATCTTTGAAGAGATAGAAAACTTCGGCATTTCACGGTATAACAAAACTTATTTTATCAGAAACAAGAAAAACCACCGAGAGAATCAGTCGTTGATGGATGTCGCCAAACTAAAATACTCCGATAAAATAGCTTTACTGAACTCCAGGGGCGGTAACTCTCGCTCTCTGGGCACACTCAAAGACATGGAAGAACGATATTCCAAGCGGAGACGAAACGATAAAAAACACACAACGCACGCGGCCAAAACCAAATCTCAGGAAAATATTTCTGCGGAGCTGCAGATGAAAACCCCAAAACAGAAAGACGAGGCTGAAATAGAGAGTACACATTCAGCGAGTCAGGCGATACAGGGGGACGCTACACTTGTTTTGAAATCGGCAGAACAAAATAGTGTATCACATGAAGACAGCACCACGGGTCATGAACAAACAACTTGTCTAGAAGTCTCGCGGCTTGACGGGCAGGAAGATGTGGGTCAAAATGGCGCGGAGAAGGAGGACAGTGAGGTCCAGAGTTTCATGGAGGTCACGAGTTCAACGGTGGACGCCATTTTGACAGACAACATGCCGCCATTACCAAGTACGGTAAGTTATTTTAAGGCTATAAATCTAAACATTAAAATCAATCAAACTCAGATTAATTAATTTTTATTAATGAATTTAGAATTGAAAAACAATATGCTGTCAGTACCAAGAATGGCAAGCTATTTTAAAATTACTGGCAGTATAAAAAATTAGATAGAAAATGACGGACGGGGCGCGTTTAAAATGAGACCGGATGATATCGCAGGAGGGCGCTCAACTCGACGCCTCTAGGAAAAGGGTAACAGGGAAGGTCAAGTTAGCCACGGAGACGCCTAGCAGATAAAAATAGCTTACAATATCAGGACTGTCATGGTGGACTGCCGAGAAAATTGCCAGAGACAGGCAAAAGTGGAGGGCGCTTTCTGTGGCGGGGCCATGTGTCTTGGACACAAAAGAAAAAATATTACGATAATAATGCTGTAACAAAATTAAAATAATTAACACTAAGATTAATTAATTGTAATCAATGATGTTGTATTGAAACCAGGGAGACACGACGGAGACGTTGTTGATGGACTGGAGACATGTTTTCCGCTCAGAGATGATACGTCTGCGGCAAGAGGCAAACGACTTCAGGAAGTTCTGTATCACACAGGTGGGTCAGCATTGGATGGGTAGATTTCTTTCTGTGTCGGGTAGATTTTGTGACAGGTAGATTTCTGTCTGGTAATTGTTTCAATAATTTAGTTTTTTTTGTTTCAGGTAAAATTTTTGTTTCAAATTTTTGTTGTGCAAGGTAGATTTCTGTGTCCGATAGACTTCTGTGTCAGATAAACGTTTGCGTCAGGTAGATAGTTGTATGTGGCAGATTGATGTGTAAGATTTGCATAATGTAGATTATATTTGTCAGTAGATATATGTGTCTATGTATGTGTCTATGTATGTGTCTATGTATGTGTATCATTGTATGTGTTTGATCTTCACCAGGTACAGGCAGACGCAGAAGCTTTAGAAAATTTCTTGAATGAAAAACGTTCACCTCAAACTGCACATACGACAGATGGGTGAGTTTATTTTTAACTGTCAGTAACTGTAAGACTACACATACGACAGATGGGTGAGTTTATTTTTAACTGTCAGTAACTACACGAATACACACACGACATATGGGTGAGTTTATTTTTATACCGTCAGTACCTACACGAATACACACACAACAGATGGGTGAGTTTATTTTTAACTGTCAGTAGCTGTAAGACAAAAGATGGGTAAGTTTATTTTTATACTGTCAGTAACTGTAAGACTACATACACAACAAATTAGTGAGCTTATTTTTATACTGTCAGTAACTACACGAATAGACACACGACATATGGGTGAGTTTATTTTTATACTGTCAGTAACTACACGAATCCACACATGACAGATGGGTGAGTTTATTTTTATACTGTCAGTAACTGTGAGACAAAAGATGGGCGAGTTTATTTTTATACTTTTAGTAACTCTTACACACACGACAGAGGGGTGGGTTTATTTTATACTGTCAGTAACTGTAACTATATACACACAACAAATGATTGACTTTATTCTTATATTGTCCGAATCTTGTTCTTGTTTTATTCACTTAGTTTTTACTTGCTGCCTATTGTGATATATGGTTGGATATCAATTACCTGTTTACTGCAATCTGATCTTTAAATACTAGCAATGTGTTATATGTAATTTGATATTTTGTTAGCAGCTTGAGACTAGCAATCAGATATTTAATGATATTCTTTTTGCTACATTATTATAATATGATGTCTGACCATAATAATTTTTCTTTCATGTAATCCGATATTTGGCCATAACCACCTCGCTACATTTTATCTCATGTTAGCTTTTCATTGTCTTGTAATATGTAATCTAATGTTTGATTATATTCATCTTGTTATATTGTAATCTGATATTTGGCAATAATTAACTTATATCTGGCCATCATCAACGTACAACATGTACTCTGTTACCTGACCATCATTACAGTATAACATGTAACTTTACATATTTATAACAATTAACTCGACATACTTATAAGATGAAACTTGATATACTTATAACATGTACCTTGGCATACTTATAACATGTAACTTGGCATACTTATAACATGTAGCTTTCCATATTACTCCCAGAAGTCCTGATACCACCAGAGTTCTAGAACACATACAGGAGAGCCACACCCACCTGGAGCTGTTGAAGCGGAAACAGAAGACGACTGACCTGGAAGCTGAACTGACCTCTAAAGAAAAACTCCTGGCTGAGAAGGAAAAAAGTCTGGAAGATTACGAGAAGGAGGTCAGTTATTAATAGCGCCCACTTTTGCTAATTAGAAAAGATTGCAATTTATGACCAAACCACAAGCATTTCCTAAATACGTTAAACGAGATTTAAGATAGGATCAGTGTACTAAAGGCACGAAGTTTGTGTCAAGTTTAGGAGTTAGAAAATGCAGGAGAAATTATTCATGCCGTTACAAGAATCTGCGCTCTAATTTTTTTTTGCTTTTGTGTGACATCATAAATTTCGACTTGACAACGTGACCATTGGCAATGATTCGACCGTCTGGATATACCCAATACATAACGACCGGCAGCAGTAGGATAAATGTACCTATGCGCAAATGCTAAGCACAAGAATGGTATGTCGCGTGTTAGCGAAAGTCGGCGTTAAAGGGTTAATTTAATTTATTTTTTAAAGTTTATATGTTTACAATGTTTTGGACATCTTTCTGAGAATAATGCACATGTTCAATAGTCACCCGTGTGTGTCTCTTGATTAGTAATGTCTCTATAATGTGGTAACCAAGGTGTTCCCCACCCTCCCTACACATTAGCCTAGAGGCTCACAAATCCGAGAGCGGAATCAGTTATTGTTCCTGTAATTAGCCTTCTGGCTTAATGCCTAGATAAACTAATCAATCTCTTAATCCTTTCCTTTATCTCTCGACCAGCCTCTGTTTATATATTAATTCCATTATCTCCTTCTTTCTCTCTGTCTATGATTAACTTCCGTTCTTTTTCTCTTTCCCTAAGCTGAATTTATTTCTCCTTCCCTCTTTCTCGGTCTCTCGTTTTGATTTCTGCATATTTTTTCTTTCTGTCTCGACTACTTCTCTGGTTTTTTTTAAATTTCTTATTTTTATATTTCTCTCCCTAATCCATCCCTCCTCCCCACCCCTGCCGATTTATCTCAATGCCACTAAGATACTGGAAGTAGAATCCCTGCTAAATCACAGGCAAGCCATCTGCGACAGGAGGGAGAACGCTTTGACTCAGCTTGATGAGGTAAGTCATGCTACGTTCAATCATTTGATGAGGTAAGTTATGCTACGTCCAATCATTTGATGAGGTGAGTCATGCTACATTCAATCATTTGATGAGGTAAAACATGCTACGTCCAATCATTTGATGAGGTAAAACATGCTACGTCCAATCATTTGATGAGGTGAGTCATGCTACATTCAATCATTTGATGAGGTAAAACATGCTACGTCCAATCATTTGATGAGGTGAGTCATGCTACATTCAATCATTTGATGAGGTAAAACATGCTACGTCCAATCATTTGGTGAGGTAAGTCATCTTTCATCCAATCATTTGATGATTACTGGACACATTTCAATGAAGGGGATTTTTTTTTAAGTCTTTACTTAACCTTCTTACAGTAGGCTAGTCAGTAGATAAAGATACCGGACACATTTCAATGAAGGTTTTTTTTTTAGTCTTTACTTAACCTTCTTACAGTAGGTTAGTCAGTAGATAAAGTAGAGTTCGGTGATCTGCTTCGTGAACATCCACTAATACTCTCCTTATCAATTTTATTTTATTTTATTGTACACAAGTCGACTGTTATGTAAGCTGCATTAAAAAGAATTTGATATCGTTTTCGGATTTTCCGCTCTATTATCTAATACACAGTTCAGATATTCGAAGGTTTTTTTTATTTAGTAATTAATTGCTTGTTTGGTTTTATCTCAAGAAATACAATACTAATCCGCGCATGGGTCGCTTAAGATACCGCATTAGGTTCTAAAAAAGGTTAGCGTAAGGGTTCGGGATATTGATATGTTGTGATTTAGATTAGGGTTGTTTGGGTTGAGATTAACGAGGCTGGTTGTAAATCGCGCTGGGGGGGTGCCGTGATAAAACAGGCAAATACCAGGTTCCGATCTCGTTGACAGGATCTGGAGACTCTGAGGAAGGAACTGGAAGAAACAAAGGAACAAATTCAAACAGATGGGACCATTCCCGTCTCCAAGTCACAGAAGGCCAAGAGCAACTGGTAGGTGATCAATTGACTCAATAAATACCGAAAATCGATCGATCGGAGGTTGGATTTAAGAGATTCGTGGATGGGTTGTTGTCCGGGTGTAAGAATTGATTATTGAGAATGTGGATGATTAAGTAATTTCATTGGTGTGTAAATATATTTTAGAGTGAATGGATTTTGAGATTGATTTTATAATAATGGGTTGTTATCGAGTGAAAGAATCTCTGAAAAAGTTGTTCGGTAAAATACTTAATTTCTGGCTTACTTTCCTCTTTATTCCTTGTGGAACATAGGACCTTAACCACACCCTTCCTTTTTGTCCGGTCACCGGCTGTTGATTTTGCAGCCTCCCTAGACATCCCTGCTGTCTTTAGTTCCTCAAGAAGACCCTGCCTCCATGTCTGTCTTGGGCGCCCTCTTTTTCCCCTTCCTTGGGGGTTCCTCTCAAGCGCCTGGCGTGTCACATTAGAGTGAAACTTTCGCAGTGTGTGTCCCGCCCAGCGCCACTTCCACCTTATTTGTACTGTCATGGGCTCTTGCCTTGTCCTTCCTTACTAGAACTTTGTCTTGCCAGAATCTTTCTTCGATATTTTAGGCTTAAATAGCTTTGAGAAATAAATTACCATAACCTAAGTATATCAAAATATGAGTGCTAAAAATAACTGTACATCACAACGAGGCTGGGGTTTCCACAGGGATCTGATCCGACGAAATCTCCTGGACAGGCAGTACCTACTGGAGACCACCGTCCAGAAGTATCGGTCAGAGCTTGCAGCTGCTACCTCCACCATCGCAGGCAAAGACATTCTGATATCTCGCCTTCAGATACAGGTACACACTCAACATAAATTATGTTGTTTTTTGTTGTCTATATATATATATATATATATATATATATATATATATATATATATATATATATATATATATATATATATATATATATATATATATATATATATATATATATATATATATATATATATATATATATATATATATATATATATATATATATATATATATATATATATATATATATATATATGCGAACTTACGGTTCAGATGTTAGTGTAGGGGACGTCCATAAATGGTGTCTTTTGCATTTTGTTTCCTCTCCTTCCGTCATAGCCAGACACCCTCCTCCCCCCCCCCCCCCCGCCCCACCATCTGCCTTGGAACTGACGTCACCCAATCATTCCATTTTTTTAAATTCTCGTCACAAGGCTTGAACTAATCCCGCCCCACCGTCTTAATCCCTGGACCTGGTTCGCTAAGCTAACATCGGTGTAAATTGCTTACTTCCAGGGGGCTGATTTTAACTGTTCAATCTTCTTTGACGGCCATTTCAGCTATTTAATATATTAGTCCGGGGGAGGGGGTGGCGTCAGAAACTAAATGAAACATTATATTGATATACATGGGACTTCGCGTTGAGACGTTTGATAATCGTTCGCCTTGTCAGTGGTTTTGGCGATAAGCGTTTAGGTTAAAGTAAAAATAACACCTAGAAACGATGACATCGACTGTATGTTGCACTAGATGACTAAAATAGTAGGAGTACCTGTTCGGATTTAAACTATGGTGGTACATGCGAGTATTGGGCTGGGAGGAAATACACTCTGTGTCTTCTAAGTGCTCAACTCAGAACACTAAGGAACAGAATAACTCGCATTGTTTATAGACGGCCCTTAACAAAACAATAACATCGGCTGTTTTTGCTCTATACATCAGCTCAAACTCTGCCCAAGAAAAACACTAACATCAGCTATTGTTGCCTTGTACCTTGATTGATGCAGTGCCCAATGCTAAATTGTTGTTCGTCTATTTGCTAATGCCATGCCCAAGAAAAACACCAACACTGGCTGTTGTTGCCTTGTACAATAGCCACATGTTATGCTGTGTTGTTGTTCTTCCATTACCTCAAGCTCAGCCCAGTTGATGAGTCAGCTGAAACAAAACCTAAACATTAGTTCCAGACGACACATTTTTATGTTTTATTTCCCGCGTTTAATCGGAGCTCATAATGCCAACATAATTTGAGTCACAAAATCGATTGGACATTAAACCTGATATCTAAAACATTGCCGTTTAATTCAGGCTTCGCCTAGAAAAATAAAAACATTTTTATAAAAAAATAAAGTTTAATCTTGCGTTCCATCCTTCTTTGTGGTTATCTCGGCTGTGGGTATGAAATGCAAATTGACACTGCTACTTTGCTTTATTCTTCTTCTTCTTCGTTCTTAATTATTAGTGTTGGAGGGGATCGAGATTTATCTGCCAGTGGGTTTGAACTCGAGACTTTAGTTCGAATTTATCAACCATGAGCTTTTTGCCGACTCGACCATGCCTCCAACACAATTAAGCGTTACGTGTCAACTGGTTATGCGCCATTGAGGCCATTGACTCCGATTTCAGCCTGCTTTCCTTTTTGGATTTGCTTCCATAGCCTTTGTCCAACCAAGAACAAACTACAAGGCAGCAGTTGTTTAATTTTGGAGTTGTCTCTCCTAGAGAGGAGTGGCTGTCCCCAGCTAACGAGCCTCATCGCCCGAGGGTTCGAACTCGAGACTTTTTCGGTTTAGCAACCATGAGCTTTACCGACTCGACCACGCCGACCCCTTACTTTGCTTTAAAAAGAAAGGGGAAGTAGAGTTATCCTGTTTTAATTTCCAAGCCTTTCAATAGGATTTTGCGTCCAATTACCAATGACGTATTAAGATCTACGTGTCAAACGTATCTTGTCCAGTAGACCTAGATAATCTGTCTTGTCCATTGGACTGATATAATCTGTCTTGTCCAGTAGACCTAGATAATCTGTCTTGTCCAGTAGACCTAGATAATCTGTCTTGTCCAGTGAGATAATCTGTCTTGTCCAGTAGACCTAGATAATCTGTCTTGTCCAGTGAGATAATCTGTCTTGTCCAGTAAACCTAGATAATCTGTCTTGTCCAGTGAGATAATCTGTCTTGTCCAGTAGACCTAGATAATCTGTCTTGTCCTGTGAGACAATCTGTCTTGTCCAGTAGACCTAGATAATCTGTCTTGTCCAATAGAGCCACATAATCTGTCTTGTCTAGTAAGATAATATGTCTCGTCCAGTGAGATAATCTGTCTTGTCCTGTGAGATAATCCGTCTTGTCCAGTGAGATTATCTGCCAGTGAGATAATCCGTCTTGTCCAGTGAGATAATATGTCTTGTCCAGTAGACCAAGATAATCCGTCTTGTCCAGTGAGATTATCTGCCAGTGAGATAATCCGTCTTGTCCAGTGAGAGTATCTGCCAGTGAGATAATCCGTCTTGTCCAGTGAGATAATATGTCTTGTCCAGTATTCCTAGATAATTCGTCTTGTCCAGTATACCTAGATAATCTGTCTTGCCCAATATACAGAGATAATCTGTCTTGTCCAGTATTTGAACCCAGAACCTGATTGAACTGCCATGTTTTACGCGACCAAAACAATGTATTGACAATATTAAAATTGAGCCAATGAACATACAACTACCATCTTAATCCCCATGTACATCTTTTGTCAGATAACGAAAGTAGAGGAGGAACTGGTGAACAAAGATAAGAGAATCCAACTACTGGAATCTAAACTGACCCTAGCACTGACCGAAGCCAGAAACCTGACCGAGCATTTCAACTACCCCTCACGCCGGGACCCCGGGCCCTCCACCAGCTACCTCCGCCCCGAGGGCAGCTACAGCTCCCACTTCATCCAGCGGCGCGCCAGCCAGGAGCTCAACCCGGACCACTTCCGGGGGGCGCAGCGGGGCGCCATGTACCGGCGCCCGTCCCACAACGCGGACCAGGGGGAGGAGCCCAAGCCCATCCTGACGGCGTCGTTGGACCACGACTCGGAGCAGCTGAGAAACGGCTCGAGGGTCAGCCGGAAGCGGAACAGCATTAGCGACAACGCCATCATGAGGCTGACCCTGTCGACGCCGCGCGCCGATGACAAGAACAGCCGGGGCAGCAGCGCGTGCAGTATCCAGTGAGGTCATGTGATCAGATCCAGTGAGGTCACGTGATCAGGGGCTGTTAGTTAGCGCTGGTGTAGTTAGTTCGTGGCAGTTGTCAATTTTTTTTAAAAATGAGAATTTCGGGGAAAAAAAAACAAAATTGTTACCGTTATAAAAAATAAAAAATAGTAATAAAACAACTTTTCGATTTTAGTTTATGTGCAACATAGTGCTTTTTGTTGTGTTTTCTATGTTAAGAACGGGGGGGGGGCGGGGCTGGAAGAGAATGAGTCAAAGATGTAAAGGGCGGTCGGAGGTGGTAGCTTATTGCTAAGTTGGGTGCCTTGTCCGTCCCTCCGGAAAATTTAGTCCAGTGCGCTTATTTACATTTCAAAAATGTCAGTAAGTTTTTAGAAAAATTCTGTTAAGATACAGTTTTTCATTTCCCGATTAATTACTAATAATAATTTTTTGTTTTATATTTACAAAACTTTTTTTTATATCTGATTTAAGCGACGAGCAACTTATATTAAAGGGGAATAATCCAAACAAAACATCAACGTGAAAAATATTTCTGAATAAAAATAAAAGTTATTTCCCATTTACTAAGCGAAGATTTCTGGTGAAATTCATGTCATAATTAAACGACTACGACGTCAAGGTTGTAAAAACAAAAGAGCTAGGACATTACCTACCACATCAATTCCCCCCTCCCCCCTCCCTCTCACACGGGTCAATCTCTATTTCAATTATCCCCTGGGTAATTGCCCCTCTCCCCCTTAGAATACATATTATACCTAACTCTATCCATCTGAATACCCATTATTGTGCCAAGCATTGATTTTTTTTAAAGAAAATAAGCAACAGCCAATGGCGTAAGCGGGAAAAAATCCTTTCCTTCTCTTCCTCCCCCCCCCCCCCCCTCCAGCAAAGTAATCTGTTGGGCCCAATCATATATAAAAGCAAGTCTATATATATAAAGTAAAGTGATAGTGTTGAATGGTTTGTTTATTATTTACACCTATTAGATCGGGTAATTGCAGGTAAGTTGCAGGGAAATTGTTTTTGACAAAGTTTGCTGTTCACTCACTTTTTAGCTGGAAAATTAGAGTCATTTCAATAATAAAATGACCGAAAACTGACCTATACCTGTTTTATTTAAAGTTCCTGGATTAGATCGACCACTTACAGATGCGACAAAAAGTTAGTATTTGGTTAGGAGATAGCTCTGGTGCCGTAGGCGCCTCGAAAAATATCAGATTCTTAGAAATATCAAAATAAGGGGTTAATAATTGAACGCTTTTACTCATAAATTTGAATTATTCAAGGGACGCAAGATCGTCAGAATTTAAACTTTTAATTTCCTCCGTTATTTGACTACACGCAAAAATAAACAAAGAAAACATGTGTATAAAATAAAAATCCCTTTAAAATTTATACTAAACGGTTTTAAAATAGGTGTGAAAATGAATAAAAATTGACTATTTTTATAGCTCAATTTTACCCAAATAAAGGGATATAACTGCGTCTGGAATTTAAACTAAATTTCCCCAGTTCTTTGATTACACACAAAACTAAACAATAATAACGTGTGGGCAAAAGAAAAAAAATTCTACACAATTTTAAAATAGGTGTGAAAATTAAACCATCTCTAATAACTGAGGAGGACACTTGCAAAACAAGCTGTCCACTTTTTGAAAACAATGTTGCTCTTATATCATTCTTTGTAACGCGCAATTTAAGTAGAATACTAATTTTTTGTTCAAAAAGATATACATTAAATCGGTCACCCTTCATATCATGTAGGTGTTCCGACCTCAGGTAAAATTGTATCCTCACCAGTACGATCAAAACACTTTTTTGTACATTAAGATTGCCCACTTATTTCCCCGTCCCCCCCGTCGTCCCCCCCCCCCCCCTCTCCCCTCTTTCAATTATACATTCCATACTCTCCCCCCTCCCGACTTATAATTTTTATTTTCAGAAATTGAGCTCATACTTTGTACAAATCATGTATAATATGTCGCCTACACATCTTTAGAGTGAAAGAAATAGCTATCAATCTATATGTGACCGACGGATAGGTTTGATCGCCATTGTGCAATATTTTTAAAGTATTGATTTTTTTATTAAAATCTAAATTGATGTCTAGAAAACTCAATATTGATTGTTTTTAAACTAAATTTTTCCTTTTACAACTTATCATTTTAATTGACAGAGTTGAATTTGTGATGGTCGTCTACATATCTAGCTGCCTCTCAAGCTATGGACTTGAAATATTTGTGTACGCGTGCGTGCTTGTGTGATTTAGGGGTGAGGTGGGGTGGGGGGAGTGGGGCGGGGGGTCAAAGATGAAATATTTTCAATAAGGGTCAACTACCAAATTAATATTTTCTTGCTATTAATGTATTTAAAGTCGAGTTATTCATTTAACCGTTAGAAGTTTGAACTTAAGTATGAAGCCATCGCACGACTCTCGCTTTCCCCCCGCCTCTTCTCATTTTTTCCTCGGCTGACGTGCGATCTGCTGTTGCTTAAACGATCGAACGTTCAATAACAAATCGTAATTGGTTTCTTAATTCTGACAGATGCGGATATGAAGATCACTAACCCTGTACGTTTTTTACTGCTATCTATATTTTGTTTTATCGGTGTCTTGTGTTTTTTCCTCTTGAATTCAGCTCCGAATTTGAGAATTTTTGAAAAAATTGGAAGCATGAAGGATATGCAGGATAAACGGAACAAAACTAAAGAAAATGATGTGGCATCCAGGAGCGAAGAGGTTGGTTTTGATAATTGTTCTTATTTCAAGGCTATTAAGGCCCAATTTATGAAAATATCAGATGAGTTGATTAAACTAAAAGATGTTTCTAGAATCGAGAAATGTGATCATCCTGATATTGTTGAATTGAAATTAAAAGAGACGACTGAAAAGCTTTTGAAACTAAAGAAACAGGTAGCTCAAGCTCCTGGTCATAGCCCTGGTCCAAATCCTGATCCGGACATTGTTCCCAAACCAGCGTCAACCATTTCTTATGCTCCTACCTCAGCCCATACTTCTGCCCCTACGATAGTCCCTACCCCAGCCCCTTCCCCAGACCCGGTCTCCACCCCTACCCCTGCTAGGGTTTCTGCCCCTGACCCAACCCCAGCCCCTACTCCCGCTCCTACCCCTGCCCCAACCCCTGACCCTACCCCCGCTCCTACCCCAGCCCCTACCCCTGCCCCTACCCCTGCCCCTACCCCAGCCCCTAGACCAGACTACGCCAGATATAAAGCAGACGACGAACTAAGAATGATCGCCAATTTCCTATCTACGCCACAGACCCCCACCCAAACCCCCGGGCTGGTTCCACCCACAGCCTACTACACCTGGTGTGGGGACAAGACCTTTTCCTTTCTACATTACCTGAGCATCCTGAGCATCATCCGCGTACTTCAGCCGCTAAAGCTCGTCTTTTATTACAACAAACTGCCGTCTGACGGAGGCGTCTTTTACAACACCTGGTTTCCTGAACTACGTCAGACTCTCCCACATTTAGATCTAACAAAGATCGACAAAGAAATTAAATGCAACACATTCGATGCTGTTGATTTCGTTTTAGAACAGTTAGCTGTAAGTAAAGCTGGTGGGATATTTGTTGGCGAAAGAACTCTTTTAACTCGTATTCCAGAAGAGTTACAAAACAGCAGTAGCGTAACTTACTCTAGGCGTGGTCAAAACACAAGCGAACAAATGATCCTCTTTGTGAAACACAACAAACAGCAGAAAATCGATGTCAAACAATTTAAGAAAAGGGTTCTAAATTCATCTTTGGATTGCCATACCCCAGAAGAATTTGATAGCAACTCTGTAAGGTCTAATTCGTCCAGCGACTATAGCCATTCCTCGCCGTGTATCATTTTGTCCAACGCAATCTACCCAGAATACATTGCAAACAGCACATCACCTTTTTCTGCTGTGGCGAGGTCTTTGTACTACGGCAAACCTGATCGACTCTTTGCTCGACAAAGTGAGGTAAGTCATGTGATATAATACACTCGTACAGCATTCAAAAACTGATTGCATTCGTGTGTGTAGTGTAGTGATATGTATGTGTGTACATTTAAAATGGGAGGAGGGGAGGAGGTGTGACACCAGAGGCGTAGCAAGGGAGGGGGGCGGGGGGGGGGGGACATATGTCCCTGGGCGCCGACCTTAGGGGGGCGCCAAAATGGGTTGGAAAAACAAATTGAAAGTTTGAAGGGGGGGGGCAAATCGAAAGTTCGAGGGGGGTGCAAATCGAAAGTTTGACGGGGGGTGCAAATCGAAAGTTTGTCCCCGGGCGCCGGGAAGGGTCGCTACGCCTCTGGGTGACACCCGATGGATGGGTGACAACAATCACACCAAATGAAAGTTGTAAAAAATATCAAAACTAGGAACATTAAAACAACTAAATACATTAGCAAAACTACGAACAGTAACAAAAGTACTAATAACAAAAAGACTACGAACAATTACAAAACCAAGAACATTAATTTAAAAAACAAGAACTCAAACAATAACAAAACTTCGAACATTTTTTAAAATCTACGAACAGTAACGAAATTACGAAAAATGACAAAACTACGAACAGTAACAAAACTACGAACAATAACAAAACTATATCAAGTTATTTAATCTTTTCCTTCAACGCAGAATATTTTATTCAAATTGCTTTTAGCGCTTTATAAATCAACAAAAAGCAATGAATTGATCTTGTATCGATGTTACACAGCGTCTTTCCTGAATTAATAATCACTCTAAAGAAAGAGCCGGTGTCAAACAATTTTATCCCCACTAAAAAAATCTTTTCACAACTTTCATTTACCTAGTACGTTAACTGGTCTTTGTTTGTAGATTGTGTAGTCAGTCATTGATCTTCATCTCTTTGTATGACTTCTATTACTAATGGATTTTGTAGTTATTTTGTTATGTATGTGCCCAAGTACGTCTCCCAGCTAGTATATGTTGAGTGCACAGGAACAAACCAGCTAGAAAACTGACAAGTTACTGAAATTAACATGTATCGAGGGTGTCAGTAGTGTGTGTATGTGACACTATATGTGTGTGTACATGGGAATGTTGTGCGTGCGAGTTTGTGTTTGTGTTTACATGCGTGTGAGTCTATCTATGTATGAGCGTTAGGTTCACGCATATGTGTGTGTATGATGTAAAATCGTAATTAATCTAAAAAAAATGCCAGCACCACCCCACCCACCTCCACCCCGTATGTATACTGCTGCATGTTTGTCTAGTTTAAAATTACTGTGACCGGATATCTTGAAGCACTGCTGTAAATCTCTCCGCTTGCAGGATCCTACTGACGTAGTGCCTTTGATCAACCACATGATCCTGGTCAACCCCCATCCTGACCAACCCATCACCTGGACGTTTGAGTACTACCTGTGTGCTCTCTCGGCCTTGTATGTCGCGCGCTTCCCCAGGTATGGAGAACCTGTACTGTCAGGTGTTGCTTGTACTGTTAGGTGTTGTTTGTACTGTCAGGTGTTGTTTGTACTGTCAGGTGTTGCCTCCTGTCAGGTGTTGCCTGTACTGTCAGGTATTGTTTGTACTGTCAGGTGTTGTTTGTACTGTCAGGTGTTGCCTCCTGTCAGGTGTTGCCTGTACTGTCAGGTATTGTTTGTACTGTCAGGTGTTGTTTGTACTGTCAGGTGTTGCCTCCTGTCAGGTGTTGCCTGTACTGTCAGGTATTGTTTGTACTGTCAGGTATTGTTTGTACTGTCAGGTGTTGCCTGTACTGTCAGGTGTTTATTGTCAGGTGTTGCCTGTACTGTCAGCTGCTCTCTGTACTGTCAGGTGTTGCCTGAAATGTCAGGTGTTCCCTCAACTGTCATTTAATTTTTAGTGCTATGTTACTGCTATGTCTTTACTACGCATTTGCTTTTTTTTAAAATGCTGTTATCAAATTGTTGTTTTATTTGTTTATTTTAAAACGGCCAATGTGAAAAAAGACCTCCGTGCCTACTATTGTTAATGTTTTTGAATAAATTGAATAAATAAATAAATTGTCATGCTAATAGGGGCGTGGCTACCAGACAAACAAAACCTAGTCTCAAGTCCAATGTACAGAAACCCTTGCACGATCTCCTATCCAGGTGACCAAAATAACATGGACATAACCACCAGCCATACCTGTTTGATATTTATATAAGAAACACACGAAATTGGGGACGAAGTGGTCTAGCGGTAGAGAGCTGGACTGCTCACCCGTAAGTCTCGAGTACGAATCCGGGTTGATATCAGTAGACCGTCCCTGAGTCCACCCAACTCTGATGGGTACCTATCTCACGTTAGGGAAAGTAAAGGCGGCTGGGCATAGTGCCGACCACACTATCTCTTCATATGCCGAGGTCACAGAAACAAGTGAACTCTACTTCACTATATCGTATATACAAAAAGTATAATAAAACTGGGTAATTGTTGTTTTTTAGAGTTTATCTAAAAGTACAGATAAATCTAAAATGAATTGGCGTGTGTTTACATCCAAATATTATACCCAGGAGTCAGGAGTAGTAAAAGCTTGGTCATAATGCTGACCATACATTACCTATTATTCGATGAATTGTATGTTTCGCCTGTCCTATCTAAAGTGGTACTCATTGTTTACATCAAAGAGATCACATCAAAAATTCAAAATAAAACAATATCAAAACAACACCCCATATATTTCGTTACATTACAATATTATCGACCACTCCCCCTACTCAATCCCATTTTATATAATAATTTACACCCTTCCTCCAATCAATAAACTACAATTTGTTTGGACTATTTTTATGCTGAAATGCATCGGGTGTAAATATTATTACATTAATTTTAGATCGACTATAACCCAACGGCACGTAAATATAGCTCATAAATTTATGAAGTCTAATTTTATTGCCGAAAACTTTCAAATAAATGAACATAACTGTACCACGTGAATATAGCTCTTAGATTTATAAAGTCAAATTTTATTGTCGAAATACCTCAAATAAATGAACCGAATTGTGCCACTCTACTCACAACACAATTCTAGACGCTCTCGTAATATTCGATTAGACCAGATTGATTTTGATTACCATGTATCCTGACATTCGATTAGATCCGATTGATTTTGATTACCGTGTAGTTTCAAGACTGAGTGGTTTGAACTTATTTTTAAAAGCTTTTATTTGTTTCCTTTTTCGTGCTTTTGTCTCCGTGCTTCGTCATGGGACGAACCTTGCGGAAGAAATGTCGATAACTTCTTCCTTACCTGTTGTTAAATCACCCTATAAAATATGTTAATAAAATGTATATCATTTTGTTTTTTTACAAAATTTGCTACGTCGCACCCCCTTCTCCTTCCATCCTCACATAACACAGCACGTCGTGAATCAAGTAGCAGATAGGTGTGTAACGACCCCACCCGCTCCCTTTAAAAAAGTAACAATTTTACGTCAAAATTATTTATTTAAATGACCTTTTTTTAAACATTAAACACATAACACAAAACGCTTTTGAACATTTTAGAAGAAATTCGCTTTTTTTGTGTTTTAATTGCTATGGCTTTCGCAACACACTAGTTAAGTTTGGCTTTAATCCACCTCTCAACAAAACCAACCATCAAACCACCTCACACTCCAACCGTGATGATCACCTTTCAACCCTAACATCAACCCACCTCTGAGCCCTTCCCTCAACCCACTTTACAACCCACCTCTCATCCCTACCATTAACCCACTTCAAAACCCACATTTCAACCCAAACATCAACCCACCTTTCAACCCAAACATCAGCCTAGCTTTCAACCCAAACATCAACCCACCTTTCAACCCAAACATCAACCCAGCTTTCAACCCAAACATCAACCCAGCTTTCAACCCAAACATCAACCCACCTTTCAACCCAAACATCAGCCTAGCTTTCAACCCAAAAATCAACCCACCTTTAACCCAAACATCAACCCACCTTTCAACCCAAACATCAATCCACCACTCATCCTAACCTTTCTAACGACCCCTAAGACCCACTACCTGAGCCCATCCCACCCCAAGCACATACCATCAATACCACTCAAGTGTATGTATCCATGATACCACTGTATCGGGTGTACTTAAGTACGCTGATAATGTACCCATGATATCTATATATCCATTGACGTGTTAATACATCTGGCTGCTTTGATGCCTGTTAGAAATATATTTATTTTTCTGTACATATCCATATAACCTTCGTGTGTCAGTGATACATTTTTAAGTATTTTATATCCATCGTATAGTAAGTTAATTATGTTTACTTACAATATGAATTCATGTGACCTAGACTATATATCCATGGTTCTATGTTGTAGGCTACTTATCCACGTACTTATCAATATACTAATCCACCTACTTATCCTCTGTATCAGGGTGTACGTCCATGGAAACACCGAACCTTCTGGAAAGTACTGGGAGAAACTGAAAAAAGAAAATGTCACATTTGTCTACGTAAGTGAATCTTTAGCATTTGTAAAAGTAAACAGCAAAATGGGTTCTTGCAGTATAGTTTGTATAATGAACCTGCAACTCAGTATTGACCTAACAAAAACTGTGACCTTGCAGATAGACAGTGTCAACTCGGTATTCCAGCAGTCAGTAAACGTGATGGCTCATAAAACTGATGTTTTGAGAGTTTTGATCCTGTATAAATTTGGAGGGATATACAACGTAAGTTCGTTCTGTATTTAACAATTGATGTTTTGAGATTTGATCCTGTACAAATTTGGAAGCATATACAACGTAAGTTCCCAAATGCAAGTTTATTAGTTCGTCAAGTAAAATCTTCATAAACAGTAAGTTTACTGCTTGAATGGTGTAGGCCTATGTGTGTAACAAATAGTCACTACACAAAATAAGCTCGCATTTAAACTTTTAACATGTTTAAATTAGAGTGATAAAAATAAAAATTAAATAAGAACGATAACTCTGTTTGCAGGAGGAGTTCAAATGTTTTTAAAATATAGTGTTAAGAACGATAACTATGCTTTCATGATTTGTTTTAATGTAACTAAAACAGAGGGAATAGAACGGTAAGTTTTTTTCTGTATTAGTTTAGAAGTATTTTTTTAAACAGTGATAAGATCGGTAACTCTGTATGCAGGATTAGTTAAAACGTATTCCAAATTAAAATAGAGTGAAAGGAACGATAACTCTGTTTCAGGATAACGACGTGATCTGGATCAACCCAATCTCCGAAGATCTCCTCCGGTACCCGACTGTTGCGTGTCTGGAACTGTCGAGAGTCGGAGACTGGCCCAGAGTGGTCAGCAATGGCATCGTCATCTCAAAGCCTAAAGCCCCCTTTTTAATTCATGTCTTGGAGTCTTATTGGTAGGTTTCTAATTCATGTCTTGGAGTCTTATTGGTAGGTTTCTAATTCATGTCTTGGAGTCTTATTGGTAGGTTTCTAATTCATGTCTTGGAGTCTTATTGGTAGGTTTCTAATTCATGTCTTGGAGTCTTATTGGTGGGTTTCTAATTCATGTCTTGGAGTCTTATTGGTAGGTTTCTAATTCATGTCTTGAAGTCTTATTGGTAGGTTTTTATAAACACCGGCATCGATTTCTTTCAATGTTTGGTTATATTTTTTCAGCGGCTTTATTTTTTCAAATCATGAATAAAAGTACACATACCAATGCAATACTTGCTAACTAATCATTTGCCAACTAGTTTGCTTACATATCACATGCTAGCACATTACTAGCTGACGCAAAACACACTACACGCTTACTAACACACCACGCACTTGCTAACACACCACACACACTATCACACACCGCACACTTGCTAACACACACCACACATTACACACCACTTGCGAACACACCACACACTTGCTAACACACCCCCACACCTTTGCTAACACACTCCACACACTTACACATCACTTGCTAACACACCACACATTTGCTAACACACCCCCACACTAACACAAAATAATTTTTAATGTTTAAAAAATGCACACACAAAACAAAACAGAAAAATAGAGACTGTGAGAACCGAAGCATAAAACAACGATGAATAACACCTATAAAACCGCTAGTCCATTTAGTTAAATATTATATTATGGTGAGCATGCTTGGCTTGCCGCATTTATTTCCCTTTATTAACATCGTTGTTCGCTTAACATGATTTAGTGTGTCCAATAAATTCAATATGATTCTAATCTATGTTGAGCATGCTTGGCTTGTTCCATTATGTCGCTGAACATGACGTCATGCTTAAACAAAGACCAGCCTTTCATAAAGTTCTCTTTTCGAACCTGACGGATAAGTGAAGTGAAGTGAAGTTCACCTGTTTCTGTGACCGTGGCATATGAACGATAGTGTGGGCAACACAATTTCACAGTCGCGTTTATTTTCACTAACGTGAGTTTGGTACCTATAAGAGCTGGATGTTCTACTGACTTGAACTTGGATTCAAACTCGAAACCTATGGGTTAAGGGTCTATCGCTCTACCTCTAAACGTCGCCGTACAATAGACTCTGATAGTTTACAAAATAAAATGTCTCCATCGAAAAAACAACCAGCTCCTATATCTTTATAGCAAAAAGAATGTCCTATAATATTATTTTCGCTAAAAGTTTAGTGTAATAGCTGGAAGGTATTTAACAAAGGAACTCCATTGGTTGCCGATAGACAAAGCTTTTTCAATGTGATAGATTGCTAGGCCTGAACAAACAGACTTAAAATTTCCAAGAAGTGACGCGTGAACGTATTTGTTCTTAGGTCTGAAGTGGCATAAAAAAGGTCGTTTGTTCTTAGGTTGTTCTGACAATAGCCTCGCATAGCTGGAAGGGTGCGCGGAAGGGGGGGGGGAGTTCAGACTAGTGCAGCGATGTTACATTAGCAAAGGCTATGGCGAAAGGAATATGACGTGACGTATATGTTGTTGTTCTTTTGTTTTTCAAGAATATTTATAAATTAACCCACGTTATGTTTGACTATGGCTATGGTTAAACTCGTGACGTCATCTCAATGCGTAGCTGTTATGTTGTGGTGATGTATGACGATTTGCAGAATAGTGAGTGAAAAAATCTATTACAACAGAATAACATAATGTATGTACGAGCCCTATGATTTATAATTTATAAAGGTACTTTAGAGACGACATATGGGCACTCAACTCGGTCCTGATGTACTACAAGATCCTTGAGAGATACCCAGACACAATCCACATCGACAAGAAGCTACAGGTCATGGTTTTTACATACTAAACTCAACTATTTCACATACACTCAAACAGTGGCATATACCGACATATGCACATTAATGATGTTTGTGTGTTTCTGTTTTTATATGCATATATATGTACGTATATATATATATATATATTTATTTATATATATATATATATATATATATATATATATATATATATATATATATATATATATATATATATATATATATATATATATATATATATATATGAAATCAACACAGACATACTAGGATTGTGACTGTTGTGAAACTTCAGTCCACGCTCGAGGACTCTATCTCTAACTGCAGTTCTCTCCCTTATGTTTTAGATCGAGTGCGGCAATGAAAACCTCTACAGCTGTCATCCCGTTTGGATTGAGGATTCGGAGAACAAACATCAGCCCTATACCATACAGGACGCCACTGGTTTGTACCGCGAGTGTGGGAAAAACAACATTACAATAACAAGAGTACAACACAAACCCTCAGTTATGAGGTTTATAATCAGATCTCTATACGGAGGGGAGGGGGCGAACTAATCCTTAAGGCCTCGACAACTCGTCTAAATTTATTTATTTTTAAATTCCAAGTGAAATTTAAGTCAACGGTGGCGGCCACTTTTATTTATTTCTCTTGCAGCTTCGGAGTAGCCAGTCCAGAGTCAGAATTTACACCAAAAAAATATCCATAGACGAAACTTATTCAATAAATATCAATACGATACGGCCTTTAAGGTAGCTTAATTATTTTCATATGTATTTATCTTTCAGCTGCCCATTTTACCCATCTGGGATACCCATCTATTTTCAAATCTTTTGCGGACATAAAAACCAAAAGTGGGATCGGCGTTGAGTTGGCGAATCGAATCATGCAATCAGTGAGACAAACAGGAAAAAACTATTTGTTGGATGATAACTGAAATGTTTACTTCATCTTTTTTTTTAATCACATTTTTAAAAACCTTTTATTTGAATGAAATAGAGGTTTTTAATCTCGATTTATTTTTGTAACAATAAAAGTGATGCGTATGACACACGATTTTTATTGTATACACTATACACTAAACAGGCTTTGTTGAATGCTTCGAATGTTCCGTCACAATGCATCAAGTATTCGTTAAACTGTTGTAAATGTATATATTTTTTTTACTCTAGAGCACATTCTAAAATATCGGTAGGGTGGCGGGCACCACCTAATTTAAATCGACAAACTCCTTCCAGAGGCCAGTGTTTCTTCCAGACTTTTTTCTCCGGGGGGAGGGCACTTGAATGTTTCTGGGGGGTGTGGGCGGTAGACTTTCTTCGGGGGGGGGGGGGGCGGACACTGTTAAAAGGATATATTTTCTATATAAATTATATAAATTTCATTTCGTTCGGGGGGGGGGCGCGGTAAAAATTTTCGCGGGGGCTTAGCCCCCCCCCCCCCTAAGAGATGCCTGGAAGAAACTCTGCCAGAGGCGTAGCGATCCTTCCCCGATTTGCACCCCCCACCTTCAAACTTTCGATTTCCATCCCCTTCAACCTTTCAATAATGTTTATGAAAAAAATTCTGTCTCTGTCGAATAGTGAGAGGCGGGCACATACGAATCGTTCGGCGGGCGCCATGGCGCCCGCGGGCACAGGGTTGTGAACCCCTGATTTAAAGAATTCACTGGTCATCCATAAACGACGTCACATTTCTAGGGTGGAGACCGTGGGTTTGGAATTTTGCGAATTTATGTGACGAGGTGGAATCAGTGTTCCAGACTTATTTTCCGGGGGGGGGGGGCAGTCTACATTTTCCGGTTGGGGGGGGGGGCGAAGAGATGCCTGGAAGAAATTCTAGATGGAGTGGTAGGTTTCTAAAAGTGACAACACATTTTCGCATTTTAAAAAGTAAAGTTAGAAAATTAATTTTAGCCGCTAATTTGAGTTTTTTAATAGGCTGGTTATGTAAATGTTAACGATTTTGTAAATGGTAATAGAAATTGAATAATATCTTCAATATTGATTCAGCTTAGTAAGTATTTTATAAATAAATCAATGTTTTGATTAAACGAAAACAGCAGTTTCGAAGGTGGGGAGGGTTGTAGGACGAAATGCGACGTCGATCTCTGGGTAGTGTCTAGTTAACTGTAACACTGTGCGGGGATTGGGAGGAGGGGAATAGGGGCCAAAAAATCCGTGGCAGTATTTATAGATATGGATGGGACTCCCCCCCCCCCCATTAAAAATTGCGTAGTCTTATCGTTCTAGCTGCTCTACTTAAATGTTGAATATACTTTTATCTTGATGATTATTATAATTTTCTCTTCATATGATGCCTGATAGCATACTTTTCCATGTTTAGGATGTGTTGACTATGTAGTGTATTAAAAATGTATAAAGAATCTATTTTATCCTTCGCACAAGCAGAGTAGTACCCCTTCAGCTGATCTCATCATTGCTTCAAAGCGCTAGTGTCTAATAAAATCCACTACCCAAATACCATCCTGTTATGGTTCTGATTTATCATCATCATCGTCATCAATCCACAGCCAACTCAACAAAAACGTCAGAAATCATGCTTTTTCACGAGAATCTTGTACCCGAAGTTGTGTATACAATAATAATAAAAGCAGATTGTGTTAGTAGCCTGACAAATGTAAGGATGTTTCCAACTAAGGTGTTCGTCAACATAATAAATATAAGTGTGATCCAGGGGCGGAACTACAGTGCCGCCAGACCCGGGGGGGGGGGACGCGTTTAGGGGGCCCACGGGTGACCATAATCAATTTTTATAGTTAAATTTTCTTTTTTTTAATTTTCTTGCATTTTTTACTCGATGGTTGTTTGTAAAATGAATACTGTGCCTGCGGTTGGGTTATTTTTATTCTATAGACACCATCCCACGCTCTTGTATATTCTTTATCCCTTTGTTTTTTTTTATACCATTGTGAAAGCCGAGTCCTCCTTCTCCTACAATCAGACACACGCTGTTGTAGGCAAAATTCTTATGATAAAAAAAAAATCCATTGAGCGAGAGACCACTTCCATGACTTATTTCCCTTTTTTAGATTGTCAGATAGGGGTGCTCTTCGGTCCTTTTAATAGATTTGTACTAAACAATTTAAAAAGCAATTACTTCTTTTAATTATTATTTTTAAAAAAATACATACTAAAGAATGACATAGTACAAAAAGGGAAATCTATTTAAAATTTAATAATATAAATACAACAAAAATATAAATAAACATAACACGAGAAACCTTTACAGATACCAAGCTTTCCTGTTTCATATTCTTTTGACCGACGCGATAATCGGAAAATATTACGGCAGACATAGAGTAAAAGAAGAGGTTTTCAAACAGACTGATGCACTCACACCATGTATATATATATATATATATATATATATATATATATATATAAATATATATATATATATAAATATATATATATATATATATATATATATATATATATATATATATATATATATATATATATATATATATATATATATATATATATATATATATATATGTGTATATATATATATATATATATATATATATATATATATATATATATATATATATATATATATATATATATATAGGAGGGGGCCCAAACTTTTTTTTGCGAGATGTCCCTTTTTTTCTAGTTCCGCCACTGGCTCACGAACATTGCAAATTTTATGTTAACAACAGGTAGAAATAAAAGCATCGGACGCTCATAGAATACGTTACGACTTTTACCTACCAATGCTTAAAGTAAAGCGAGCAAGATTTTAAATTTAGTATTTCCTTTTCAGCGCATTTACAAGCCTATTACTGTAGTTTTTTCTTAATCATTTCTTTTTAAAATTTGTATGTATAATGAGGATTTCGGTTGGAAAGAAATAATAAAGTAGACATGATTTTTAATCCATTTTAAATACTTAAAGTTTTAAAAATAGAATAAAATCTCGTAGACAAATTAATTGCACACCAAGTGAACGCCAAATAAAAAAAGCGCAAATTAATGCGCAATATTATTATTACTTTTAAAATTTACATTAGTTTTTTGAGAAATCGGAAGTAGCGTAAAGTACTACTTCCAGTCAATGGAAATGACTCAAAATTTAATAGAAGGTAGAGAATTAGATCTTTTACTTACGTATGAAATTTCATTTATCTATCTAAATAGTACTCAAGTTATAGGCTTTTGAAAAATTCAAAGTAGGAAAAGTACCACTTCCGGTTATTGGAAATCGCTCAAAAGTTGATACGGATCTACGATTTTGATTAAATACTTATATATGAAATTTCATCAACCTAGCTGTAACGGTACTCAAGTTATCGTGTTTACACACGGACAGACAGACAGACACACAGACAGAACCACAGACAGACGGACAAGAATGCAAAATTATGTTTTTCCGTATCAGTGAGGTGTGAAACGTCGAGATTTGTAAAAATCTCGATTTTTTTTTTGCACGATTACAATACTTTCTCTATACTTCGTATATACGAGAAAGTAAAAAGGTAACACCAGATCTAGTGACGTCACCGGTGGTAGGCGTTCTGTGTATGTCTATAAATCGCATGTACACGATTGCTGGCCTCTACCCAGTTAATGACCGAGTTCAGTGCACTGACCAAAGATTTTCAACAGTCAAACAAGTTTAGATAAAATATATTCATTTTTAACTTATTCCCTTACACAACCATACGTAACATCTTTACTAACAGTATGCAGTTAATCAAAGTATACACCAAACTTGAAAGGAATACAGTATGTTGATAAATCTTGCCATCAAAAATACCACTTTCATGTTGATTTCTTGACTGGTTTTGACAAGGGATTGTGACAACGAGGGGTGGTGACCAATATTGCTCTTTTTTTTAATTCGACTTCTGACATTTTCAGCTTGTTTTTAAATTAAAGTGACTAAAATAATTCATTTGTCTCTCAATCATACATTTATCTAATTAAAGCTGTATCAAAACGGTAACTTATACTTTAGGTAATTTTAAACTTAGTAGGCCTAATTACTTTTTATAATGCTGACTAAAATTTAAAAATGTGTTGGCCCTAGCCCTAACAGTAACAGCCTTGAAGGGAAGTCATTAGTAAATGCAGTTATTTTTGTAAGCTTTATCGAAGTTAACTCCCTTTCAATCATGCCCACGAAACACTTGTCTAAATGCCTAATGCCCTATTGTGACGTTTGACCCAATTATAACTTTTTAAATGTATTCGAACCTAACTATTTCAGTATAAATTGTAACTAAAAAAATAAATAGGTTTAAAGGCAATATATATTTTTTTCTCATACAAGGGTTTATAAAAGTGTTTTGTTTATTTTAGTTTTTAATAGCATCGCTAACATTTACTGCGAACATTTGTTTTTGCAATGGCGGGTTTCCTGTCCCGTTCATTTGATAAACTGAAGTCTTGGATATACGGGTTAGGTTATACTGGTCTTTGGTTGTTCTGGCTATTTCTAGTCTTGACGGTTATTTACTTTCTTCGCGTCCCTCTAAAACTGAGCGAAAACGTATCTTATGGTAAGTACTTATTTTACCCAATAACAGTTGTTGCATACACCTTTCTCACTTTCTGAGCTTTCTCTCTCAAATCTCAATCAATCAATCAATCAATCAACTCTGACGACTGTCAGTCAGATAGATCTAGTGACAGTTCAGTGAACATCTCATATTATAGAAGATTTAGATAACTATTAACTAGAGATCTATCTAGATAGTAATCGATCTAGATCTAGATTCTAGCTCCGCTTGTTTTATGTGCAGTTGCATCGCTTGGGGCTGGTGGGCGCAATCCTTAAGTTAAGAATTTAAGAAATGACTCAATAAACTTAAAACCAAGGATAGTCGCTAAAATTAAATTAGTCCAAAAAGCCAATTAAACATTTTTAAAATCATGTGCAATGTTATTAAAATAAGGTAATATATCGTTTTAGGACCCTAACATTGGTCATAGCAAGTAGTGTGATGATGCAGTACCTGGCTGGAAAAAGCACAATTCTGGCCGGCAGAAGAT